CCCCCCCCCCCTCTCTCTATCTCTTTCTGCTGTGCAGTCGGCCGACCGATCTGTCATCGCCATTGTCGAATCACCTAACGGGGTGGCCTCTTCGACGCTGCTCGCGGGCTTTCAGAATCCCAGAAGGACGATAATCCCCCGTGGAGGAGGAAAGGCGGTGGTGCGCTTTCTCGTCGGTACGAAGAACGCGTTGCGCCATTTCAGGTGTGTGCCGCGAGTGTATATTTGCCGCGGCTTCTCTTTCTCTCTCTCTCTCTCTCTCTCCCTTTCTCCCTGCCGCCCCCTTTCTCTCTTTCTCTCTCTCTCTGTCTCTTTCTCCGTCTCTCTCTGTCTCTCTCTGTCTCTCTCTCCTTTTCTCTCTCTCTTTCTCTCTAACTATCTATCTATCTATCTATCTCTGGTGCTTCGGCGTGCCACGAGGCGCATCGGCGATTCGTGGCGATTTTCGCGATTCACGAGAAAGTGTTCGGAGGGAGATCGAACGAGAGAGCGAGCGTCCCGAGTGATTGATGAACGCGGGTAATTAAGAAACATTAAGGAAAGCCGCCGGGGGAGGTACCTCGAGGTCCTCGTACTCGTATTCGGAGAGCGTGTTTCCCTCCCCGTTCCACCCTCCTGCGAGAGGATCCTCCTCGCCGGAGGACGTCACCGCGGGGGTGAAGAGAGGCGACGCGGTGGGAAGAGGCCGTCTACCCTCTGGGTAAGAGAGGAAGGAGAAAGATAAAGAGAGCGAGAGAGAGGGAGACTGAGGGACGGAGGGAGAGGCAGCGGGAGGCCTTTAGGGGTGGAAAATCGTTGGAGAATACCGTCGCGGTGAAATCACTCCTCTCGAACGCTCGCGAGACGATCAGACCGCGAAGCATCCCCGCCGGGGTGTCTGCCTGCCTGCCTGCCTGCCTGTCTTTGGCTGCCTGCCTGCCTGCCTGATCGTCCCTTCACCCTCTCGCCGGTGAGGTGGAAGTGGAAGTGGCGGTCTGATCTCACGGAATGACAATAAGACTCCCCTTTGATTAATCGAGAGAGCGAGAGAGCGAGGATTAACACTGTCGCCTGAGGCGACGAGTTGTTTGGCAAGTGCCAGAAGTTCGGCTTTGTTTATAGAACTGACTGAATGCAAATCCGGCAGAGTGTGTAAACGTAAATAATTAGACGCAATTATAACGACCCGCGAGTCGTTTTAGAACGACAACTCGGTTACAGCCATCGCGTCGCAAATCGTTGTTCGAAATTCTTTACTTATTAAAGCGAATGAGGTCGTGATAAAGCTTATGATAAAAAAGGAAAAAGAAAAATTACGAAGGAAAATCGTGAAGGAAATAGGTTTCAGGACACACAATCGGCTATTGAAAAAAAGGAAGAGTGGATTACGAGAGGAATCAAACCGATGCAAATTCTGATCTGAGGACTGTTGATTGTCGTTGCAACTTGAGGAATAAGCTATAACCCGTTCGTTCAAGTCGTCCTTGTTGCCTTCGCATATATTGACACAACTTTCTCGACACGGTAGTGCGAGAAGGAGCACAAGAACTGGCGGAAAAGGAGGAGGAGGACGACGACGAGTGCGCGACAATAACGCGAATGAATTCGGGAGGAGACCGGATAAGTAGAGTGGATCGAAATTAGAATCGTGTGCAGTCAGTGGAAAATGGTCGGCGCTTGATCAGACAGGACCGGTCTCTTCCTTCGCCTGAGCTGCACTACTTAAAATGCACTTTATCTCACGCCATAAAATCCATCTCCGTGAAATTCCGTATCGCCGTAGCACCGCCCGGAGGGGAGCGTTCGACGAGTGCATTACTGTCGGCGGAACGACAATAACGTCAGCGCGCTAACGACATCGAAAATAATTTGTCATAATCGATCATATCAGAGTCCACGGGAATTATCGACAGTATCGCGACGCTGTGCGCGCCGGATGTTTTCGAATGTCCATCTTTATTTGAGCCGCCGCCGCACACACGTCCATTTGTGACGCGCGACAGTGAATAATACGAAATCCCGCGCGATTTTTTCTATCCCCCTGTCCCCCGACCCGCCCCCTCGCGATCATCCCCTTTCCCCGTCTCCAAGAGAAAGAGAAGAGCGACAGGCGGCGAGCTATAATCGACAACGACAATCGGCAGATAACGAATTGCGGTGAGGGTGAGAATCGTGGAAATTGGCGAATTGCGAGGCGAGTGAAGACCCCGCGGTGACACGCGAGCAAAAACTGAAATAGAAAAGAAGAAACGATCGACGGGGACGTAGATACGTAATCGTAGAATAATTAATGTAGCGAGAAAACAACGAGCACATGACGCAACGACATAAATGGAGAACGGTATAACACTCTTGGAGGGAAGTAATCGAAGACTATCAGACTGCGACCACATGATAGAAAAGCGATCAAGTATCCGCTGTCACACTTGATACTGCGGCATATTCGAAATCAACGATACATTGCAGCGAGGGAAAAGATTGAGAAGAGGATAAATACAGCGACAGCAATAAGCACCGCGACGTAAAGCTCAGAAGCACTTCATCGGTGAGGAAAGTTCGCACCACATAAATCTTTTTTCGCTCGGATATTCCTGTCTCTCTCTTAAATGCTTCGATCGTATCACATTTTTCCGAGAATTTTTAATAGGATTCAAGTAAATCTGAATGTTTTATTGCTGCTCGATTGATAAGAGAGCTGAATCGTTTAACGATATTCTTTAATCTTTTATTCAATATATCACCTAGCTGTCCGTTGTGAATTCGCGCCGATGTCACAATAACAATACAAGAAGAAAAAAATGAGTCGGTTGATTAAGAAAATCTGTAGCTCGCGCAATGAAATCAAGTGTTGTATTTAAGCGGATTCGTACAGCAAATAAATTATATGTGACAGCACAATGGTCAACCTGCTGACGGAATAGCTGATTATTGCAACATATTTTGATTTAAGTTTATAAAAAAAATTGATTAATTTTATCAAAAAAATCATATTTACTCAACAGACAATGAAGAAATATTCTCATTCATTTTAAGAAGTGATTCAATTTATAGAACAATTTTCTCTCACTATGAACATTAATTTCTATTACTATGAGTATCGTTGCTTCGCGCATTGTTAACTTCTATTGCTAGAGCAATTAATCATTAGCTATAATAAAATTTATCCAATTTCGCTGTGCGCTGATAAAATTTTGAAACAGCAGTGTAAGAATTAGTTATCTCGATAAATATTTTTTGAAGAACATTATAAGTTATATTTTTCATTGGTTTTAATAGAGAATTGTTTTTACTGTATCCACAAATCATCGTGCTGTAAATATTAAACTTCATGAAGTGCAACTATTAATCTCACATAGCTGAAATTTAATTACTGTAAATTCTCTCAAATTTCTTAAGGTAAAATCCCATACAAAAGTAAAAATTTATTCGCAGCAATAATGAAAATATCGTCCCTCGAAATCATAAGACGTTTAACACAGTCTGATTTCTTTATTTATAGTGAGTGAATATTTTAATCCATCAAAGTAAATTTATCCCATTAGAAGACGGAGTATATCAGACGGACTCTTCAATTTCAAATGAAAATATCTACTTGACGATTCAAAGGGGAGAGTTCACTAAAATACATGAATGAAAAATTACTCGAATTCGAGTGATTTGGCTGTCACTCTTCTTTTTGATTGGGATATCACTCGAAGAAGTTGAGAAAGGAAGACAGAGAGAGAGAAAGGAAAAGAGAGAGACAGAAACACAGTAAACTGATTGTCCGTATGACGCATGTCTACAGATTTGCTGAACTAGCGAGGTCTTTAGGTGTAACACAACAAATCTTTTTTTCTTTCTTTTTCGTGTCGTGACACGCGCGAAACAAAAACAAAGCCGAGCGTCCCTTCGCGCTGACGTAACGTTGCGGGCAGCAACAGTAGGCGCGAGTGAAAACAACGAGTATTCATCAGACAGGTGGCTATCTGTGCGCTTCACGAGCGGACGTTCAAGCACGAAGGATCCGCGTTCGAATCGGTGAGCGTATCCTGCGTCTCTGCTTCTACCTGCCTGTCTGCCTGTCCTGCGACCAGCTGAGAATCGCGAGGCGGGCCATCACGCACCTCACGGCGTTCAGGACGAGCCATAAGACGACAACGGGCTCCCCTCGGCGTGGAATGACAATAAGGGGGCGCCGCACCGACGGGGTGGTATTATGCGGGGTACGGATTTGAGCGTACCGAAGTGCCCGGCGAAGGTGTCGCCCTTCGGAATGGCACTCGGGACACTGGCCGAGATAGCGGTGAGACTCGTGATCGGCGGCTACATATTCGCCGTGGTCGTCTACGTGAACGCCAGCGACAACTGGGATAAGGACGACGACATAGGTACGCGAATACGAGGACGACTACGACGCGCGCGCCAGCGCCCGAACACAATCAGGATTAATCGCTCGCCCGCTTCCTGATTCAGCCGAATGTACAGGGTGTTCCGGGACCGTGTTCGGTCCATTTGACTGCGAATTCATCGCGGTTCAATTCGCGAGTTCGGTTTTCCTCTCTGGCGCGCGCGAAGTACTTTCCGAATTCCTCTCCCCGATATCTCGAATCGCCTATTACGACTGAAATCATCTTAAATTGTCTTTAATTGAGTTCCCGTTGATAGAATATACTTGAGATCAGCCGGCATAAATGTTCCCTTTACTTTACACGTTTCCGCAACATTTAATTCGTTCGAGGCGAATTCTTTCTACATTTTCGGTCGTAAATTATTGGAAAATTGTGTCTGAATATTCTAACGGGATGTCCTAGGGATATATATATATATATATATATATATATATATTATATATATATATATATATATATATATATATATACATATGTTAGAATACGTCGTATTTTCGACGGTAAAAAATATGTTGTGAAATAAATATACATACGTGAATATGTATTTCCGCGCGAATGCATTTTATTTCGATTTCCGGTGAAAGAGGAGGTGGAAAATAACAAGTACGTTAAATAATAAACAATTTGGCGAAATCGACGGCAGATTTTCCACGAGAGATGTGCGAATAGCGCGTCGAGCTTAGAGACTCGCCGCATCTTTCTAGATTATAGTTGCTAACGCACAATGTTAACAGAGAAAGAGAAATTTGCTTAAGCAGAGTTACAAAGGATTCAGCCTTAATCTATCCCCGGTGGACTCATTTGCTGTGCACACTTAGCGCCGTTCGGCGAAAAAACTGGTCCCTACTTTTACTCTACGGCTTTTATACGGCGCGGAATGCATATGTATTTCATAAATATATATTGAAAAGCGGAAAACTGACAAAGTCGTGAAATTGGAAACTGTTAGGATCGATATCTACGAAGTTATCGCATTTTTAAAATGAAAGTAGGTCAAAATGGTCCCGTACGGAACATCGAGGCTTGGACGCCCTTAAAACGTTATAAAATAGCAAATAAGTTTTCACTAACGCGCGCGCGCGCACACACACACATACACACACATGCATAGAGGCCCGGCCGAAAGTGTGTCCAGGGCTTTTACAACTTTTGAATTTATAATCGCGCCACTTACGGCTACTTAAAAATTTCCGGTTATATATTTCCAACTTTTATTCGTAGTTATATCCTGTTATCTGGCTCCCTTGAACTATCCTGCTCGCAATTACCCGCATAGAGTATATAGCATACGCTGTGTTTTTGAATTTCTCGTTTCCCTCTGAATGTTCATTTGTACCTCTAAAATTTTTCCATATAAAAAATGACATCATCAAAGCGAATCAAAGCGAACGAATAATCTCACCACAGTCGCGCTAATATGAAGTTAAAAATCAAAAAGACAGAAATAGAAGTGAGTTTAAAGCGCCGCTCTCGAGTTCCGTTCAACCTCTGCTTTAACTCTTCGAAGAACAGAATTTTCTTAAAAAAAGAAAAAAAAAGAGAAAAGGACCTTATTCGCGTCACGAAAATACCTTGTAGCGCGCATGTTACATTTCGCGTCACAAACAAATGTAAAAACGATATCCTGCCGGAAGAGTTTGTATTCGTGTATACGGACGGGCGTCATTCGATTGATGAAAATTGCGGCGTATCGAGGAAACTCCGGGCAAAATCAGACGCGGACTTCTTGCGATACCGGAAATCGCTCAGAGCGTGAAACTTGTTCAAAGAAACGTTACGCGGGCATAATTATATTCCGTGCCCGCCAGGCAGAAATTCTCCATTATACGCGAAAATGAACTTCATTAGTAATATTTTTCAAGCAGCTTTCCTGTCCCGTTTATATTCGTAAGAAGCGAAACTGCTTTCTCTTCTTCTATCGCGAGACAAGACGCTCGCTTTCTCCCTCTTTTACCCCCTTTTCTCCCTCTCCGTCAAAACACTGAGTGTGACGAAATTGGAGCGACGTCTTTGAAAATATCTACGTATTTTCGATGTGAATTTACTTCGAGAAATCGCTGAAACGTCGCCCGACTGCACTCCAGAATTTCCACCGGTTACGTTATTGTGTAGCGAAACTTAAGAATATGCCGAATAATTTCACGAGCAGATTCAATCTCGATGATTTCAACCGTTGAATCGAATGTCTCGAGTAATCTCGCTTGCAATATACTACCTGCCAATCCAGTAAAACACTTTTTGGATTCTCTCATAATATCGAAACTAACGCTACGACTCGGCTAATTGTCAATCACAGAATCAATAATGGAGGAAGCATTGAAACTATTATATTTAAATGTTAAAGTTTCTTTTGTAGTACAGTGTTGTCAAATATGTAGTATAATCCTTTTGCACTTTTGTGCGCGGTTATTAAAACTATGAATTTGAGAATTTCTTCACGTCACCTCGTGTTACTATTTCTTATGTTTTAAGGAAACGAAGAAAACGAGAAATATTATAAACAAAATTATTCCAAGCATTCGCAGTTGACAAGATTTAGTCTCGAAAAAATTATATGACAGTCGCATTGTTGCACACGGGAAGTTCCAAAGAAACCGTTAAAATCGAAGAAATTGGAAAAGTTTCGACTGCTCCGCGAACCACGACTCTTTAACCCTTTGAAAAGAAGCTACAATTTTCCAAAAAAGGACAAAGAAGAAAGGAAGAAGTCGTACAAAAATGCCCGTGAACGCTAGCCACTGTTCATTGCGAGCACCGAGAATCCGTTCTTAAGAACAGGATTGCTGTCGACAAAGAAAAACCTTGTGAGAAAAAAGAACGATCGCCTCTCCAATAGAGCGGTTTCTCTCGACTTCGTGGAAACCTACCCGAAAGCTGCACGTGTCATCGACGACACGATGAATAAACGCAATTCGAAGTTACTAATTGGAACCAATAGGTCTCTCATTTCTCCGCGTGTCTCGCGAAATTCTCGAAATACGACTTCGTTGCATTTTATGTTTAAAACAATGAGACACGTTAACGTTCCCAGCGACCGTCGTATCATTCAATCGTGTTAATCACGGTCTTTTGATCCCTCCAGTGTCCACGTCTAAAGTCAGCGCCGTACTTGGTCGTACCGCCACTTTGCCTTGCGACATCGAGCCGTCCACGCGAGAAGATCGCGTCTACATGGTGCTTTGGTTCCGCGATTACGCGATGAAGCCCATTTACAGGTGAGCGAACTCGCACTGATAACACTAGTGCCGTCGAAGAAAAGCCAAGAGTTACTTCTGAGAAAAATATGAGAATTGAGAACGATGAAGATAACATACGTGTGCATCGGTTTAAGGAGAAATCAATATTAACGGGAATTATCTTTCCTGAGTTGTATCTGTTCTGGGAGTAAAAATAAATCTCATTTTTCTTCTTTGTTAATTTATTTTCGCACAGTACACATATTTTATCGTGTATCCTAATTATAGGTAATTTCATCTAATTTTCATTCATCGTTATTAATTATTAATAATGACTCGTGTTTCTCCAGCAAGGCTTCTCAACACACTGCGCAATAAATATTTCCTACCTTCGCCGCGAATTACTTATAACTAGAGAAAAAATATATAAAAATTGATAAGAAAATATTCACAACTCGCTTTTTCATCTTTTTTACACGGCATTATTTACTTTCGTAATATTCAACGATGTTTTATTATTCCTTTATTATTTTGCTATAACAAAATTGATTTCCGTGCTCGAAGGGAATTTTTTTCTGAAATTGCAGATTGCTAATATCCGCAAACTGAAAAAATATATATTATATTGACTTGTTTGGCCACAATATGCTCACATTGTTAGGGATATTTGAAGAGATAGTGAGGGAAACTATATCTTTCTGTATATACAATTAGGTTTTACACCGTATAGTTGAAAAATATATCCGAATAAATCTGTAATTAATATTGTTGTATAAATTTCGGTTTCAATATCTCCAAATTGTGCAATACAGTAACTTACATTATTCAACAAAAATTCTTTCTGTGACCGCTATCTTCAAAATTAAATGATTATCAGCGAAATACCGTCTCTCCTAAAATATTTAATACATGGGACGACATATGAAGATTATTATAAATTACCACAAATTTATTATAAAAAATTCATCAGACAGAAAATTATTTTTGTTAGAGGAAAGTTGCCGAAATATCTCATTAATGATTTTTCAATATTTATAGCGCGCGTAAAATAAAATATAACCTGATAGTTTTTTATTTATACTTTTTATTATTCATTTATTCCTCAATTTCATTGTCAGATATGTCACATTTATATTTAATAATAATATTCAGAGTTCAATAATATTCAATATATTATATATGCAATAATATTATTAAATTAATAATAATAAAGAAATTAAAACGAGATACAATTTAGAGAGTAATTCGGTAATTTCGGTAATTTTCCCCTATATATTACATATATTTGAAATAACATATATCACTTATTACATACATGTGTATGTGTGTGTGTGTGTGTGTGTGTGTGTGAGAGAGAGAGAGAGAGACATCTATAATGTATTTTAAATATAATAATCTTTACATTATGATATCTACGAATTATACACGACGACGTGTATAATTCGCAAAATTGCGTGTGCGCAAATTTCAGCTTCGACGTGCGGGGACGGGCTTTCAACAAGGCCCTGAACTGGTCGGACAGCACCGCGGTGGGGCCCAGGGCGTACTTTGTCACCGTGACGAAGCCGGCCGCCCTCTCGTTGGAGGCGGTTCAGCTGGACGACGAGGGTATCTACAGATGCCGGGTGGACTTCAAGAATTCCCCAACGAAAAACTTCCAAGTGAATCTCACGGTGATAGGTACGAGCTTCATTATCGTAACGACCGGCACTCGCGATTCTACTGTGGTATATTAGCTCGATATGATTGAACGCGCTTCGTGAGATAAAACGCTTCGGAGATCGTTTAGCGCGGTCGTATAACTGCGGAAGAAAAGAGAGAACAATCGGGATTACCGTTAGCAGGCGCGGGAGATCTTTTTTCCCGTTCCGATGCGAGAAGTTAAACTTCTCGTCGGAACGATCTCACTCCGTCGCCGGCGGTTTCGCTAATTGAAGGGGTCCGTCGACGGTGGTGGGCCGGGGGGCGGCAAACGACGTCGGTGTAACCCACTTTTCCCCGGGAACTCGGGGTCGAATTAATCGAAATTTCATTTTCGTGAGAGAGTTTAAAATTAATTTTCTCGAGTCCTTAAAAAGACGGCACGAACGAACAAACGAGCGAACGGACCGGCGGGCGTTCGCTGTTGCGCTTGATTAATCGTCCGTCAATTATGGAAAGCGAACTCCGTTCGCGGGATTGTTTGCAGTACCGCCGCACCAGCTGCTCATTTATGATCATTCCGGGGTGGAGCTGGAGAACATCGTCGGGCCGTTCGAGGTCGGCAAGGAGTTCGGCCTGTCCTGCGAAGTGCGGGGAGGTAAGTCCCTTTGAAAGACACTTTGATTCGTAAGGGAGATTGCGATAGGCGCCCAAATTTTTTAGAATTTTGCTGTTACGCTGAGGAAAAGAATACTTGAACATTTATTTTTGGGATGTAAAGTTTATTCACACTGAAGTAACTATTTCGCAAAAATCAACTTTGTCGAACGAATTTTCAAATATTTTTCCACAGTAGAATTGTTCGGACCCACTCAGTTTCACTCAATCAAATCAATTCAGACGATTGTCTTCGACTGTGCCTCGATTTATTCATCGTTACATTTGCCATCGCTTTTGCGGTTTCCCCATCATACATATGCTTCGTATTTCTTAACAGACGAAACGATGAATTGATAAATAATAAGCCAACTAACATAACGCCAAATTAGGCAAGCGTTTATTGAATAACAGTGCATTCGATTCGTCGCGTCACGCGGTGAAAAAGAGCATTACTGTTTAGTTAATTAATTTGGAACGGCGCGCGAAGCGCTCAGAGAGAAAGAGAGTGTATACTTGGAAAATTGTCGGGTTAGAATTAAAGTTACCTTTGTTTCTTCATCATTCTTTCTCGAATTACCCGCGAGACCTGCTAATTACCTAGCCAAAAAATAAATAAATAAGAAATATCTTAATAACGTGTCTCTCCCAGCTACGTAAATTTCCCAAGGAGCTCTTGGTCTCATTGAGGCGCGCACGCATGTGAGTTTACCAGCGGAGATAATTCTTCTCCTTGTAATACTTCTTCGTAATTCTTTTCCTCTTCCCGGATTCGTATGTTAATAACAGACGTCGGAAATGAAATACGGTATTTCGAGGCGAAATAAATTTCCTGCGACACACTTTAAGAGCAGCAATGTATTCACCGACGTAATCCTCGTCACGCGTTTCCATTTATAATATTTTATCCGTTAATCCCTTCGCCTCCTCCCCACCACTCCCCCCCACATCTCTCTCTCTTTCGGAGAGGAATCAGGTTTCTCATTAACATGTTTAGTCAGATACGAATCTCAGCGAGTGACAAATTACCCGTCGAGCTTCGCGTTACACGTGTAAACGCGCCAGAGAGATCGCGTGAATGAACAAATAAAAAGAGAGAGAAAGAGAGGGCGAATAAAGGGGGAGAGAGGAGGGGGGGAGGGATAGGACAGAAGAAGGAAAAAGCGAGAGGAAGGTAGTGCGGTATCGTTCGGAATTAAATACGAGCTTCCCTAAGTGGCCGGGAATTACGCGGGCGCGCTCGATTGGAGACACCCGGTATTAAGCGTAATTATGGTCCCGGTGATTTGTCTGCTGTCACGCGAGCGATCGAGCGGTGGAGTTAATTAGCCGCGTATAATTTCCGTGCTTTCCGTGCTCGCGCGAACGTCTCTCGCGCGCGAAGGGAAACCAACGCCGGTGGTGAGCTGGCTGGTGAACGGCAAGGAAGTGGACGGCAGGCTCGAGGAGTTCGGCCAGAACATCGTCGTCAGCAAATTGACCGTGCCGCAGCTGCGAAGGGAGCACCGCAACACCACGTACAAATGCCGGGCGGCCAACACGCATCTAATACCACCGCTAGAGAAGACGGTGATCCTCGACGTTTATCGTGAGTACCTTTCCCCTCGAGTCGTCCGCGCCGAGGCGAATTTTCGCGGACGCAGAAACGACCTTCGATCCGCTTCTCGTCCCTTGGCTGGACGACCTACGGCGTTTCGACCATTCGATATCTTGATGTGCGCAAAAAAAAAGAGGGAGAGGAAGAATTTGTGCAAACTCTCCCTCTCTTTCCCCTTTTAGAGATGTTTCTTTGGTGAAAAATTTAGAAGGGTTTAGGTACTTATAATTTTACTTTAGCAAAAGGGACGTTTCTTTCCAAGTTACAAATTGACGAACTAATGCGTGCAAAGTTTGTCGAGGTTTTTGTCAAAGCCAAGGTTAGAGAGACTTTATTCGACGAGTATATAGTGCTTTTTCTTTTGTAGTATCAGATATATTTGTCAAATGTGGCACTTATTTGTCATAATATCGCTCGTATAATTTCTAAGCAGCATGAATTTTTAAGCTGTATTTTTAATTAAGCTTTGCAGAGTTAATCAAAGTTTGTTGCGCAACATACTAATAATTCACAATGCAACTATAAAAGCGTGGAGAATGAATGTTCTTTATGTATTTTATAACAATGCATTTTTGCGTATTATCGACTTAATGAATTATTGGTCGAGTGTTAAACGTGATTTAAAGCTCTGATTTCTATCGCAAGCAATTATTGCAACTAACCGCGAAAGTTAAATTTGACTACCTCACACGGAAAAAATAATCCCTGTTACATTTGCGACGTCTTCGACATATCTCGAAGGTATATTTTCAATAAAGATAACTTGCACAGTCCTCGAAGCCAATATCGATTCGAAATGTTATTACTGAATATTACGCTCATAGGTATTTTAAATATATCACAAATATTTTAAATAACGATTTATGATTCGTACGATAATATTCATAGAAAGATCGTTACGAAAACGGTGAGTTAAGAAAGATTGATTTGATAATATTATTGAAGAAATTTCTGTTCTAAATATAACATAAAATATAGAAATGTTCCAGTTATCTGAAATAGAAACCAATTTTCAAATATTTATTACACTGATTGAATAATATTTATATATCTACGATACGTCTACGATATATATCGTAGATATATTTAAAATACCTATGAGCGAAATATATTGGGTTGAATAAAAAAGTAATTTCCGTTTCTTCTTTTTGTTTTATTTTCGTATGAGATATTTTGCAACGTAGTCAGTTTAATACGTATTCGTCGTTGTGAGTCATGACTCGTGTTCTCGACTAATAAGTAGCTTATAAACTTTCTGTGGACGTTTACGTTTGGAGGAAAAAGAACTTGCTATTTTCATCGGGATTATCTATGATTCGACCCAGTATTCTTCAAATAACATATCCGACCAAATATTTAAATCGTTCCATATACTTTTTGTCTTATTTAAGATTACTGGGTTTTCTATATAATATAGTTCTTACCTACTACTTTACTATTTACTATTTCTCTTGTCTGGAATCGATCTTTACACTTAAGTTATTTTGATCGTCTCCTAATTATTCATCGTCTTCTTTGAAATATTCAGATATGTTGGCCTGGAAATAACTATTCGCAAAAAAAAGTCTCAGTTCGTGCAACTGAATATAAACCAACTGAAAATTAGATGATCAGAAGCGATATTTCTGTTATAAAAATTAATATTTCTATTGTCGCAACCGAAAATATTCATTCAGCGATCTTAGAATTCGGTTGAGATAACTGAGAACAATTGACTATATAGAAGCCTCATAAAGGAATTTTTCTGTCCCTATAGCCGAGTTTTCGTCTGATCCCTGAGCAACCGAAAATTCAGTTGTATCAACGGAATTGTTTTTTCCGCGTAAACGACAAATATAATTAAATCGTAGTATGATATATTACACATGACGATGTGGAACTGAACTTCCACGTGGTAGTTTTGTTGAAAACAATTTATAATTAGATCTAATGATATATGCAAAAAGAGTCAATCGCACAAACGATACTTCGATCGATTCTAGTGAAACCGCTCAACGTAAAGATACTGTCGAAACTAACGGTTCTGGAGACGAATAAGGACTACTCGATCACCTGCGAGACGACAGGATCGCATCCTCGCGCTCGCATCATCTGGCTCGAAGGCAACAACGATACGTTTCCTAGTGGCAAGGTTAATAACGACGCTTTTAAATATAATGCGGGATAATTCGTCTTAGATGACGCAACGATTTTTCCCTAAAACTGTATTTTCCGTAAAAACATTTTGAATAAAAGTTAGTTTCAGGAGATTCCAAGGGGGTTATAAGATTATGATCTTACCTTAATCTTGAACTGCTCCATTAAGATCACGTTAAAATCACTTTGTGTAGAATTTTATAGAATTAAACTTTTTATAGAATTAAATAGATAGAATTGTGAGCAATAATATTTTTTGTAGAATTAAGTAGAATAATATGTTCCTTTTTGTACAAAATGTCGATTCTGCTCGTTGTTCCGTATATAAGTGTCGAAATGAAATTATTGACAAATGGACACTTACCGAGATATTTCAGGTTTTATATTCTTGGAACCAAGCAACTTTAATTTGGGATATATTTCAGGGAACTCTTGGTCCAAGAGGAAATCGGGGCGTCATTTAAAACAAATCATCCTGTATACGTGATAATCGCGACGCGGCTTATACGCGCGCGTGCATGTGTGATTTTTCGATCGGCCCGAATTGTCGTAACTTTCGAATTTCGAATGCATTTAGGTAATGGAGAGCGGTAACGCCTCGGTGGTTCTCAGCACGCTGGTATTCTCACCCGTCCCGGACGATCACGGCAAGATGCTGAAGTGCCGAGGCGAAAATCCCGCCTTGAAGGACGCGTTCCTGGATGACACTTTTAAACTGAACGTCGTGTGTAAGTATTTTCTCTTTTTGCGGAAGGAAGTCGCGAGATTATCGCGACAAATAAATTGTCACCCGATTGACAAGCTTATGACGAATTGAATAAACTTTTATTTCGTGGAATCGACGATAATATATCTCCGGCGATATATCCTTCTCATAGGTAATAATTTTAATAATTATAATAACGTTTTATTAGTTTACACGATTTAATAACGCGATATATCATTGATGCGCTTTTATTTAAAGCCGTACGTTTTATCGAAACGCTTGTGCCGTCTATCGAGTAACGGAAAAGTCCAAATATACGGGGTGCATATTTAAATACGACAAAAGTTAACAGAAAGTGGAAAGTATATGTCGATTACATAATTGATCCCGCGGTGCATGTCTGTGCATCTGTTGATCATCGTGTGTTACCAACTAATTGTATAAATTGGAGTCGGTTGTATAAATAGTTTAGAAACTGAACACACACATACAAACAGACGGCAGCCAAAATCCGAGACAAGAGGTTATTGTTGTTCTCGAGAAGAATTGGAAACAATATAAATTGATCGCGTAGACAGGCGCATTATTTAGCAGCGTCTCTTTCTCACATACTATCTCTTGCGCTTTTAATGTTTTATGTCCGCTTTTTCGGGACTTACTATGGTCCCGACCATTATGGTCACAGCGCGTGTAATATTAAAGCGTCGAAAAAATTCTCTTCAGTCCCACCTAAAGTGCAGCTGCATCTGGGCAGCACCTTGAACGCGGAGAACATAAAGGAGGGCGACGACGTGTACTTCGAGTGCAAAGTCCGGGCCAATCCGGAGCATCACAAAATCACCTGGCGACACAACGTAAGTCACGGTCATCGATCACGCGGTCCTTGGCCTCTAATGTCGAACTCGCAAAAAGTTTCTCGTTCCGCTTCGAAATTTCTCGAGTCGCTCGGAAACGCGCGTCCTCGATTCGAAGGCCACCGGTTTATCCTTTCCGTCCGATAGAGACCTTCTCTATCTATGCATGAGATTTTTGGACGAAAAAGCAAAGAACACACTTCAGAAGCGGGCGGAATATCGTCGATGTATTCCGAATTTTTGCAGAGAAGTCTCCGCGAGGAATTCCCGTCAGGGAACGACAGGGAGAGAGTTCGGAACAGATTCGCAAGCACTTCGGAATTTTGGTGTTGGAACTTTTCAGACAACCCTTCGATTCTTGCTACTAACTATGCAAAGAGACCACCTTCCTCTGTTTCCTTTTTTTCTTTTAGGCCGATAAAGATCCTGCGCGGAAGAAAATATTTCAATTCGCGTAACTGAACGGGGACCAGACGAAGAATTCGCTGACGAGAAACAACATATCTCTCACTATATAACCGAAAACATTCGTCCGAACATTCAGCTGCGTTAAAACTCGATTGAGGCAGCAACTGGCTGAGTAGAAATCTTCTACTCCAGGATTTTTTCTGTTCTCACAACCGAATTTTCCATCTGATTCCTAGATAACGGACAATTCAGTTACACTAACGGAGTTGTATGCTTCCGTGTATTTTTTCCATAATAACTGAAATACGAATATATTGCGCGACGTAATTAATCTGGTCCGGTCTCCTCGGTAAAGTCTCACGCGAGTTCGATTCGCCAGCTGCTTTCGATAAGACCGGATGTAGGACATCGCCACTTTGAAAGCAGCCGCCGTAATTAAACCGTTAATGATCTACCAATGACAGGGCGCGGTGCTCACGCAAAACTATTCAGCCGGCATCATCATGAGCACCCAGAGTCTGGTGCTGCAAAGTATAGGCCGCGACAACGCGGGCAATTACACGTGTCTGGCCAGCAACGATCGCGGGGAAACGACGAGTCCGATCGTGACTTTGAGGGTGCAATGTAAGTAGACACGAAGGGAGCCTATCGCGTGATTACAGGCAAGAATCGACAACGGCACGTTTAAATTCGCGATACCCGACGACGACGACGACGACGAAAAAGCGCGACATTTGCGTTTCGCTCGCGGATCAATGAAATGCGAAATTCGGCGAGCCGAGGTAAGATCTTCTCTCGCGTCGGCAATCGAACTTCGGAATCATAGCGGTTTTAATCCCTTATAAGAACTCGGAAGAGGGGAACGTGTAATTTCGGCGAGCGAATGCTCGGCGATTAATTGGATTTTAAATTAAGGTCACGTTAGCGCGGACAAGGGCGCGGGAAAAATCAGCGCGCGAAAAGAGAGAGACGCGTGTATTCGTGGAATTACGACTCATCGTGTATTCGTCACGAACGATTAAATATTTATACACACCGCGTGCGTGCGTGCGAGATTTAGGAATATAAATATTGATGTTGCAAATTAATGATAATATCTAAAATGAAAGTAAATTGTTGATACGTTTTCAAATTATCGCGATGAAATTGATATTGTTGCGGAAACGTTGACCTCTGACTTTTCCGGCTGGTTGGAAGTTATCCCCGGCATATCGTCCCGTACGTTCCTCCGGCACGTAAACTCCAAAATACTCGTTACACAATATGCCAACTGTGCTTAATTGCGTTCGGGAGCGAAATATCTCGGACGTTGGGATATGAAGGGGGGATTACATTTTAGAAGCTAATTTATTTTCAACCCCTGTATCTGGCCCCTACGGCGAGCGCGTAATTCTCCTGATTAAGGGTGAATAAAATGACGTTTAAACTTGGTATAATCCCGCTCCCAAAGTTTCACCGATCGATAGCGGAAACAAGATCGCCCCTTTCGTATTCGCGCCGCGCTCTCATCGTTTCAACGTCGATGACGAGGCACGCGCATCGTACATGTATGTGTGAACTGTTCGTTTTTTTCTCTCCTTTCTTTCCCGTTACACACACCAACGCGATAGTCGCACCGGTTTGCAAGATGAAGGAAGTGACGATCATTGGAGCTTCCCTGGAAGAATCCGTGAAAGTGCGCTGCGAGGTGGACGCCGATCCAAGCGAGGTCGACTTCGTCTGGGAGTTCAACAACAGCGGCGAGAACTTCGAGGTTGCGCCGGCCAAGTTCGACGGCAACAACGGCACGATGAGCGAGCTCGTCTACACTCCGGAATCCGAGAGGGATTACGGCGCTTTGACCTGCTGGGGTAGAAACGCGATAGGGAAGCAAGAGGCACCTTGCATCTATCAGGTCATTCCGGCAGGTAATGATATCTCAAATAATTCTTTCAGCAATTATTATTGTTTGAGACGTTTGTCAAAAATCTTTCTTCAACATGCAATGAGAAGAAATGTCTTCGCATAGTTGATATTTTATGATATCGATGATAATTGACAACTCTTTTTAGCTAATTGCGAAAAGAATTATGAGAAAAATATCTGTGTGTGTGAATTTTACAAATTTGTTTAATTGTAACACGCAATTTTGTCCATCAAATTATTTTTGATTTTGATTTGCTGAATCGATCAGTCTTCTATTTCGTGTAATTTAATGTTTTATTTAAGTACACACAAAAAAATGACTTAGCAATATTAGCTAAACCGCAGTAGCTAATTCAAACGTAGTCAAAAGGCTAATCGTTTAGCTGTCAAGAATTGGCTATGACAGCTAAAATGTATTCGCTATAAAACACAAATATATTACAAATATATTAGATAACGTTAAAAATAGCTAAGAAAACGGCAGTTATTCCTACATTTCTTATCGTATGCATATATTAAAGAAGTTAAGTTTGTAGCACAGTTACAATCATTTGTCATAGTCATTTCACAGTCAAATCACAGTTGTTACGGTCATTTATTTCTAGCAGCTAATATTTTCCGCTGTAGTGTCTAAGTTTAAACAACGAGTAAATTTAGCTTTAATAGTCGATATTAGCTGTTCCTATTTCAGTGACACATGTTATCTGCCACAGCTATTTTTTAGCTCTGGAAGCTAGTTTTTTGCGTGTAGGGTTATTGATAGACTTAGTGTTAAATAACTAATAAAGTCATATGGATCCAGTTGTAACGAATATCGAATAATTCGGGTAGGTATTTTTAAATATGAATAAAGAGACGGATATGCCATGCACACATTAAAATGGACATAAGTCGAATAATGAATTACATTTGCAGAACTCTAGGCGAACTGGATTTCTACTTTTAGAAACTCTTCGTCCTAGGTCGGATATATTTGTGTTCGCGGAGACTGAAAATATTTAAATGTTACCGTGTGCATTACGTGTCGTATCGTGTCTTGCGTCAAATTTCGTGCGCAAGTTTTTACCCGTTCAATTTGCACGTACACACATACGCTCACACTTGTCCTATCTCGCTCTGTATCGAAAAGTCCAAAATAATCCGCACTACATGCAATTCCAGCGCCTGCCACCGTCCCATCATGTCTACCTCGAATTGTCACAGAGCTGTTTTCTATCTCTTTACATTTGAGCGCAATTCAAATAAAATGAAAAAAATTTTCTTCTTTGTTCCATTTCTCGACGTACATTTTTCTACTTCCTCTTTTTCACGTCGCGCTTGTTACAGTAGAAAATATAGTATTTATCGCAGGTGGCACACTCGTTCTGAAAGAATCGTCTTCCAATGAAAACTTTTTAATTTTTCTAACGACGTGCAAGCGCGTTCGCGCGCGTGAAGAGACTTTCTCGTGACAAGAACGTATCCTGTGCAGTGAAACCGAATCCACTGAACAACTGCACCATCAAGGTCTCGTTGAATCAGAGTGCGGAGATCTTGGAGGTGGAGTGCGTGCCCGGCTACGACGGCGGTCTTCACCAGGAATTTCGGCTGGAGGCTTACGAGGTGTTGACTGATAACCTTCGGGTGAACGCGTCCAGCGTGTCGGCTGATCTACCGATCTTCCGGATCGCTGTGGCGGATCTACTGCCAGCCACGCATTTCTACCTGGTGACGTACGCTGTGAACGCGAAGGGCCGCAGCGAAGTGTCGCTATTGGAGGACATAATGCTACGGGACTCGGAGAAGCACACTGGTAATTAAATTAATCAACTATTTCTCATTCTAATTGTGTCGAGTCTTGAATTAATTCCAATAGTAAATTTTAAATTTCTTTTTTCTCCGAGATTCATACTATACTAAGTTAGAAATGTTTATGAAAGAACGTCCAGAGGATTCTAATTGATCCTTTTTCTAATTGAATCGAATAACTTCAACGACGTGTGAATTTTATATTATTTTCCTCCGTCTTTTTTTGTGCAAAGCCATATTTAGAAATGTTTGTTAGAAAACATTAAGTCAGTGCTGATCGCTCTCCACTCAAATCAGATCGAGTCACGCATAACTTTAATAAAGTGAATATTTTCATTGTTTCGTTTCCTTCGTGAAACACGAATCGTTATTAATAATAGAATGCATATTATATTAACCTCCACACACACACATTGTAAGATATTCTCGTTATAATGTGATCAAATATAAACACTATATTGAAATAAGCTCTATTAAAAATAAATGCTTTATATTGAAAATAAATTTTTAAATGAGAAGAACAAAAAATAAATTTTAAGAAAACATAAATTATACATATATAACGAAAAATTTTTAAGCAATGTCAAAATTAAATTAAATTTCTATTATATCTGGTTTTTTTCTCCTTTTTTACGTAGATATATATTTGCGATGATATAAAATCGATGTAATTCTCCCGCTATTTATGTAACAGTATATAGTAGGATAAAATGATAATGGTACAGGAAAAAAAGTGTATTAATACTATGAGGAACTTTGTGCATTTCTCTAAAAATACATGCTGCGGAGCGTTACTCTTCGCAAAATATTTACCATCTTGAAATGTTTTCCTTAACAATTTCTTCTTAAAAATTTCCAATAACCCGTTGATTAGGTCTCGAGAACCGAAACATGAAATGTATCTTTATATTCTTTGTAAAAAATAACATAAATTGATCAAAATTAGCAGTCTGTTGTGAAGACCTAAAACGGATTGATAGAGAAATGAATTTATCTTCTCTAATTGAATGTACAATCTTCGAGATTAACGGATGATTTAAGATCTATTTATTTCGGGGATATTAGTTCCTTTTAATAATTCCCAACAAAATGAAGAAAAAGAGATATATTTAATTCACACGAAGAAAAAGATATATATTTAATTTATATAATAAATTAATTTCGTCATTAATTTTATCTATTATATGTTAACACCTTCGTCAAATGCGTTTGTGTTATTTTCCTTCGTATATTCATTAATTCACAGTGAAAAATTAATCGCAACGCAATTCATGAGGAAAAAATTATATTCATTTGTAACGATGATATCGCGTGTTTTCCAATCTGAGTATCATATTTAATATCAGGTAAACATTTATAACTTATGGATAGCCGTAAGTGAAATCTATATAATTAATAAATAAAAAATAGAAAAGTATATATTTATTTCACAAAAATAATTCATCTTGAGTTATCAAATATTTTATTTAATTTAGTAGAAATGAAATGGGGTCATTCACGTTACAGCTAAGAACGTCAATAAATTTAACACGTTCGCTACCATCGCGTCGCACATACGTGCGATAAATTCTCGCAGTTAATTTCTTTATTTTATATATAAGAGCAATAATATGCGTTGTATTTCGAACAGAAGCGATATTCCTCTCAAAGCATAACGCGGCTAAGCGCGGTCGGGCGACTGTTTGCGAAATTTACGACAAAAAATCATGACAAAAAATCGGGATTAAGATTGCTTAATTTTTATAAAAGCACACGATATTTAACAATCTATCTATATTGATTTATAATTGAAAACTGAAGTATTAAAATTTATTATTAACGTGCAAGACATACATATGAAAAATTTATAAATTATTTCGAAGATTAGAATTTTAAAGCGTGCAAATGGATCATACTGCCATGGACAATCTCAAAGGCTCATCCCGTTCGTTAAACTTTCCCGACCCAATATCCGAACATGATCATCACACAAGTAAAATCGCATGTCTGCCATCGCAGTGCGACATTTATATGCGACGTTTCGCTTTCAGACACTGGTGTCAGTATGTTGCCGCTGATTCTGCTACTGATCGGCTGCCTGATCGCCTTCGGGGTGACGGTGCTTTCGGTGATGTTGATGATGTATCGACGTCGCGGCACCACGTCACCGGTGCACATCGAGCCGTACATGAAGCAGCCGATAATCACCCCGCCAGACTCACGGAACAACTCGATGCTGGACGTGACTCACGGCGACCACACGTACTTCGTCGAGTACACGCTGAAACAGGTCACCGATTACGCGCTCAATAATCAGCCGGATATCATACAGTCGCCGCAAGGTAATACCGTAGCGTAACAACGAAATAACGTGATCACTTTTGTCGCCGCGACCCGATCTGACCCAGCCAGGTTTCAACGTTTGCGGCAGATTAGGGGAGACCGCAGGTGGATTCGCAAACTTTTCAAAATTTCGCTGTTGGGATTTTTCGGGCGATCGAAATTGTCGTGATTGACAGTACAGAAATGACAGCGGCAACCGTTTTTTTTTTTTCATGTTTCTACGTCAGGAACGATTCTCTGTTACTGTAAAATATATATTTCACTGTAATAATCGAAATATGAACTTGCTACATCGTAGGGAATCTTCACTGGTATCAACCAATCCGTCCATGTATTCGATTTCAATCATTTTATTCATTACTTTTATTCTGTAACCTGTTATGCAAAAAAAACTTCATTTTAACTGATATAACACGTTACTTATTCGCTCACGGTGGAGAATATTAACACACGGAGAAAACTGATTGCTACATCCACATATACCATGGTTAGAGAAAAACTTGTAATTTCAAATTACAGATGTGGCATTAAAAGTTGCTGTTGTTACGTGTCTGTCTATACAGTTGCCATAACCATAGTCCTTGAGATACATGATGTTCAGTAGTATATCCTCATATAGTTGCCTCAACCGACGGAATATTGTTATCTCTCTGTTGTGGTCTACAGAACAAATACTATGGTTGAAAAATCCGTAGGGTTTAAGAAAGAAGAAAGGACTGAGCCGTGAAAAGCGATTAGCAGTGAATTCGCGGGTTCGATCAATGTGTAGTTTTACATTCAGCCGAGAATGAGAAACGTACGACGCTAATCAGTTTCTATCGATCGCTAATCGCCCATTAAACGCTCCGTGTAGCTGAAATCAATCGCGATCAATCGCGTTTTTAACGATTGGCTAGTAACGATGGATTACGCAGTGTCGAAAATTGCAACCGGCCAGGACGGCCGGGATGCGACTTTGCGCGGCTTTGTACCGACTTTCACTATCCGATTTAACATGTTACGTGCAATTTTAACGTAATAACCGTAACAAGCCGTTCACGGCGAATATGCTCGCTTATAACGAGATTCGTTTTAATTCGATGAAAATCGGGTTTGGGAAGCTGCTGCGTCGCGCGCGGCCCGTCAACCGATGCAAAATGGAATAACGTGAATGTTTCAGACCAAGAGAAGATCAAACGTGAGCCACAACTGTTTCTGCCGGTAAGACCGGACACGTTATTCGCACCCTACGACATTCACAAGCAGGGGCTGCAGACGAATAGATGCAGCGTGAGTAATTTCCAAGCTCTTACGTTCCCCTCATGAAAATGTAAATCATAAGCTCTAGCGAGAAACTATCGCGGTCTGCATGAGTTACATTCTTCAAATGCCATGTCGATATCGATATTGGATATAAATTCCGCGACGCCGCAATCGCGGATAAAATTCACTTGAACCTTTGCGTCGCTATTATCGGAACTTACACCAGAAAATACGTACGTCCTGGCTTGCCTATTAACGAAACGTTTCACGTAATAATTTTCCAATTAGCCCGGGAAAGATTCAAGATGAAATATAACTGTTAGCTCTTCAATTCCTTCAGAGATAGGGAGAAGTTCGATAATTCAAGAGATCCCGAACTCTGCGATTCGGAAGAACAGAAATTTAATCTGCTGTAGATTGAACTTTTATCAATCACTTATAAATTAAACCGACTTAATCGGTCTCGATAACTCCTTTGCAGATGAAGCTCGTGACCGGATATCTCAATTTTCTCAGGGGTGTTATGAATAATATCGACTCCTTTGAGTGAGGAGTGGGCAATCCTCGCGGCATCGCGTTCGCGGTCGTTTTAAGTCCCCGACTCTGATTCGCCCAATTCTCATGCGCACGCGTGCTCTCTCTCTCTCTCTCTCTCTCTCTCTCTCTCTTTCATTATTAATAAGTATATTTAGACGCCCGATATTCCTTCTACTTGACAGTTGAACCCGTTCTCCGCGAAGTCCTGGGAGCCCATCAGCTTCAAAGCTGATCGCAACCTGATGAAGGAGATCATCATCGCCAATTCCATACCTGGCCCCGAAAGCTGCGTGTAAACTCGATCGCGAAAGAGTGAATTGAGAGACATATGCGCGAAAAAATACACACACATACGTACATTTATACGCGTGCAGTCAGTAGAAGAAATGTCGCAACACTTTCACCTCGAATCTTAGAATATATCTGGTATCTAATAGAAAAATTTATCTTCTAAAGTTGACTTTCGCACTCCGATTAAATTAATCGATTGGCCGACCGAATTGCCATCAGCAATTTGCAGCTATGTAATTTTGTCATTCAACAATAAACAATATTTAATAATTCTGTTCATGTTAGTAAAGCAGAACAATTAATTGACAATACTTTTAGATGTAAGTTACAGAGAGGAAACAATAGAATTTTCTTATTCATTTTAATAATATATAAATTGTACATTGTTATTTTTCGTGTTTTCTCAATTTCTAAGTTATCAGCTGAATTTATCTTAGCTATTAGCTTAATTAAAATTTAATAAAGGTCATCTTGATAACGACTAATGCCCAATTTCTTTACCTCCGGTTAACTTTATCTGCCACTTATTCTATTGGAATTGACCAATCATATTTATGGTGGCAAGAATTAACCAATCACGGTTGACATTTAACCGACAGATAAAGTTAACCGGAGGTGAAAAAATTGGGCATAAAAGACGAATTCTCCCATTAGATACGGATGCGTTGCGAAACACGTTGACAAAACAGATGTTGTGGCCATTCTTCCACAGACTACACACCTATCACACACGTATACATACGTACATATCGCAGGACGATCGATTTTGAAAGCCTGAAGACTATCGCTGCGCGGTCGAGACCAGAAAACTGGATCGCGCGCGTATCAACGCGAAATCAACGAATCTCTCACGTCGCTTGTTTCAACGCGCCGATGTGGTGACATATCACGACGATATCGTAGCAGACATATCAGCAATCGTATCGTAGCATATCGTGGCGCGCCACGACCATCTCCCGAGATCAACGATCAACGGACCCTGGATCATTGGCGATCCGAAGCGCAAGGATCGCACGCGGAACGAACGAGCGAGAGAGTCCGCGGAATTAAGGACGTCGCGAGAGACGATTTAGTCGCATAATTTAACCGAACGCTACACGTGGTGTACTATTCCAAGTTTAATATATTTTGTGTCAAGTCTTGACGTGTCTCATCATTCCCGGCGCGCACCTTCGTTGACAACCTTCTCCCAGTGTCCTGTACCAGTAGTACAGTATTACGTTAACGTTGCAGAAAACAACGTTTTTTATTACAACTAAAAATTTTGTCAAGCTCAGTAGATCTATAGCCGTGATGTACAAATAGTAAAGTTTTCTGTTACAATAAGTTTCAGTTACATAAAATTGTGCCTAAATAAAATTCAATGTTAAAGCAAATTCTTTGGCACACCAAAAACGATTTCAAAACTAGTAGGAAAATATAGTTTAAGATATTCCACGAAATATATATTTATCGAAACAACTAATTCTTTTGCTGCTGTTTTAAAATTAAAAATTGGTACATCAATGAATTTTTTTGTAGTTAATTAATTACTTTAGCAATAGAAGTTAGCTGTAAAGCAACAGTGTTTAAGGTGGTAGAAATTAATGCTTACAGTGGTAGAAAATTGTCTTATGTGTTAATCTTAAATAACATCTAATATGCACACGTAATAATCTTGAATTTCATGAAACACAGCTATGTTTACACATAGCTACACATATATACGAAACATAGCATATATTTAAAATAAGTTTTATTTTTCCTCTCTAAAATAAAAGCATCTTTACAAAAAGAAAACTTATTGAATACATCGCGGTAAATAGATATATAAATTGAGTAGATGTATCTCGTATAAAAATAACCAGTATCGTTCTCATGATCATTAATTAATTACAATTAATTGAAGCACTTTCCTTTTTTGTCTTTCTCATCGTGAATTAACAGAGACGTGAGTCATGTCTTGATTAATTTTAACCAATGTTTTTAGAGAACGAACCGGATCTCCTAATGGACGCGCATGAAAGTGTGTCTAAAATAGCGAGCGTTTAGCGCGTGTATATTTAAGGGACAACAAGAAACAAGGACCATACGCCAAAGCGGACCAGACTATTACACCGACCACAGCAGCCGCTACTATCAGATGCGCCCGATGACGAACGCGGCTCAAGACCCGCAGCATCCACTTGCGGTCCACCGCTCTCTCGGGAAACACCTACAGCCGGACGGCATCACTATATTCTAGAGATTTGCGGTCATCATATAGAATAACCGGTTATCAAATGACGAATTAATTATATAAAAAAATATACAACTTATTTACGTAACCGGTTATCTTTCAATTCAATTACTGCGATTCATTATTATCTTCTAGAATAATTCTTTAAACGAGATTTGATGTTAGTGTTTCTTAATCAATCATGTTGTCAACGATCATTCCCTAACGTGTGCCGAGGAGAGATGTCTTCGCATAGTTAATATTTTATGATATATATAATATTGACGGACATCAACTCTTACTGATTGCTTAAGAAAGGGTAAAAAGATCTGTTATAATTCACGTAAAAAAGATTTGCTGCTGCAATTAAAAACTTCGCTAGTTTAGCAAATCTGTAACTGTAATATGCAAAATTCGATTTGCTGAAATAATTAAAATAATATCCGCAAAAATAACAACTGTTTCCACACATAATCTCTTTGTTGCACGAGCAAATCTGCTTAGTTGCAACATTTGATTTTGTCTAACGAACTCTATAGGTTTGTCGAATCAATTAATCCATTTTTTTCATGATATTAAGTTATTACTAATTGAAACGAGATAATCAGTAATTTTCGCAACCTCTACTACGTTATTCGATTCTGCTTCGATTCTTTTTGTAACTGTGATCGTTTTTGGAGCTTCGTGAACTTCCTCGTATACTGGTTTCATCCTGCTTCGCACTTGTACTTCATCATGCGCTTCGTATACCTCGTCGTGACGCGCCTCTTCATACACTTTGCCGTGTACCTCGCTATATGTCTCTTCCTGTGACTCGTGCGCGTCGTCTGTGCACGGAAAGCGCTCGTACTGCTCACGTGAGATGTTTAACTTGTGTAAGTAAATACATATCGAGTTTGAGGATCATTAATTAATCATATAATTGTTATTATATAAAGAGTTTGAGGATCATTAATTAATCATATAATTTTTATTATATAAAGTGTTTCATAATTATTGTACAATATTTTAATACATTTTAAAACTTAATTGGAGTTAATATGAAAATGTTGAGGCACGTTATAATTTATCATAATTTTTAATATTTTATGTTTTTTGTAATTAAAGTTTTAATTATAGAATTCTGTAATTTGTCTGTGTGTGTGTGTGTGTGTGTGTGTGTGTGTGTGTGTGTGTGAAATCAATTAAAAATGTAATTTTGTTATTTATTTGACTTCTCTTGAAGTGTCTTATAAATGAAAAGGTCATCTTTTTCTTGACTCGAAAAATATAGATGTCTCAATATTTTTATATGGATATTTTTGACTACAATTAAATTCTAGAATATAGCTATTATAATATTATCCCAATGATTTTGAGAGAATATAAATCTTACACAAATGTAACATCAATTAAATGTAACATTTAATTGATCGATTCATCGTGCGCGAAAGTGAGATGGATTATGTATGTGCTATGTGTTATAAGTGTTTCGCCGCGCGTTTACAAGGTGCATTTTGAAAACAGTGCAAACAACGCGGTCCTTCAAATGTCCTCTGAGCAATTTGGGACAACTTTAACGCACCCACGAACGCCCGAAGGATCGATAGCATCCAATTACGGGAAACGCGGGACCTACCTGCGTGTTCTGCAGTTTACTTATTTGCTGACGGACCAGACGGACCACCTTACATTTGGCGTGTTGACAGTTCGCCAAGAACTCCGTGAAACTCGCCTGATCGTTCTGTTCGTCGTCCTCCAAGTAACGGCATTCGGTGCATGTACGCGCGTGACATATCATCTCCACCGATGACGCGTAAATGATATCTCTCACTGTGTATCACGGAACGATCGGTAGGATTTAAGAGAATCATTTTTTTTTTTCTAAACAAATTCGTCACCGTCGCGGCTGAAGATACGAGCGAGTCGAATTGTGCAAATAGCACGATCGACTATCTCTGAAAATATCCTATCTTCATCTCGAACTTTCGTCAGTTCAATTAAAAATAATTATAATCCGAAAACAGGCTTCAATTTTCAATCAGTGGAATCCTCATTTAAATTTGAAGATGCAACTATTTCTGCGCGTTGTATAATTCTTCGGAGAATCATAAATTTTGCGAAAATTTGAATGAAACACGATTATGCACCGAATCCATCCATCGTAATAATTCGACGGTACGGTAATCAATCATTTCCTCCTAGCGAAAAATATGCAAGATGGTTCTCGATGTAAGAGATGTTGATCAAATTATTGGAAAAAGTGAAAAGACATAACTTGTTTTATAGATAAAACGTTTTATACATAAAATGCGCTAAATACGTTTTCAACAAACGTGAAATTAAATCGAACACGATAAAATAAGAACGTTAGTTACAAAGAACTGTCTGAGAATCGATTACAAGGATGTCTTTGCCCAACACTTTACAACGGAGTGGAAAAATTTAAGAGAAAATACAGGCCAGAAAAAATGCACAACATTTTTCAAGTACTTTCTCCGAAATATAATTATCTATTAGAGAATATCTAAAATTATAATTTTAAAAACAAATACAAAAATGTTGCTGTCTGAAAAACTGTCTTCTTATAAATAGCGTGAATTACGTGAACTCTATAGATTTGCCGAATCAACCAATCCATTTTTTTTCATGATATTAAGTTATTAATAATCGAAACGAGATAATCAGTAATTTCACAATCTTTTCTACGTTATTCGATTCTGCTTCGATTCTCTTTATAATCGAAGTTTAGCGATCGTTTTTGGAGCTTCGTGCACTTTCTCGTATACTGGTTTCATCCTGTCTCGCACTTGTACTTCATTATGCGCTTCGTATACCTCATTGTGAAATATCATCGTGATATTTTATTTTATATTGTATATTGTATAAATTTTTAGTAATATTTCGAATTTAACATTTACACTTTAAATTTATCAATTAAAAATAATTTTAATAATAACGTAGTTTATTTCTACAAGCTTACAAAATAAGACTTACGAACATGCAAACGGAAGCTATATGATCAGATCAAAAAAGTTAGAAGTAAGAATAGAAGGATACCAAAACGCGTTCAATTCTTTTAAGAATTATTTATTTTTGGTATTCATCTGATTTGATATAATTGATCATAATGAAGTTATCAGTAACTGAGTATTAACGACAGTTAAAATCGATTTAATTAACTATATATCTATATCTCTAAACTATAGCATCATTTTACAAGTAGACAAATTTTATATAAATATATTTAACAATCTTTTGTCTTAATAACGCTATAAATATATGTTACATTAACTTTTATTTTCTAATTTATTCTTGGTTTTTTTTCCGGTGGTGGTTTCATTTCTTTCTTTTCAATTTTTGGTTCTTGTTTAATTTCAATGGCTGCATTTTTGAATGATATTAAAAATATACAATCCAAGTTTTAATAATAATTGTTATAAAGTTATAAATAAAAGATAATATAAAATATATGAATGCTACTTACAAGCTTCTGTTGTTTGATGTACTGGCTTTGGCACTGGTAAAGGAAATTTACGAGTGAGCTCTGCAAGTAACATATCCACTCTTTGCCGTTGAAACAATGAACTGGGTTCTTCACGTACTGGTTCCTTTGCAGCCCAAGCTTTGCCATTTGTGAAATCCCAAGAGTAGCCTTTACTAGGATGATATCGAGAATAGGAACTAGCTTCTTCAAAGGCAGATTGTAGATGATGAACTGTGGAAAACTGTGGAAAACAACACACACTTTCCACAAAATAATTCACAATATTATATCAATTAGATTAAGTTACAGGTAACAAAGTATAATATTAATATTAACATTAGACAAAATATTCAATACTAAATATTTTTACTCACCAGTCTAGAACTTACAACAGATCCTAGATCTGGTGCTTGATATACAACACCAGCTATAATGTAATAGTCTGCAAGAGGAGTTGCTGCAGTTGGTGAATGCCTATGTTGTTTCCTAATTACATAAAGGATTGGCTCTTGCACATGCAGCAGTATATATTCCAAGCCAGTCATATTACTAAAAAGCAATGTAATAGCGGTTAATACTTGTGTTCATAATGACCCATTGTAATTATATATTAAAAAATAACTTACGTTAATTGATCAGGACTTAAACGTTGCATTTTCACTATCTCATTATTACAAGTTCTGTCATAAAATGGATTACTTCTCTCAGAAAAGTAATCCATGATATTACTTGGATTAAGAACAGGAATCCAGGCGCTATCATGCCAGGATAGACCTAAAGGATTTTCTACAAAAAAATAGAAATAGTAATTGTTAAACTTTGATTGTATGTATTTGTACAAAGATAATTGAATTATATTAGTATATGTTTACCTTGTATTGGTGCTTTTCCAGGCATCATCTTCATATTCATTTAATAAACATATATAAAATATATATTAGTATTCCATGATTCGTTTATAATCATTTATCGTTTCTCTCAATGTATTTCTTTATTTCTCTAACTTTTCGCTTTTATCGTAATTTTATTTTATTCATCACAAACATGACTAATTAAATTCATTAATCGCTCTTACCACTTCTATCATTCGACAATATTTATACTGACCACGTTGTGATTACAAATTTTTACCTGGTCGCTGAATGCTCAAACAGAAGTCAAATTTAACGTTCTTCTTCCTCTTCTTTTTTGCTTATGCTAGTTTAAATACGCAAAGAAGTTCTCTATGCTGCATTATATACTAGACTGTGTTTAAAAATCTACAGCTAAGAGCGTCTGCCGATTTGACTATGGCTGCGTTCCTTTTAAAGTCGTTCTACATTAGTTGCAAGCTGATTGCAGACGCAATTCTTATTGCGACAGCCAATCAGAAACATCAATGTTGCTATTGACGCTTCTGATTGGCACAACAAGAGTTGCAATCGATTTGCAACTAAAGACGTTTTTTCGTTTCGTGACCACGATACCGTTTGGTTGGATGATTTTGTTTACTTAACGCTCGCAACGCCTCGAGCAACAAAAGCCGGTATTCATAGTCAGATCTTATATTTAAAATCGTCTTAAGTTGATCTTTAGATGGCCTACAGATGATTTTATTGGCTACAAAGGATCTGAAGATAAACTTAAGACGGTCTTAAATATAAAGCCCATTCTACAATTGCGTAAGCGTAGTTATGATCGTAAGAGTCAACCGATCCGAATGTTTTATTTACTAATTGCTTTATTCTGATTGGTGTCGTAATCACATACAACCACTTACACCACGTTCACGCAATTGTAGAATGACCCTTAGATTCGACTATGAATACCGGCCAAAGATAGAATAACACTCGCGGCGTTGCGAGTGTTAAGTGGACCAAACTAACCAACCAAACACTACTGTGATTACGAAACGAAAAAACGCCTTAATATAAAACAACCTTTAAAGGGCGGGTCCAGTGGTCCGTAAACATATCCGTAACCATAAACAAAATCGAGTCGTGATTGGTCGTGATATATATCACGTTTATGGTTACGGATATGGATATGTTTACGGACCATTGGACCCGCATCTTTAAAGCTTACTACACCTATTGGCTACATTCCGAAATGCACTGCCAGTACTGAAAATCTATAATTCATGTTACGTATATTATAGAATTTCAGTACTGGCAATAAATTTCGGAACGCAGCCATTATAAATCGGGACAAAGCACCTCCTCGTCCTGTGTGCAGGATTGGTCTGTTCCTTTTTGGAATTTCGAGAGAAAATAAAATATCGGCCGAAAGATGTCGCATATATCACAATGCAGTGAGACCTTTCGCAATCACCTATCTCACTCTCATTCATTGCGTGCCGTCTTGTAGTGGTCTCGTTCGCGTTTCACGTCTCGATCGCGGGTTTCGTCAGTAGTGCCGCGCGATCATCGCGCGCAATGATGTTTTGTTGTTGTGACGTTTCAATTCGCGGCGACATCGATCACAATGTGACTGGGTTTTCCCGACCCCGGCGATGCGTCCGAGGAGCGACGCTCCGGCCTGAACGCATTCGGTGTCTATGCTGATCCCAACCGAAGTACATCGAATGATAAAGGTACGATGAGACAAATTAATCGCAGATACGTGCAGCGAGTTAAAGCGCTTTGTGGAACGAAAAGCTCGTTGGAAATTCATTGATCGAAAAGTGAAGTTCCATTTAATATCCATAATGCGTGCATCACCTGATGTTGATTATTTGTTAAATTAATTTTGCCGAGACACGCAATTTAATGCGGAGAGTCGCGGCCTAATGTTGACAAGATGACGATGCGACATGCGTTCGATTTAAACGCCAGGTCGAATCGATTAATGTGACTATAATTTTAAACGTAATGTCACCGCGGTACTGCAAAAATTTTTTCGTGCGCTCCGATATTAATTACGACTACAATTGGCGCAAATCGTGTATGATAAAAAAAGTGGCGGTAATTTTGTCCGACATGTTGGATTTCACATTTGAGTGTTAATTGCAAGACGTTTCGCGCTCTCGCTTTCATTTTTCCGTAACTTACGAATGATTAAATATGGAGGTTAGAAAACTGTAGAACACTTTCTCGCACGTCTCTGCGCGTGCGCGCGGAGTAAGGTTGGCTGATTCGAAATTGCACGATTTACAAGATAACAGTGTACTATTTTTATGTATATGAATTGTTTTCACAGTTTTTGTTTACGTTTTAAAATTTAAAACGAAATTGCAAGCATTATAGTTAGAGAAGAGAAAATCATATGACAAGGTAAAAATTCAAGAGAAGAAATATTGCAAAGAAATCAGAGTGTAACCGATAGAAAGAGAACGAATTTAATAATTTACAACAAACAAATTAACAATAACATTTAACAAATGTGAAAATATGAGTTAGCATAATATTTCAAATTTTCGAGAAAGCATGTTCGTATCGTTTTAATTTGACTAAGAAAAACTATGAAAAATTACTGTGACATTTTGTTTTTATATAAAAGGTAAGATATTTTTACTTATTCACCAGAGTTTATCGATTTAGACTCGATTATTGAATCGATAACATTCTTGTATATATATAGTTGTGACATTTACTTTGTCTTTTAATTAAATAATGAAAGAAATTGAATGTGACATTTAGTTTTTATGCTCTGCAATGCAGACTTACTTATTGAACATGTATCGCCTTTTTTGTTTGTTATTATCATTAAAAAATATTTCTTGTTATCAGGTTTTTCTTGGCTAATTCATAATGATTAATATATAAATTAGACAAGAAATCACTATAACAAAACACGAAATCTTATTCTAATTATAGTAGTTTCTTATAAAATTGAAGTAAACCAAAATTTAAAATTTTCTCCATAATTAAAACGCATTAAACCAACGCAATATGCTGTTAGGATAAATGTGCAATATCTGAAGAAATTATCTCTCAATCGGTTGTGTTTGATACATTCGATATATTGCAGAAGTCATTCTGAAGATGTTGGAGAAATAACGTCAATACCAATAATCATGTAATGAAATCATAAACAAAACTTGTAAGTACAGCATACACTAAATATTTCTTTAATTGATTTTAATAGGTTTCAATTTTAGTTTGCAATTAGTTTAACATTTGAAACTGAAAGATGAGAGAACATATGTCTGCATTTAAAAAATTAAACTTTTAGTTTTACAGTGTTTTGTTAAGTAAATTTTCTTTCTCTCTCTCTTAATAGAAATAATATTTTTTTATTACTTCCTCCTTTTAATTAGTTCAGCATTGTATTGTCTGCAGTCCCCGTTATGGAGGACTACACGCCGATTGACGAGGATTTTCCGGGTCGGTTGCTGCACCAGGCCGCGCTCTGGGACAATGCCGAGCTACTGGAGGACTTGCTGCGCGGCGAGCACGCGCAGTACATCAACAGCAAGGACTCCTGGGGCAGGACGCCGATGCACGCCGCGGCGATCACAGAGAACTCCCGGTGCCTGGACGTATTGCTGATCGCCAGTGCAGATCCGAACATCACTTGTGGTCCCAGAGGTCATCACCGTACGCCGTTGCACGTCTGCGCGGAGCACGGTCATGCCAGCAACGTGGAGAGACTCATAAACTATAACGCAGATCTCATGATCCGCGACGACGACGGCCTGAAGCCGCTCGACATCGCCGAGAAGGGTAAACACGATTCCTGTATCCGCCTGCTAAAGACGGCAGCTGAGAAGTATGAGTTGGCTAAACAGGCGACCCACGCTTCCCTGCGCGCGGCTTGTATCCAAGGTGACACCGTAGCCGCCAGGAACATCATACAAGGTCTCTCGAACGATCTGGAATGCGTGGTGAACATGGCGCCGAACGGCGCCAACACGCTGCTCTTCGTGGCCTGCGAGAGCGGTCACAAGGACATTGTGCGGCTGCTACTGGATCACGGCGCCGACTGTCGGATTCATCCGGTCACCAAGTACTGCCCACTCTACATTGCGTGCTACCACGGCAAGGTGGAAATCGTCGATCTGCTGTTACGCCACTTTCCCAAACAGGTGCAAACACTCACGGTGGAACGTTGGTTGCCGATCCACGCCGCCGCTATAAACGGCCATCACATAGTGATAGACGCACTGCTCAGGTTCGAGTATCCGCAGCACGTCTATCAGCGTTATCGGGATCCCTCTGGCGAGTTCGAGTATGAACTACCATTCGACATCAACGCGCAGGATGTTACCGGCCAGCACGTTCTTTACATAGCCAGCATGCTGGGAAATGTCAAGTGCGTCGAGTTACTGTTAGGCTACAGGGTGAAGGCGAGAACAACCAAAGAAGAGGACGCGAGTGGTACGCAGCAGTTACCGGTGTCCAAACGCAAGATCTCTAGTGGTATCCAGAGGCTCATGTCTTCGTTGAACTTCCGTAGTAAGGCAACTACAGACAAAAAAGACGACAAGATGATATATCCAGTAAATCTGGATCTCTATTGCAATAACGGCAGCGAGACATCCCTTCACGCGTCCGTCAGGGGTAGGCACACCGACGTTGTGAACGCTCTCCTGCAGGCTGGCGCGAATTTGGAACTGCCAGTCAAGATCCCGTACGACCAAAGCGATCCGGAGGGTAGTTACTCGAATGTGCTGACGATTGCATGTCAAAACCGTGACATAAAGATCGCGGATCTGCTGTTGAAGCACGGTGCGGTCGACAACGAATGCAAAGCCCTGAAGATCGCCGCGCAGAATCGCGACGAGGCGTTGACTGCGAAGTTGCTTTCGATCAAAGCACACCCGGATTCCGAGTACAAGATCAACAAGAAGGCTATGACGGAGTGCACGCAAAGCTCGCATTTCTCCGCTTTGTCGTCTTTTGGCCATGTCACATATTCTGCACTGTTCCCCAAAACACCCACTATGATCAATTGGCACAATCAGCAGTGCCACTTGTCGCAGATTCGGCTGCAGTGGCTGATCGACGCTGTGCTGCATGTCAACAAGAAATTGAGTCCACGCAACAACGATCTGGTTCTTTACGCTATCACGAGGATCGACATCTCCCACAACTCCATCACTTCTGTACCATCTACTGTGTTCTACCTGCAGAGCTTGAGGTACCTCAACATGGCGCAGAACAAAATCGACACTCTCGTGGCCGACTCGAAGAATCCCAAGGATAAATTGTGTCCGGTTCTCGAGGAGATGTACTTGCAGGACAATCGATTAGAGCAACTGCCGGAGTTTATAATGAATCTGCCAGCATTGGAAATTATGGACGTGTCTAACAACAAACTGCAATGCCTGCCACAGAATTTGTGGCGTGCGCCTAAACTCAAAGAACTGAACGCGTCGTTCAATCTTCTGCGCGATTTACCCAGCCAGGCATCACAAAACGTCTTGAGAAAATCGCAACGCGATGACAATCAGCCGAACGGCACTAGCTGCCGCGGACTGGTGGCTGCCGCTATGCCACGAGTGGAATCTATGGAGTTCGACTCGTTTACGAAGATCGCGAACGCGCAAATAATTGAGATGGAACGGCCGCATGTATGGACCAACTCAGTGCAGGTGTCGGAGAAGATGAACGATGATACAGAAAATGGCAACAAATCAGTACTGGCATCATTGAACCTGGCGCACAATCTGTTCAACAGCATTCCTGTTGCGTTGCCGTGTTTGGCAGTGAGTCTGGTGCGTCTGAACATGGCATACAACTCTCTGCGATCTATGAGCCATATCACCTCGTATCCTGCGAGCCTCAAGCAATTGGATCTGTCTAATAATCAGATCACACGCTGGCCTAGTCTACCACAGGTAGACAGTTGCGACAGCATGGAACAAGCAAACACAGCCTGCTATTGCCCGGCGACAAACGTGCAGTCGCCTATCGTGCCCAACAACCGACAAACACCCATGTCAATGCGCGACATCGTGCTGCAGTCGGTGTGTACACACAGACGGCATCTACGATTGGAGAACTTACGTACACTAATATTGGCAAACAACTTACTGAATCGCATCCAGCTGACGTCAGTGGACGACGGCGAAATGCCAAGCTTGGAGGAAGAAAATGCGGACAAAGACTTAAAGACCGGAGGAGGAGGAGGACTATCCAATTCAAAGTCGTACCTGCTCTTTCCTAACGTCAGTATGTTGGACATCAGCAACAATCAACTGAGAGAGATACCGCACAACATTTATGAGCTGAACAATCTGTCAGTGTTAAATATCAGCGGCAACAACGAGATCGTCGAACTACCGCCGCAGATGGGTTTGCTGGGTCGGCTGTGGAACTTGAATACTCAAGGCTGCCGATTGCAAGAGCCACTGAAGTCAATGATTGAGTCGAAGAAGTACAAGACAATGGACGTAATCGGTTACCTTAAATCGATTTTGGAGGACGCAAAGGCATACGCGCGCATGAAGTTGATGATCGTCGGTATCCAAGGTATCGGTAAGACCAGTTTGCTGGAACAGCTGCGGCAAGAGGGTGAAGTACCGAACAAGAAAAAGGCATCCGAGCATTGGGCCAAGCGAATGGGCAACAAAAATATAAACGCCAAGACCGCGAAAGGTACAACCATCTCAACGGTGGGTGTGGACATCGGCGACTGGATCTACGAGAAGAAAGTACGCGGACAATCATCCCACGGGCCGGTATACTTCAGAACTTGGGACTTCGGTGGCCAGAGAGAGTACTACGCGACGCATCAATATTTCTTATCAAAACGCAGTCTGTATCTAGTCGTATGGAGAATAACGGACGGCTTCAAGGGCGTCTCGGAGATCTTCCAATGGTTGGTGAACATTCAGAGTAGGGCACCAAATTCACCGGTCATTATCGTCGGCACTCATTACGACATTTCCTACGAGCACAGCGAAGGTCTGCAGCAATATATTCGCGACAAGTTCATCAACGTAGTGGACGCCGAGAAGTGTGGCTTACCTAAGGTCATGGAAACTATCGAGGTAAGCTGCAAGACGCGACACAATATTAAGATGCTGTGCAACCTCATCTACGATGTCGTATTCAGTTTGAGATCACCCGGTAGCAAGGAACTCCTGCTGGAGCAGAAAGTTCCGGCGAGTTATTTGGCTCTAGAGGACGTGGCGATTCAATTGGCGCATGACAGGAAACTGTCAGGCTTGGATCCGGTGCTGAAGGCTGACCAATATTACGCAGCGGTTAACAATGAGCTCCAGAAGCTACACAGATCCTTCAGGGATCCCGCTGAGTTGCACCAAGCGACGCTTTTCCTCCACGAGAACGGTATAATTCTGCATTACGATGACGCCACGTTGAAGGACCTATATTTTTTGGACCCGCAATGGCTTTGCGACATGCTCGCTCATGTGGTCACCATACGGGAGATCAATCCGTTCGCCCGATCCGGAATAATGAAACTGGACGACATTCAGCATGTGTTTAAGTCCTCCACGATCTCGTCGATAGATACGCAGGGCTATATCGTCAATTTACTCAACAAGTTCGAAGTCGCGCTCACCTGGGATTGCCGTACGCTGCTGATACCATCCCTTCTGCCGACCGAGGAGGACATCCTGCGCAACAACCAAATCATCAAGGTGCCGGTAAAGACGCGCGGCTGGCATGTACGTGCGAAGAAGATCACGTCGCCGATGTTCGCATGCCTTGGCGCACCTAACGACAAGAGCAACGCCGAGTGCGTGCTCACGTCGAGATCGCAGCCGGATTGCTCCGTTACGCGACTGCTTTTGATGTCATACTTTCCGAGCGGTTTCTGGTCCAGATTAATCACTCGGATCTTGGCCGACGACGCTATTGTCGAGATTGTTATGTCGTTCTTAGCGCCCTTCAAAGATTTCGTCGACGATAACATCTTCGCGAGTCTGCTGGATTTACAAGCAGAGTGGGTGCTTTGGCAGACAGGAATTGAGCTACGATACTCTGGGATAACTTTGTTACGCCTCAAGGAAGTATATTACAATCTGAAAAATTCTCCATACGATTATCGGCAGTTTAAATTCAAACTGAAGCAAGATGGCATATGGTGTACCGTAGATCTGAAGAATTCTGCCATATTAGAAATTTGGTTTCCCGTGGATACCTTAGTGATCAAGCAGCCTATCATGTCTGACTCGGTGGACGAGGAGCCGATGGGTTACCAGGCAATCGTGGTGGAGCCACGGCCGGAGAGCATGCCACAGTTGATGGCACTGATTGTGGATCACATCGATATCCTGTTGGAAGATTGGTACCCCACTTTAGGTACTCGTTTTGTCCACACGTCGGAAGGTAAGTTGTTGGTGACGAGGCTCATACCATGTCCACGCTGCTTGCTTGGCAACACCGATAGCAACGGCGAGAGTGAATCAAGCGACAGCGATCGACTGATCGAGGACATTCAGAAGTACTGCGTGAACCGCGAGCGACAAAGCCAAGACAGCTACAAGTCCGATGGCGACAGCGGTGTAGGCTACGACAGTCTCACGTCTAGCAGAATGCCGTCGCTGGAGGGACATCCAGATATGTCCAGGCAGAATTCACATCCTGAAAATACTCTTGCTTACTCCTGGATGGTGGAAGAATGCATACTAGCGGCGTACAGCAACAAACCCATCAGCTGTCCCAAACACTCGGAGATCCCCTTGTCGCATGTTGCACCGGACATTATCTTCATGGATCTCGGTGCGAAACATCTCATTAAATCAGAAGATCTGAAGAGGGGTAAGCTTTTGGGTCGTGGAGCCTTTGGTTTCGTCTTTCGCGGTAGCTGTCGATTACCAGGCACACACGTCAGAGCTGACGTGGCCATCAAGATGTTGCAGCCAGTGTCACCGGGTCCCAACTCCAAGCAGTCAGCGATCTTGGCGTACAAGGCGTCGCAGAGCAAATGGGACCGCGATCCATTGCAGTATGCTTGCAAAGCCTACTGCATGGCTCGTCAAGAGCTCAATATTCTGTTGACGCTTCGGCACGCTAACATCGTACCGCTCATCGGAATAGTGGTCAGTCCGTTAGCTCTCGTGCTGGATTTGGCTCCGCAAGGCGCGCTGGATGGTGTGCTGAAGAACTACCGTCGTTCCGGTGCCAAGCTGGATCCATACATGCTCCAGGCGATAATCCTACAAGTCGCCAAGGCGATAGAATACTTGCACCAGCAGCACGTCATCTACCGCGATCTCAAATCAGAGAACGTGTTGGTATGGCAAATGCCGTTACCGTTCCAAGAGATTCCGGAGCCGGTGCATGTTAAGGTGGCTGATTACGGAATATCGAGGCTGACGTTACCTACAGGAGCAAAGGGTTTCGGTGGCACTGAAGGCTTTATGGCGCCCGAGATTATCAAGTACAACGGTGAAGAAGAGTACACAGAGAAGGTAGACTCGTTCTCCTTTGGCATGTTCATCTACGAGTTGGTGACACTACGCCAGCCATTCGAGGGCCACGAGGCAGTGAAGGAATGTATACTAGAGGGCGGCAGACCGCCGCTCATGTACCGCGAGACATTCCATCCGTGTTACGCGCTCGATTTGATGGTGATATGCTGGGCGCAGAACCCGAAGGACCGACCAACCGCCAGTCAGATTGTCTCAATCGCATCCGCGCCCGAGTTTACGCACCTGATAGACGTCACTCTGCTGACAGAACGCACGCAGGTGACCGCGGTCACCATGACAAGCCGCGGCGCGGACGATAGTCTGAACGGCGACGAGATCTGGTTCGGTCACAACAACGGCGAGGTAGACATGTTGTTGGGTACGCAGAAGGGTTGGTTACGTCACGTGCGGATCGAGACTCCGGTGATACCGTACGCGATGTGCGGCTTGGACGGTTACATCTGGATCGGCGACAATACTGGCCAGGTGCATGTCTATCTATGCGGCAACTTCGGCTGTGTAGCCAGCTACAATCTGGAGACAGACAATGCGAGGGAGTCCAAGGTGGTCGGGCTGATCCACTTGGAGCAGCTGAAGCAGTTCGCAGTGGCATTACATAGCGGTAGGATCTGCCTGTTATCGGATACGTTCACGCAGATAAAGCGGACAGAGATCGCTGGTGAAGCGCGTAATGACGTAAGGACCTACTCGTTGGCAGCAATTTGCCGGAAGAGGCGCCTGTTGGAGCTCTGGGTGGGGCAAAGTTTCGGTCGGATATCCGTTTACACGCTAAAGGACGGCAATCTCATCGATACGGTGCAATTGTCACATGGGGGTAGCAGTGGAGGCAGCGGCAGTGGCAACAGCGATATTGCTATGAGGAATCTCTTCGCCACGTACTTGACCAGCGCAGCCGAGAGCTTTGTCTTCTCGTATACGTATCCGGGTTGCGTGGTATATCAATGGGACGTGGATAGCCGGCAGATCGTCAACAAGCTCGACATGTCCAAGCTGGTACCGTGTTCAGAGAGTCTCAAGTCTATCGCAATCGAGGAAAATCTATCGACAGAGAAGTGCCAAGTGACCGCGCTCGAGGCTAACGCTAGTCAGTTATACATCGGCACTACTTGGGGATGCATTGTTGTCGCCGAATGCGGCACTCTACGACCCGTCACCGTGTTCCGGCCGTTCGAGGGCAAGGTCTGTCAGATCGTGACCTTCAAGTCCGTCGACAAGAAGAAAGTCGTACTGGCTACAGTTGGCCAAGGATACCGTAGCCTGATCTCGCGATACACGGACTTCCCACTCAAGAGTCTTGAGAGCGAAGAGCTCAAACACGGCATGTACACCTTGCTGTGGCGATCAGAGAATTGGTCAGCGGCTTGATCTTCGCGAAGAGTCTAAGATTCGCGTTCTGTCGCGTAACTGTGTGATAGATGAAGAAGCACGTGTTCGGCAATGCGTAAATTTTAAAAAATCCTGAATTTTGCTCAGATTTTGAATAGATAGACCTAATAAGTCTTTTTTTGCTGGTGCTAAAAAACGGGAGATTTAAAAAAGTTATCTACAGAATTGTTTTTGGACATTAACAAAAATTTTATTCATTTATATATTGTTTTTATTATAAATAAATCAATAGATAATATATATTAACGTTATTATATATTTGATAAAATATTAATATGTATTCCTTATGTTTGTTTATCTGTCTACATTTATGCAAACTATCAGATTTTCTTTATAACTTACGCGAATTGCCGAACATCTTTTGTAAGCTTTATTTACTTTATATAAAAACGAGTTTCTCTCGAGGTGTGATGACATAAGATAAGAATAAACTGTATGTAAGTGTTGAGTATGTGATGAGAAAATGGGTCTGGGTACAGTTCAGTTCTCCGTTACGACAAAATATGGCAAAACAAAATTTCCATTGTAGCGATATACGGTCACAATGTGCCAATGTGCGAGGTGTTAGAATTCAGTACGAAGAAACTTTTTGCAATTCCATATAACGGAATTGCGAAATTTCCCTCTTCAGCAGCGCGATACGTGGGTGTGCTTAACAATGCGGGTTTCAACAGACTACGCTCGGTGAATCTTATACGTCCAATATAATTATAGTACGCAATGTGTAAAGGGTGTCCGATGCGACACAAGTATGAAGGCTCCGCGTGGTACACATAAATGTTTTCATGAAATCGTTAAAAGGATAATAATCTTACAGATTTCAGAGTTTCGATTTTTCTCGGAGCACAAATCGACTACCGTTATCATCGGACATCCTGTCTGTTGCGTTACGTAGTCTATAAGCAAGATCCTTAGTTCGTCCAGGATGCAGGAATTACCAGTCAAGTGTGAGAGAAACATCCTCTTATTTTGTATAAAACTAAATCCTAAATAAGCAATCTAACGATATCGTAAATATATGTTGTCGCTTAAGTTAGCTAATTGATGAGCGCTACGAGTCATGTTACGTATTTAAGCATTTAAGTATTTCCCTCTAGAAGGCGTACAGAAAGCGACGATTTTATGCTGTAAATGACAGGAGCGGAAATGATTCTGATATTAAACGCGGCTCACGGACGTCACAAGAACATTCCTTTGAATGATATTAATTGAACCATTTTAGATATTGAAGAGATATTTTTAGCACTGTCGATCGATTTTGATAATATCGCTAATATTAAGCTTCAGTAAGTTTGAGCTACTAACGATAATCTTGAAACAATTTCTAGATCGTGCTATCTTACCCTGCGATCCAATCACATCACGTCCAAAGGAGTATCTCTCAAATCTCGTAGTTGAAAGGTTGTGGAATATGTTGTATAATATATCGGCATTATGTTATTGTATAATGTAATACTAATAAGGAGACATAAGCTGTCGGATGCTAGAAATATTTTGCTCAATCGAGTCATTCAATTTCCACCAACGGTTTAATTATTATATACGAGAACGAACAATGTTTCCCGAGCGACTAATGTGATATAAAACACTCCGAAAAACGCAAGATACTGTCAAAACTAGTTATGTTACATTTGCTCTCTAATTTCATTTACTGATAAGAATAATCGGAAAACTTAAAAGTATTATCTGCTTAACAGAGATTCGATTTTCTTTTTCGATACGTAAATTTCAAGATAGTTTTTCTAATAGTTTGTAACAATTGAGCAAGAAAGAAAGAAGAAAAGTTAATTAAATGATGTAATGAGATTTATACGTCGCGTAAATATCGCACCTTCAATATAAAGGCTAATGCAATTGAAGAAAGTAGCCAAATCTTCCATCAAGAAAATGTCACCAAGTACCATCGTCCCTTAAAAAAAAAATTAATTCTTTTTATTTCAGATAAGAGAAGTTATATATTCAAGAATTAGTCTAACGCGACCCAAATATAATATAATAATTATTTCTTATTCTCATGACAATTCGCTGCTTTTAATTGCATTAGTTTTATTCGGAAGACAAGATATTTTTGCGACAAAGTGAAAGTACTAATGTTCGATTTCTTCAATGTTTCTTAAATACTCATTAAGGAATGTTAAAACCGTTAAAAATGTTAAAAACCGTTGATTTCTGAAAGCTACTTTCCTCTCTAATATAAATAATATGAAAAACTTTAATAATAAAAAAAACAAGATAGCATTTAAAGGAATAATTATTCGTAAATCGATTACAAAAAAGTCAAACAGATATTATCTAAAAAAATTTTGATGAAATCGATCATGAGTCCTTTTATCGTGTGCAATAATTATATGGTGTTTATGGCTTGCTATTATTCCCGAACTAGGGGGGATTTGGTATATTAAATATGGTAGCTTTAATTTATACATATATAAATAATATATACATATAAATTTGCGTACCTTTTATACTTATTTTTAAATTACTTGTACCTGCAAAGCATCTGTGAAATGTATTATGGTGATAAGCAGCGCAGCTTGTATCCTTTATGTTTTTTTTTAATGTGTCAACTATTATCACAAGTTAGATATTATACATCATAGTATACAACACATTCGAAATTATTGTCAAGTACATCTCAAGTACGAGAATTAATACTGTAAAGGAAAGGAAAAAGTGCTAGTTATTACGATACGATCGAAGATTTTACAATTGATCTCTGTACAACTAGGAATATCAGTAATTAAAGTAAACTTATGTTCACTTATGTTCATCATGATAATTATTTATCATTCCTAATTCACTACACACGTTATAACTTTACCAGAACTCATTGTTATTTAACATATTGATTGTCACAAAATATAAACTGTTGTTGAACAAGACTTGTTGAATTTAATTTCTGTTCCTATAAAAATACAAAATAACATGTAAGGATAACAATTATGTGTAATATAAATTATTATACAGCTAGCAGAGAAAGAAAAATTTAAGATACAACTTTTTTTTTAAATTACTCATTATCAAACTTATAAAATAACAATATATTTTGTGGTTATTTAGGATTGTTAGACAATTCATTCCTCACCTTCCTCTACTTTGTTTTTGTGTTTATTTCAGATCTGTATCGAAGCAGTGCTCGCTCATATGCATTATCTGCTGATAATCCTCCTTCCTATTGGTTAAATATACTTTCAATACCTTGCTCTTAGTAAGTTCAATGTATTATAAATAATTATACCTTTTGTATTGTTTTATACATAGACAGAAAGTACTGGGTTGTAGTTTTTATATCTTCGCTTTTTAAATTAGTACTTGGTAGAAAGCTCTGGTCTTTATGAAACTTTCTGTAAGATTAAACATTTGATGTTAATAATAAGGACAATATATAATTAATAACAAAATAATATAATAGAAACTAAGAGTATAATAGAATATATATTATATAATAATAGTAATAATAATATTGTCATACAAAAATTACACTAAATGTAATACATTAAGATCTTACGCTCGCACGAGATCTTCTTCATAAAAAATAGCTCTGATAGGTTTGCTTGGCAATTGTCTATCAAATCTAGGTTCATATTTTGGAGGAAAAGCTTCATAAACTGCTAACCATAATGGTGTATCTTCTTGCTTTATAGCTCCACCACGTAAGAGTGAGTTAATTCTGAAAGTTATTGTATTATTTAAAGACACACTGATTATAAAATTCTTTAAATCAACAAGGATCTAATTCTATTTTTTTATAAGAACTGAATTTTCGCTATTTTAAATAAAATCTTTAATATAACAATTCATTTATAATAAAATAATACTCAATAAAATGTTAATAAAAGTTTCCCGGCAGTTTTTTTTTAACAATTGTTAATTGTTTATATATGAATGACAATGATATCCAATGAAATTACAAAGAACTTACTTACCTGCTATATATTGTACCGATTTTTTCCAATCTGCTTTGTGCCATTGTGTGTTTCTTTCAACGTGACACAAAAATCAATTTAAGTGCACCTTCGCGAAAATTGTATAACCTATAGCATATCTTACAGCAGTATCTAAAATCTAAAAGTATATTTGATTTACCGTTGAATCTATCACTACCTCAATTGTTCTATCACTATCTTAAATCTATCACTACCTCAATTAATGTATGGTGTCAGCTCATAGCGAAGACTTCGGAAATAATTTTGTAAAAATAACGGGTCTAAAGTCAGCGGCACACAGTGGGTGTTTTCCAATTGCTTAACACATCTTGACACAAAGTACACAAACCAGTTTATTGGTCACATATTATCTAAAATATCTTGTAAGATAATATGCAACCAATAAACTGTTGTTTTGTGTACGTTGTGTACAACCAATAACTTGTGGTTTTGTGTAACACAGGCTGCGTTCCGTGTTAGGCTGATATTTCACGTGTTGTACGACAAGCTTTTTGGATATGTTCATTGGTTGACGAACACAGAACCTAGAAATACTTTATTCGCCAACCAATAAACATATCCAAAAAGCTTGTCGTACGACACGTAAAATATCAGCCTTATGCATATGCGCGCATTTATCTATAGTTTGTCACGTATACTGTAGGAAATACGCGCTTCATACGCAACTCGGAACGCACCCACAGTGTACGCAACTGGAAAGCATTCATTGTTTATTTTCGTGTTGGATTGCTTTTTGGGCCCTTATTCTTGAAATAGTTGCGTATATGTAAGTTTTACTGCGCAGGTTTAATCATATTATAAAATAGCTGCGCAATGAAAATTACGTATATGCAAAAATTTCAAGAATAGGGGTCCTGGATAGAAATATTCTGTTCTGATTAATGCATTTCTGAAGATGGATGAAAATACATTAATCAAAACAGAATGTTTCCATCCAGCAAGCAATCCAGGGCTGCGTTCCAAAATTCGATTCGGGTAGAGTACATTTAGGGCGCGTTCCGTTACACGCTCGCAATTCGGCCCTGGATTAATCGCTTCGAGAGCGATTAATGACGTCACAAGTCTCTACTAGCCAATCATAAAGCTTATAAGTACTTTTTCAACCAATAAACGTAGGCTGAATAACCCAGAGTGGGTACTAGAGATGCTCGATTCTGAATCGATTCAATTCTTTCCCCAAAAATAAATTTTGGCTTCTGCACACAGAACGCGGTAATGCTTGCCGCGCGGCGAAAGTCTGCGCGACAGCCAATCAATATGTTGTTTTTCCGTAAGAACTAGAAGGTTATTACGAAAAGCAGCATATTGATTAGCTGTCGCGCGAACTTCCGCCGCGCGGCAAGCATTACCTCATCGTGTGTGCAGGAGCCATTATTCGTATTGTTTGCACTCTTCGCATTTTTCGTATTTAAAACTAGACAGAAGTATATTGGAATATTTCGAAGAAGCAAAAACGAGACAACCAACTCGATTGTTTCTTCCAAGCGTCTGATTAGGCGTCCATCTCTTTTTAAAAGCGAAAAGTATGAAACATGCGAGCAGCACGACAACCCTTTTTCCCTAAATTTGTTAGGAAAAGAATCGAATCAATTAATAGCATGTTCGACTGGCTCTGGGTTAACCCACTCTGGGTTATTCAGCCTACGTTTATTAGTCAAACAAGTACTTATAAGTTTTATGATTGGCTAGTAAAGACTTATGACGTCATTAATCGCTTTCGGAGCGATTAACCCAGGGCCAGTCAAACACGCTATAAGAATCGGGCATCTCTGACTATGTTCAGAAATCCTACTCGATGAGTAGAGTTACTTTAATAAACCAATCATAATAAATAAATCTTAGTTCCTTTTGCTCTGATTGGCTAATTAAATGTTACTCTACTCACAGAGTAGGGTTTCTGAACGCAGCCCTAGTGGGTACCCAGAGCCAGTCGAACATGCTACTAGTTTACGCATGCGCACGAAGACTTCCACATGGAGAAATTTCCACGTTCTAGCGCTACTGGTATAAGGCTCGATTGTACACTGGAACTTATCCATCTTAGTGCTGCGTAATATTTCTTGAGCTCAACAAATTTCCTTTTGCAGCTTGGCAAAATGGGTGAGAAGTTTATTCTTATAAAAATTTGTAGAATTTATTCTTACTATTGCGTAAATCCGCGTTTTCTCAGTACAATATTGCATTAAAATACAAACAACACACAAAATATACTCTATCTGTCCCTTAAACGAATAAATTCTTATATTTAATCGGTGAAACGGCAAATATCGGCAAACATGGCTACCAAATGGTTATAGCCATGTGGCTTCATTTGTACAATAGATATCTTGCTCATTTAGAAATAAATATTTTACCATGAACATATTTTTAATTATTATAATTTACTGGTATAATTATAAACTTCTAAACTCTATATAAAAACTTGTAAGTTCTATAAATTAGCATTGATGACTTCACATTCATGTGATTAATTTCAATTTATAGCTGATTTTAAAATTTTAGTAAAAATATTAAAATAAGAATCAAAGCATCCATTAATGTATACATTTTTACTAGATTATTTTTGTCCTAATTATATTTCCTGTATTTACATTATATATGTGTTAATATTATTACAGGTATTTCCCGTGATCATTGGCATAAGAGGAGGGCTACTGGTGGTAAGAGGAAGCCTATCCGTAAGAAGAGGAAATTTGAGTTAGGACGTCCAGCTGCCAATACTAAACTTGGACCTCAGCGGATTCATACTGTGAGTTTGAATTGTTACATAGTATTTGTAAAAGTAAATAAATATGAACTAATATTACAACAAAATTAAAATATAATAAAAACCATTTAAAAAATATATACATTATAATTATTTGCAGAAAATTCAAATATTTTGATAATATGATCTTTCAGTTTTTGATATATTGAACCACTAAGTGATGAGTTTTATCTATTCTGAATGCTATGCTGACAAATTTCCACAGCGTACTGACTTAAAGATTAAATATTAAATCATAAATTATCTCTTGTGTTTTAAAAGTTATAAAAGTATTTCATGTTTACAAGGTCCGTACACGTGGAGGCAATAAAAAGTATAGAGCCCTTAGATTGGATACAGGAAATTTCTCCTGGGGTTCTGAATGCAGTACCAGAAAGACTCGTATCATCGATGTGGTTTACAATGCATCAAACAATGAACTGGTACGTACCAAGACTCTGGTGAAGAATGCCATTGTTACCATTGATGCAACACCATTCAGACAATGGTATGAGAGTCATTATGTTCTTCCACTTGGTCGCAAAAGGGGTTCTAAGTTGGTGAGTGTTTACTACAATTTGATTCAAATTTATATAGAATATGTGGATATTAAAAGATATATAATTATTTTTATAGACAGAAGCTGAAGAAGAAGTATTGACCAAGAAACGGTCAAAGAAAACTGAAACTAAATACAAGGCAAGGCAACGATTCGCCAAGGTTGAACCTGCCTTGGAAGAACAGTTTGCGACGGGACGTGTGCTTGGTACGAAAATTTTATTTAGCGTTTATTTTATAGGAAAGAATATTTTTATAAACATATCATAAAGAGAGTCGTTATACTGTAGTAATATTTTTTATTCTTTATATGTGCGTTTACGATTTACATTCAATGAGAATAACTTTAAAATAATATTTCATATAAATTTCAGCTTGTATTGCAAGCAGACCAGGTCAATGTGGCAGAGCGGATGGTTACATTCTTGAAGGCAAAGAACTGGAATTTTATATGAGGAAGATTAAGAGCAAGAAGGCTAAATAAAAAAATAAACAAACATGTAATATTGTTTGTTTGATCTACTATATCTAATATATCTCTGCTTTTTATTTATTCCTAAGTCCTTGAGCGTAAAATCGATAAAATTTTCAAATTAAATAATTTAAACTTGAACAATAAAAAAGCACTTTAGCCTATACTTCTTACACTAGTGCACTAGAAAGTTCAGCCGCAAAGTGTAGACATGCCACGTATAATAAAAAAGTTCTAATGACTTAAATCTAGTAAATATGATGCCAACCTGCGTATGGTTATAGTTCAATGCAATCTGCATGACTGCGTTCCAAAACTCTACTCGACGAGTAGAATAGCATTTAATTGACCAATAAGAGCGAAGATAACTAGGATCTCTTTATCATGATTGGACAATTAAATGTACTCTACCCATCGAGTAGAGTTTTGGAACGCAGCCCTAGTGTTTTTTTAAATCGAAGTTTGGTCCACATGCGATCCTCCCGCGTAAATGCGGCAGTGCATCCGTATATACATCGTTTTCGAAACGTACATTTTTTACATCTTATTGTATAATAATTCTCGTATAATAAACATTATATTTTAACTAAACGTTGTCAAAATGGACACGGAGATCGATCAGAATCTAGAACAGATTACGCGCGAGTATGTAGACTTTTTGGATGATATGGTAGGTATTTCAAATGTCAATGTTATCAATGACATTTACTTAATTTCATAATTATATAAAAAAAATTATATTTGTGATGTACACACACATATGTGCGTATTTTTTGAGATTTTTATTTTTATTATTTCTAATATTCTATGTAGGAGGACCAAGGTATATATGCCACACTGGTTAAGAACATGATCCAGGAGAACAAATACAGATTGGTTGTAAATATCAATGATCTGAGAAGGAAGAATTCTACACGTACAGTTGGGTATGATATATATTTACTTAGTTTTTATCAATTTATACAATAATAGTAATGTCTACACATTTGAAAATTGTTTAAAATTAAAAAAAATTATGGATAATTACGAATGAATCATATTACAGTTTGTTAAATAATTCCTTTGAGGAACAATTAGCATTTCAAAATGCCTTGAAACAGTATATCTCAAGTGTGGATATCGATTATGCTAAAAGCAACAAAGATTTCTTTGTAGCTTTTGAAGGAAGCTTTGGAAACAAGCATGTTACTCCAAGAACTCTCACTTCTCGTTTTCTGGGTAACTTAGTATGTCTAGAGGGTATTGTCACAAAATGTAAGTATTCAAAAGAAGAATTCTTATATTTCTTGATTTATAAAATTTATACTTATTTATGTATATTTAACATTTATATATGTATTTGTTTAGATATAATCTTAACAAGAATTTATTTTAGATTTATAAGTTGTCTTCAGTTTACTTTGTTTCAAACTCAATAAAAGTTTATTTGAAGAAATAACTTATTTATAAGGATATCCATTATAGGTTCACTGGTACGACCGAAAGTTGTAAGAAGTGTTCATTATTGTGAAACAACAAAAACAGTTCTCGAGAGAGCATATTCGGACTTAACTTCCTTAGATGCTTTTCCACACTCCGCTATATATCCAACCACTGTAATTACTTATGCAGTTTAAATGAAGTCTAAAAGAACATTTATTTTTCTGCATGAAAACATATTTTCTACATTGCAGGATGAAGATGGCAACACTCTTGAAACAGAATTTGGCTTGTCAACTTATAAGGACCATCAAACACTCACTATACAAGAGATGCCAGAAAAAGCTCCAGCTGGACAGTTACCGCGGAGTGTGGACGTGATTTGCGACAATGATTTAGTAGATTTGTGTAAACCCGGAGATCGAGTACAGGTGGTTGGGAATTATCGATGTCTTCCGGGAAAACAAGGTGGATACACGACTGGAACTTTCAGGTATTGTTTAAATCAGAATTGAAGATTATATATACTTTTTCTATTCAATCAAATCACAAATCACTTTGACATTTATAAAAGAAATAAGTATTTTTTTTCTGAAAGGTCATTCTAATAATTATTATTATCTCTATATAGGACTGTTTTAATTGCCAACAATATAATTCAACTCAGCAAAGAAGCAAACCTCGCAATCTCTCACGACGATGTAGCTATGTGCAAGAAATTGGCAAAGCACAATCCTTGCAGGAATATCTTTGAGCTGCTTGCTAAGTCTCTTGCGCCATCCATACATGGCAATTCCTACATAAAGAAAGCGATTTTGTGTCTTCTTTTAGGCGGAGTGGAGAAGATATTGCCAAATGGTACGAGGCTGAGAGGGTAAGATTTTAAAAATTTTATATGATTATGTCGTAAAAACAATCGAAAATAAAATTATTATAGCTAGCAATTAATTACAAAATAGATAATTTACTTAAAAGCATTAATTTTAGATTTTAAATGGATGTTAATAAAAATTTGACTCGCTCTAAGATACTTGTTATTTCACTTTGACAATTAGAAAATAAGTAAATTGTCAAAAAAAAAATTAGCAATAATTTAGTCAGTAACAAGATAAAATGTTCGTTTCTCTTTCATATATATTTCATATTTTCTATGTATAATATTTGTCAATGACAATTCGACAACGACAACGATAATTCTGGGATATACTTTAATATGTTACAGAGATATAAACGTGCTGCTTATCGGAGATCCATCAGTAGCCAAGTCGCAACTATTGCGTTATGTGTTGTGCACGGCTCCACGGGCGATTCCAACGACTGGAAGAGGATCTTCGGGCGTGGGTTTGACCGCAGCGGTTACGGTCGACCAAGAGACCGGCGAACGCAGATTGGAAGCAGGCGCGATGGTCATCGCGGACAGGGGTGTTATTTGTATTGATGAGTTCGACAAAATGTCAGATATCGATAGAACGGCGATACACGAGGTAATGGAGCAAGGCAGAATCACGATCGCCAAGGCGGGTATTCACGCCAGTCTAAATGCACGCTGTTCAGTTTTAGCAGCCGCGAATCCTGTATATGGAAGAGTAAGTATAGATTCGTCTATACAAATTCACAGTCTATACTATTTGAAAATTATTTCTCTTTGATCTGTACTTGATATATAATTATTTTTTGCTTTGGAAAACAAATGAGACTATTTCAAGGAAATTTAACTCTTCATAGATTTCTATGAATGATTCATAGATTTTGTAATTGTATGATAAATGCCTTTTTCTGAAACTATTAGTTTATTGTTATTTTAGTATTATAAATTTTAATCTTGTTCGTTTTTTTCTCTTTTAAAATATTTCTTATTAATAAATAAATATAAAAATAAATAAATTTTATTCATTGTAGATTTTTTTTTAAATACTTGTGTATTAAAAGTTGCTACTATTTGTTTTTTTAAGGAATAACACAATTTTATCGATAATATGCACATTTGAATATCTAGTATTGTAAAAGATGATTTTAATAAATACAGATATATATATATATATATATATATATATATATATATATATATTTGTATTTATTAAAATCATTTTTTACAATACTAAATATTCAAATGTGCATATTATCGATAAAATTATATATATTATTATTGGAAAAACTTTGTCTCACTAATATTATTTTAATATAATTTTCAGTATGACCAATATAAAACTCCCATGGAAAATATCGGACTGCAGGATTCTTTGCTATCGCGTTTCGATCTTCTCTTTGTTATGTTAGACGTGATCGATTCGGATCAAGATCATATAATCAGCGATCACGTTGTCAGGATGCACCGATATAGGAGTCCTTTGGAACAGGACGGTGAGGCTTTGAGTTTAGGCTCTAAGTTAGACATGTTGACGACAAAGAATCCGGATGACGTGGTCACTGAAGAAACACAATCGCAAGTCTATCAGAAATACGATCCGCTCCTGCACGGACAAACACGTTCCAAAAAGTATGTTACGATATCATATCACTGTATTATATGTTTTTAGTGTTCTCTCTCCTGATCCATTATAAGTGTTATTTCAAAATATATCAATTAATAATTTAAATTAATATTTAACTGTGTTAAGGTTTTGTACACAAACAATTTGTCTGTTTCCTTTTCAGTGATCAGATTCTCAGTATAAACTTCATGAGAAAGTACATCCATATCGCTCGATGCATGAAGCCTAAACTCACGGAAGAAGCTAGCGCTGTTATTGCAGAAGAATATTCGAAACTTCGTTCAGAAGATGTAGTGGAGTCGGACGTTGCAAGGGTAGGTCGCAATCTCGTTTCTATAAGTAATGTACAGGAAAGGTTCATCATAATCTGGTCTTACATGGTCTTGCATATATATAAAGTTTACGTCTGCCGTATTAATCTGTTGCTCACCACAAATGTAATTTTGTTTAAATATTTACCCTATTTTACAAAGTAAATTTTTTATCACGAAGTTAATAATTACAATATTTTTTCGCGATGAGAATAAGCAAAAGACTCGTTATTTATCGTTTTTATCTTTTCATGTTTTCATTTCGTAAATTTCAGACTCAACCAGTAACAGCGAGAACCTTAGAGACGCTGATTCGTTTGGCAACCGCTCATGCGAAAGCACGGTTGTCAAAAAACGTAGACAGCGAGGACGCGCGAGCCGCGATCGAGCTGGTACAATTCGCATACTTCAAACGCGTACTGGAGAAGGACAGAAGAAAGCGAAGACGACGCGACAGCGACACATCGGAAAACGAGGATGAGGTCAACGAAGGAAGACAAACCAAGCGTACCAAGAAGACAACACAAGACTCTAACGAGATTGATCCATATGAATACGATAGCGATGATGCGCACATCGAGGAAGCCACGAAAAGAGTGACTAGGGCACGGTCACAGAAAACTACACATACGTCACCGAGCGGCACCACTGAAAGTGCAGAAACATCTATTCCTGAAACAACATCGACAACGCCAACGATTTCGCAGGAAAGGTAACTTTAGTCAACAAGAAGAATGGCTTTGAATAAATTCTTAGCGTTCTTATTTATGTATATAAAGCGAGTTTTATGTTCCAAATTTTTTAAATAGACAATGAAAGAAAATTAAACTAGTGAAATTTAGTATTTGTTCCTTTGTAATTTCCTTGGATTGTTTTTTAATGACAGACATTTTTATCGTTCTAAACAGTTCTTCAGTGAAAATTACAATGTAATTACATTACAATGTAATTAATTGAACAACTAAAAGTTATCGTATGGCATTTCCGTCACACATTTAAAATTATTTTAAGATATTTTTTGATCGGATATTTAAGTCGTTGAATTAATTCCGCTTTCAGACTTACCGTGTTCAAGTCGTCGCTTCACAACTTGTTCCAAGAACGAAGGGCACAAATGATACCTCTGGCAGATGTTACCACTTATCTGAACACAACGCATTCGTTAAATTTCACGTCCGACGAGATCACCGCCGCTATCGACGTTATGACGAACAACAATCAAATTATGGCCGCGGATGGCAACATCTTCCTGATATAAAAAACCTTTCTTATTGTAATATTTCATTTATTCTAAAGAAAGAATAACAGAAAGAAAGAAGTACCATTAATTTATTAGTTAAGTCGAGAATAGATTATGCGATAATGGCACGATTATGTTATTAATAGTAGCCATTATAATTTTTATTCTATTTTTTATATGTATTGTTCGCACTTATACCAGTGATGGAAAAATAACAAATTGTACAACATTATACGAACAATGATGTTTAACAACATTTATTTATCCTATACTTGACATAAAACAACACATTGGCACATAAACTAGCAACAATCATCAACATTCAATACAGTGATACAACTCACAAGGCTAAATCCTTCCCACTGCGAAATTTACAAGTACATAATATATCAATCCATCATACGTGTGCGTATGTACTATTTGCGCTAACATCGATCGCGTTCCGCTAAAGACTCATTAACAATATATATTCACGACGTATTTTTACGTTATCACAATATTCTATTACAAAAGTTTATGCGAGAGTCGTATAAATACTCCATTCGATTCTCTCACTAGTCTCATATAAGCTATTCGTGTATGAGTCGCACATGCAACTTCATTTGGAAAATCAATCTCGGCCAACTAACCCCGGTTAGTGCTATCTTTATCTCGGAATCATTTTAGAAAATTATTAGTAAGCAATTATTCGTTAAATAGTTATCATTGGCCGATGTTGCTTTGTCAGCATAGTCCTCTTCCATATATAGCGACAACGATACCCATAACAACATTTACTGCTAATTGTTATAACAGAGATAATGTAACATTAACGATCATGCGCTAAAACTTTACAATTGTCAATATCAAATCAATTACATTGTATATAAGTCTATGGTACAGGCCATCAGGACGTATTCTTATAGAAGAAAAGATGAACGCTTGATGACGTCATCGATAGAATCAGGACTCTTCACAGCAAAAAAATATTTATGATGAGTCGCGTCCTGTGCCAATTGCACTTATAAAATTGCAATTAACGATATCGCTGATTCTATTGTTTGCACAACAATTTATATTGCATTGTATATAAAAAACTATGTCACAGATAACTGTTGATGTTTAACAAACACGAATAAAATACTATGATGAACCAGTAGCACAATGGAAAATTGCCCGCCAGCGATATGTCGTCAAATGGAATAGATACTCGATTACTCAAACACATTCATCCTGGCGAATTTATTATTTGATGACAGTAACGTTCTGATATTCAATATGAAATGTTGCAAGTGTATATGTGTGTTTTAATAATTATTTTTCCTGCAATGTATAGATCATTCTTTTAACACGTCGAGCTTCACGAACATGTAACAGATGTTTTTCGGGTCTGTCATTTCATTTTGTACACACTGCTTCTCAGAAACATACTATCGTATAAGTATGTTACATATATTAACGTGAAACTATCAGCAATGAAAACTGCGGAGCTCGACGCATTAAAGTTCTTCATTAGACGTCGAGTGAATAGTTACAAATTATTAGGCACATACAACATTCATCTCTTCCGTTCTTTTTTCTCCCTACTCAGTGCACGGGGTTCTTAGGCTAAAAATTCGTTTCGTACGATTTATACGAGTGAGAAACCTGGCTTCATACCACTTGTTGCGCGATTATAATCGTATAGCTTGATAATTTTTCATCAGTGACTCGGAAGTTCTAGACTTCGTCCTCACTGGACTCACTGCTGTAAGCCAATTGCTCCTTCCACCATTCTCGCACCTCTAACATAACGCTGGAGACTTTAGGAGCGGGTGCTTTACTGTTCAACGTCTCTCTCTGCTGTCTGCTTTGCTCCGTGTTTTCCGTCAGGTGTGGTAAATTATTTTTCACCATCGCTAAAAGAAGTCGGAAAGATACAACGTCGATTCAACATGCAGAAAGTATGTTAACGTCAGACAAAAAGAGAGAATGATCGTTCGGACTTACTCGGCGGTCTGCTGTTCCTCTTCTTTGCCACGGCGATCTTATCTTTGTCAGATCGAACGGATGCGGGATCCGACAAAGTCGGGGCTAAATACTTTCTTCCGGATGCGCTTCCTATGCTGTCTGATCGTGGAAGCACCACTGGTTTCTTCGCTCTGTGCTTCGACACCTCGACATCCTGCTGATGGAAAATTGCAAAATAATTTTATTTTTATAAGAATATAAAAGAGAGATTAGAATGTGTCATACAATTTTTACTATAATTCTTCAGAATTCATATTATGGCAAATATATAAATATTTTAATATAATGATACTTCTCAGTCACGAAGTATTTATTTTAAAGAATTTCCGAATAATTAATGATTTTATCGCATTGATTCATTAATTGGGATACAGAAGTACCAGAAATTTTTCTCCAATTCGTTAATTCTATTCTATGGAACGAATATTCTTTTAGCTAAAATGATGACGATACGTTAATTTTTTATGCAATAGAAAGCAATAGATTATATTGTAATAGGTGAGGTAAAACGATTGATAAAACATGCCTTAGTTTCAGTCTCTTCTTCGCGATCGACGCTAACTTCCTTGCCTTTTTCCTCGATATGATCCTGAGGTGGCGGTAGCGCGTTATTCGTAGCACGAAGCCCAGCGATAAGACTATTCTGCTGCTTCTACAAAAGTGACAAAACCGTTATTCTCTTGACATGATTCCAAGGCAAACATCGTTATCCTCACCGCTCTAATTTTCTTCAAACAGCCCTGTAGCCACGTTCTGATGGTTTGCTTGGCCACTTCCTCCTCGATTATGTACTCGAACTCCTCCCGCGCCAGTAACTCCTCCAATTGAAGCGCCTTTCTTATGTCTACTGAACGGTACGACAACATGCTGAAAGAAATTCTTTGGTTCAGTCGCGAACTTCAAAAACACAGCTTGAATGCCATAAAATGTTTCACATTACTTCTATAATTGTTTATGGAGTTGTAGAAAAATTCACGAATTTAAAGCTACGAAAGTATCGCAGGAAAGATCTCATAAAACTTACTTAATGACATCGTGGAAGGTAACGTCTTCGCCGTTATGCAGCCGTTCGAGTTCGTAGCACATGTACTTGAAGAGCAGGCGATCCTTTTGCGGATCAGTCTCCAATCTGCCCTTTAATAACCGCAGAATGTACTTCACCTGAAAAGCATCGACGTTATTGCTGGCTTCTTGTGTGTTACTGTGTCGTTTCTTCGACACGACGATTCAATATTCTAAGAACCACACCTTCTTCACCGGTATAACACCTTTCTGATGATCATCGACAACGTTCCACGTGTTCTGAAAGTTCCTTATGTCGGCGTAAGATAATAACGCGTCTTCTTCATTCGAATAGAATAGAGAGAAGTTCTCCATAATGATAGCTGCTCGGAAAAAAAACATTTTAATCTTGTATTTGGCTAATACTGATTATATACATTATTAGGGAGATTTAATAGAGAGAGAATTATCGAACGAATTTTTCGTCAATAGCAAAATAAGAACACTTGCTATTAATTGAAAAACGTCATGAATAAACAAAGAGATGTAGGTAATGCAAAGCAAAGATAGTTATTTTAATTATATCTATACATACCCACTAAAAGATTCAAGACGATGTAAGTGATGATAACGTAAAATGTACAGAAGTAAATGAGAGAAGCGTGAAAATTGCCGCAGTCCGTTTCCCAGTAATTGTCGGCCGGCGTGCAATAGGGCGGCTGTATCATGCAATCGTGCATGATCTTGTTCCAATCCTCTCCTGTTACTATTCGGAAGAGCATCGCCACGCCGGTAACCGGTGACCCGAAATTAGCGCGCCTGCATTGTAATTAGAGATTAGATTTTTTTCTGTTGGAGACTATAGAGAGATCTACACGAATGTTCGACGATGTGTTAAAAGTTATGTGGACGATCATCATATTGAAAAAGGCATGCACGTCTTCTTTTGTTACATCCTTTTATTACATTCTTTTATTACATTCATCTTTTATTACATTTTAGATAGATATATCTCAGCATATTATCTACTTAGGGACACAAATACACAAAGATGCGTCCTCAAGAATTTTGTCAGTATATAAAAGAAATCTTTGATGCTATGAAAATTATTACTTATTTTGTTTTTAAATTATTGAAGTAAATATAAGAAGTAAATATTTTGATTAAAATTATGAAATAATACATAGGTATTTTTTAAAACAAGAATATTTTAAACATGTTGCACTATTATAATAAATGTATGTGTACCACAAAGTATACATTAAATGTTTGCATGTTATATTTAGTATTTGTCTAAGATATGTTATTCCACAAATCTAACGTTTTCTCACCTTCCGATCCCTTCTCCGTACTTGACGGTGCCGAAGATAATGGTGCCGGCTAACGCGTAGAAGAACACAAGTAAGAACATGCCGAATATGATGAAAAAGCTCTTGCAGACGGATACTCCGACCGTAAGCATCAGCATTTTGAGTGTGGTATGCTTGCCGGTGATGGTAAAGAATCTAAGTATTACAACCATAAATCCGATCACGTAGGACAGATCGTTCTGAAAGTAACAGTAGAATCGTTATGGACGAAATACTACGGGTTCTGTATAACTAAACGGAACGTAAAAAAGAAGAGGAAGCACGAATTTCTCGAATTTGACGAAGCTCGAACATACCTTCATCGTGCAATGTACGACGATCCAAATAACGCCCACGACTGTCACAAGCAAATCATATCTGTTTCTTCTGGATTGCCAATAGCCACGTGGTGTAAAAGCAATGTTTTTCATGATTACTTCCACGAGGAAAACCAGTGTCAGAATCATGGAGAAAGTGGCCAGTGGTTCCGTGTGCGATTCCTCGATTCTCCACTTCGAGGCGAACGAGATAGAGAGAGGAGGAGAAAAAACAGGGAAGGCCGTAGATTAAATACGAGAAAACGTGTGAGAGCAAATTTACTTTTACCACGGTCTAATGGTAGCCGGTAAGGAACAAATGATTCAAGGTAACAGTCTCCGAATACGATCAACGAACCCGATTTACGACCGCTTATTTTCTCGATACGCAACGAAACCCTTTCTGATTATTTTTTCCTCGATATTTCTCGTTAGAGTCTAAGAATTACTACGCTCAACTCACAGAGACGCACAGCAGAGCGCTATTTGTGATAACCATGACGGCGATGAATCGTTTGAAATAGATGTTCTGCGTGATATCGTAGATGAAAGCCCGAAACTTCTTGCCATCCGGTCTTGGCGGCAAGTGTAGCGGCTGTGCGATCTTCAGCCGCTTCTTCAAGTCGCACCTGCGGTCCGACAGAATTCGCATTTATAGGAACAATCTATAGGAAACGACTATGCGTGAGCCGACAAAATGCGAGGAGGCCTCACCATCGTCTCTGATCAACCGTGAGCAAAGCAGTGCCCTTGTTTTCAGAATAATTCGCGATAACAACGCCTACGAACAAGGTCAAGCCGATCATACAACCCAGGAAAATATAAATGTGTATATAAATCGCGTGAACCTGAAAAAATATATGATAAGATGTCAGACGAGAGGTATAGTACAGAAAAAATAGAAATAGATCAAGAATTAAAAGATTAGATTAGAATAGAATTAAAAAAATAGGATAATATATTAAAAGAAAGAAGAACGATAATATATATTGTTTGAAAAATATATATTATGTGAGAAATATTTTTCAACCATAAAAATTTAAATTTTTATGATCTACGCTGTTTATCAAAGAATAAAAAATTAACAACTTACAGGACCAAGAGCTTTGATAAGTACGTCCCGCACGTCGAGCCAACCTTTGAAAGAAAGCACTTCAAACAGAGCCATCATCGCGTCGCCAATATTATCGAAGTTAAATCTTTTAGGATTAGCCCTGAAATGTATGTTGCATACAATGTTACGAGACCAGAGAAAGAGAAAGAGAGAGAAGTATTAGCATATATCTCCATAAACATACATACAACAAAATATAATTAACGTTAAACGGAAGAAATATAAGTATAAGATCGATTAATCTAATGCTCGAAATCACTTGCATTTTTGAGATAATTTTCGAAGTTTACATCTATTTTCTTTCCCCTTTCTCTTTCACTTGCTCGTCGAGCCTAACGACTAACTTAAGGACCTATTCTATAAATTTAATAATAGTGTTGTTATGTTGTTGCGCGTGTTGCACAGTTTTTCTATCATATATTATGTGTGTAATGACAACGTAATGATAATAACACTGTTGTTATAAGTTACAGAATAGGCTCCTTAACTTTAGGATCATCAATCGTATATTTGAAAGCAGAAGAGGTAAGAGGAAAAAGCAAGAATAGCTCTCGAAAATTGTAAACGTAAGTAATTTCTAGTATTGAATTAATCGATTAAGTGCTCACCACACACGCGGTACCAATATGGACGGATAACTCTCATCCTTTCCTGGGCGCAACTTCATCTTCGTCACGAATACTCTCCTCATGAATACACCGACACAATCCTCGCGCTTCAAGATCGTCGGATCGTTGCATCTCGCTAATCGGCCGCCGTACAATTGCACGCCGTAACTCGCGAACACGAACATCAGCAGGATCAATAGTGTCGATACCTAAATCAAATACATGTTGCTCATTATTTCATGATAAAATTATATTTATGAACTAGTTTCTTTTGTATTATTTTTACAGCGTTAGATTATAATCGCTATTGATGAAATTCCAAGCGAAAAATAATCTACCAGCAAGATTTCCTTAAATCCTCTGCAAAGTTCGTAAACGACTTTCCTCATATGCGGCACAAGAGTGAAAATTCTCAACGGTCGGACACATCGCAATATCATTAGTAGCTGCGCACCAGAATTCGGTGGCACGCTCTTCGGCATCCAACATAAGAACACGAGGCTTACCTACAACGATATACATAAATTAATTTACTGCAATATACACACGAAAAGAATATTATAGTTCTTTTTCATGTAAATTTTTTTCAATTTTACTGTTTTTAGTAGAATACGAATAAATTGTCAGTAAGATCTATCTTGCTAAAGAACATAATAAATTTTGTTAGAAACATAGCAAGTGTTTTAATAGCACATTTCAGTTCCTAAAATATATAAATAACACATATGAAATGAAAGAATAGTGGATTACTACAGAATGTCGATCTATTCCTCAGTCAAAAAATCCTATAATAACTTTTACTATAAAATTCTTTCCATACAGGTATTGATTGCAATAACTGGATAGATAACTATAACTAAAATATAAACTGAAAAGAGATAATTGTGATAAATCATAACATACCTCAATTCGTTATAATTTAACGATAATTAAAATATTAGGACACATCACACGTACAATATAAATAAAAACATCCAACACTGAGGCAACATCCTTAATGTAAGCTTTGGGTGTAAAGAACAAGCCGTCCGCCAATATTTTAAGCGCCAGCTCGATGCTCATGAAGATGACGAAACCATATTCTGCGATCTGCAACGCTGGCACTTCCATTACGCGATATCGCGGCGTTTCAAACATCATTGAGATGCACGACAACGTCGTGGCGCATATCATCACCCAGTCGAGATAAGTCACCAAACCGAGGAAATTGCTAAAAAAGAAAAAATCAAGTACACAAAAACCTAACCGTCGTGATTCTACTTACTGCAGACTCTTGTATTGCACTTTCCTCTCCTTGCCTGTCAAAGGATCCTTCAGTCTCGCGTCGTATCTCGCGTAAACGAGCAGCTGACAAATTTTGCGGAATTTACTCTCACGCGGCACCACGAACAACGGCGTGTCGAAAAACGGATGGTTTTCCCGCAAGTCGTCCTCACGTTGGTTTCTGATAGCGGTAAAAAAAAAACATTAGATCGCGGAGGTATTTCAGAAAGTTTCAAAAAGTATATTTTTGCTGTTTTAACTACCTTCGCATTTCCGCCTGTTGCCTCTTAGCCTGCAATAGCTTGATATCTAAGTCGTGTGGCCTGCTACGCGAGGAACTGACTCTATTTATCCCGCCTATGTCACCATTCTCCATGAGATGCTCGTACGTCTGTTTGAGTTTGATCGATCCACTTCGGACGCTTCTTCTGATTGATCTGTTTTTAATCACCAGCATATAAGAAAACGTAAAACGCATAAAAGTATAAAACAATCGATATATCGTTATGAGAAAGAATAACGAAATAAAAAATATCAGAATTTAATCGACAATTGTCTACAGAAAGACGACATTATCCTCGAGTTGCGCCGCGTGTTTCAGATTATTGGACCGTTGCATCCTTATTCTTACTTTTTTTGATCGATGCGAAGCTGCTTGGCGCTACTGACAGTGCCCTGCGGTTTCAGCAGTCCTTTTCCTGGCACAGGAATCATAGCGGAATCTCCTAGTAGAAGCCTCTGATTGTTGGAATCACTGCGAATAGAAAGAGTGGAAGAGCAAAAGCTTAAAATTTTAAAACATCAGATAAAATCTCCGAAACAATCACTTCACTTACTTTATGATGTAGATAACAGCCGCTTTTTTCAAATTTGTGACAACGCTTCTTACTTTCGGCGGATTGTTCAAGATTTTCACTGGTCGCTGTTTTCTGTATAACATTTTCGAGTCAAAAGTTTCGTTGGTCCTCTTAGCGCCTTCGTTCTCCTCGTCCTCCACTTCAAGTACGAATTGTCGCATAAAACTCTCGCGCACCTTCAGAGAAGATAAATTAAGTATTAATTTAATCTATTAGAAAAAACAAGGACCATTTCTTTTTCTTCTTTTTTTGGCAATAAATCGGTTATTTTTTTATCATAAAAGCATATGATTACCGACAAGATGTTAAACAAAAATCGTTAAAAATGAGAGAAATTATTTAATTAGTCAAACAAATCGTTTTGAATGTAAATCAAACGCAACTTTTGACAAGTCTGATAAATTTTATGTTATCAATTAAGTTATAATACTACTAATTGATAGACAGTTAGATAGTTAAAACTATTAATTGATAGATACAGTTAATTAGTTAAGATTTTAGTCAAAGTAAAATTGTCAATGGCTAGTCAAGGGGACAATATATCTCTTTGCGGACTTCTACCTTCGGCAAATTGAAATCTGACGGCACTTTGTGAAGACATGTCATCTGCGGGCTGTCTGGAAATTTTTCGAAAATTCTCAATCTGAACGGCAAGCTCTCCTTTATCTCTGCGCTCTGTTCGCGAAACTTCAGTTGCTTCAGCTTCTTAATGTCTTCGTCTAATTCAAGATTATCCAAGATTACGGCAACGAAAAGACTCAATACAATCTGAAGAAGAAATTGCGTTGAGTCACCTATACATATTTATTGTACATAGAGAAAATAAGCAGCGTGACGATTACCAGTGTGACGAAAAGATGGTACAAAATGAAGTATACCGCGACGAAAGGTGCCATCGTCTCATGAGTTCGAAGCATAGTCTCGTCCATGACGTCCACCCAGGCTTCTTGCGTGAGAATTTGGAACATCGACATGAATGCCTGGAGAATTTGTACTTTAGAGCTTCAATCCGAAGTGGTTCGTAGTTCAACGGTTCATCAGAGCATCAGCAACTCACTTCGGGAAAAGTCTCGAACTTGGTGAAGTCACAGAGGAAACAAAAAAGCTGCATAGAGATGCTGGACGATATTACCAGTAGGCACATGGTAAAAATAATAAGACTACCGAGCTTCTTTCCGGGACCGAAGATCTTGTAAACGAAGTCCTCCAACATCGGCGATGCTTTGATAAGTCGGACTACTCGGAGAACCTTTTCATACGAGAATGAATGAATGAATGAAGTTTCTTTACTCATCATGTGTAGGATGTTTTTTAAAAATTATGAGCAATTATATCTGGACAAATCAATAGCTAAAAACTCGAAAAATGCGCAGATGGAAAGTCTAAAAAACATAGACAAATTTATGGGAAAAACGCAAGATGAAACGAGGTCAGATAAAAGTAGAAACCTGAAAGTAAGTGAATCCAGAGAGATAGCAGAACGGAAGAATGTGTATAGTCGTGCCAACGGCAAGCAGCAATTCGAACTTGTGTATCGAATGCTTAAAGTAACTCCGAAAGCCCAAGCACCATATCTTGAAGAGAGTCTCGAGATCGAGAAATATCGTGAAGGCGATTTCAGCGTAGTAATAATTGCCGTAGTACGTATGCCTCGGTTGCTCGTCATGCTTGAAGCTCATCGTCGCGGTAGTGATACCGTTCGCCAAGATCGCGCACATCACCACCATGCGAAAGTGCGGTGATCTGAGGATAGCGTGACAGTATGGCGAGGCTAAACTACCGTGCTTGTTCTCGTCTAATGTAACTAGCTTCCAACCATTATCGTCACCGGTTAATATCTGCAATCAAGGAATTAATGAATCAATAATCTAAATGTAATATACGTACAAATATATTTATAAATTCTTTCTTACATTAATTAAAGTAACATTAAAGTAACATTAATGTTTAAATTAATTTTACGTAACGATACCGATATCTTTTTACTGAGATTTGTTTTATGTTGTAGAGAAAATTAAATATTAAAGAGAATAACACTTTTTGAAGATTATAAAAAGAAAAAGGGAAGAAAAGAATATGAAGACTCACTTGCGACGCCGAGCTGTTGCTGATTTGACCTCTAACGCCCCACATTTGCTGGAATTGCACACGGATTTCGTTGAAGGTTTCTGTGATGACGGCGATAAAGACGTTTTTCACCAACCAAGCCAGGAAAAATATCATCGTGCTGAAGTAGAGAACCGCGCGCCACGCTGGCAGACTATCTATCGCTCGATACATAATGAAGACCCAGCCCTCTTGAGAGGCTGCTTGATACACGGTGAATATACTGGTGGCTAAACAGTCCAAGATTAAAGTCAGTCATACACAATTATTACAGATCACACAAATTTTTATATTAAGTCTATTAAATATTTTCTATTTTAAAAATTAGTTTCAACAGTATCATAAGAAATGCATGATTATGTTTAAGAAATATATCTATCAGTAAGCGGCTATGTGATGGAAAAATTTTTTTTGTAATTTCAATTATTCAAATCAAATTAGTGATCTCAGTTTTTTATATATAGTTAAAATAGTAGTATGCGTATATGAAATATGGGATGTAAGATATAAGATGTAAAATTACGTGATTCATAACTTCCAACAAATTAGTAACTTTTATGATCCCGAAGATAATTAGATAGCCGCTATCGAAAAATAAATTCGAGGTGTACAAGAACAATGGATATAATATTAATATTAACTACTACCAAACTCGTCAAATCCATTGAAGCCTATAATATACTTGGTTAACTCCAGCTTCATGCAGATCATCCCTTCGGGACATTGATATCCAGATTCCGGATCAGTGGAACAAAATGTGTCGGGAATAGCTAGACTGTTGATCGTAATGTAACTCGGATCGGTGGTATTTAGTACACAATGATTCTTCAGCTCGCCGAAAAATTGCACACCCAGAAAGCCGTAAAGAGACATAAAGAACAGGAAGAACAGCGTTACGTTGTAGATTTGCTGGCTCGAGCGTCTGAATGAATCGAATGATTGGCAATTAATAATTATATAGCTAGAAATGGCTTAACAATTAAGAAGTTAACAATTAAATTGATTGAAAATTTACTGTATTTTGTCGTTTAAGCCGTGAACACTTGTCTTGACGGCGATTATTTATTAAAATGTAATTTTCTTACTTAAAGATCTGATTGATTCTGTTCTTGGGCATTGAGAATTTGAGGAAGACTCGTAGGAAGCGTATCATGATCAGTGGTCGTGGTGCTCGCATAATCGAGGCGTAACTGAATTTTACGAGAAAACCCAACATTTCAAACATCTGAAGAATCACAGACAGCCAGAGGAAGATCACCATACTCGCGTCGAATTGGCACCAATGATCCTTCAGGTAAGACTTATCCCTCTGTAACATTATTAGCAATTCCATTATGTCATTTAAGTTAAATGACAAATTGATAAATTACATATAAAGAAATCCCATAATATCATTGTGAACCTTGTGATTGAAGATAAAAGAATTTTGAATTACCAGTTTTAATATTAAGTACTTCTAATCTCAATCGTACTTTATCTCGATGAGGGAAATGACATTACCTTTAGTATTCCACGTATATACATCTTGGCGATCATCTCAGCGGTGAACAAAAACGTGACTAATAGATCGCAAATGAAAGTAACATATTGCAGAGACGGTATCTTGTCGAAGGTCTTCGGGGTGTTTAAACAAACCGAAGCCAGTGAGACCAGAGCACAGAACCGCATCAGCCTCCTCACCCACAGCTGAAATCATTCCCCACAATGTGAATTTTACAAATTGATTAGGTATGAAATTATTTCGGGAGGAAATTGGAAAATCCTTCTAAATACAAAAGAAAGAAAACGTAGATAAATTTTCATATTCGATAGCATAATCCATTCTCAATTGTATCTACAACATTGATAACACAATAAATAATGAGTAAGATTCCAGAAACAGAGATTATATACTTGTAGAATTTTGCACTTAATCTATAATTTTACAGATTTCCATTCTACGACTGATTCCCTATTTCTGCTCACCTTGTTGACCCACTCTATGTCAGCGCTCTCATTGAGGGACTCCTCCGGGCCATAGTCGGCCAGAACGGGTTCCCCTTTGAGGCTCTGCTTCCGCCCCAACATCATAATAGGGATTATGTTCGCAATCTTGAGGCCTGTAAATAACAAACAACTCAATTCCGATGAACGATCTAAATACATACATGTACATTTATCGAGAAATATATTGATTTGTTCCCTGCAATTAATGGATAAGTTATATGTTTAATTAAAGATTATTATCGCAAATTAACGAATTAATCTAATTTAATAAATTTTTACATCTATTTCATTTCGTCTACTCAAACTTTTCATACTTTGTACATATGTTGTTTAGACTTGGGATTTTTGAGATAACAATAATCGATGTAACAATAATCTATTAATACATGTAATTTATTAATATCTTACAAAAACATATAATTATAAAGCTTATCATACTTATCAAGGATAGGTTGTTTTATACATTATTTGTATTTATATTCAAAGAAATAAAATGTGAAAAATAACGTAATGGCTTACATTAGAAAAAATAATTAAAAATTTAATTCGTACTCAAATAAATGCATTCACATTAACAAACTAGACATATTGTTCATTGAAAATCAAGAGATTTACCTTTCTCTTAACTGTTTACGGAACGACGGATACTGCCTTTACGGCAATTTCTATAGACTACATCTCGGAATATAAAGTAACGATAAAGCTCAACGTATAATAAACATCTCAGAAGTAATAACAAGCTGGCGGTGTTGCGATGAACATTTTTCGGCCATGTCGCCAGCCGTCCAGAACGACCGAAAGTCGGAGTGATTGAGCATGAGCAGTGCGCACGTTTCGCCTCACAAGAAAATCAATATTTCACTATTTCTATGTGCGCGCAAATTTCTTGAAATCGAGATTGATGCAGTCAGTTTCTCTTACTATTACACTTTATAAATGTTTTCACTTGATTAAATCATTCTTTAAAACGTTAAATAGCATCATTAACATTTAATAATATTCGACAAAAATATTAATTCAGTTTTAATTTTCAATATATTTGAAATTTACGCAATTTATTAAATGAATAGATATCATATTAATAAATTTAATGTGATAAATAACTTAAAAGTAATTATATTAGTCTAATATACTGATTGCACTAAAAAAGTTAGAGAGATACGGAAAGATGGATATTAGAGGGATACGTGTATTTTTTTTTTTTTTTTATATTGGTACGAAACGCGAGTGCGTAATCTAACGTTAAAAAAACGTGTCAAAAAAGTTAATTGTTCATTCTTGTTATTAGATTTACGTTTGTTAATGTTTTTTATATAAAACGATACTGTATGTTCTTTTTTCCTTTTTGCTTACTCGAAATATCACCCGAGATCAGTATAATTAATATAAACGCCTACGTGACCAATCATACAATCACGAGTTAAATTTCAATGGAGGTTATTTCACGCGTTCTCAACGGAGATTGTTTTACGCGTTCTTCTCCGCAACGGCCATCAGTTTTGAAAATTCGGAGTCTGATCGGGAGAGAAGAACAGTCGGTGTATCAAATTCGACAACCTTGCCGTTACTCATGACGAGAATGCGATCAGACGCGACTACTGTTTGTAATCGATGAGCAATCGTAAGTATAGTACAATCCGCGAACTCATTCTGCAGAGTATTCTGTACCGCCGCTTCTGTCTCGGGATCAACGGCTGCCGTGGCTTCGTCCAGCAACAATATCTGAAGAGATATATATGTTCCGATTGCCATTCATTTTTAACTTAGTGCTTTGGAAAGGTATCAAAATCATTTTTGAATATAGAAAGCGTTTAAAAATACGGACATTCAAAAAGAAAAGTTGTGTCAAACTAAATATTAGAAATTAAATGTTTCAAATTAAAGTTAGAAAATTTGACTAATCGACACAAAATGACCAAAGGTTAAAGGCCGGATCGTTGAATTCTAATCTTTAATCTATTATTTAATCTGATTACCTTAGTACTATGCAATAAAGCTCTTGATAAGCAAAGAAGTTGTCTCTCGCCAACACTTAAATTATTTCCACCAAATCCAACGGAAGCATCAAGGTTTCCTGTCATAAGAGACACCTTATCTTTCATTCGAGTCTTCTCGAGAGTGTTCCAAATGTCCGAATCGGTATGTTGTTGGAAAGGATCTAGATTGGATCTGAAAAACAATGACAATACGTCTATATTAATAATAGAGAGCAGGAAAACGAGTTGAGAATTAAATGAGATAAATATTCTACCTTATAGTTCCGCTGAATAAAATTGGATCCTGAGGGATGATCGAAAGCTTACTTCTTAATACGTCCAATTCTAATTTCGAAATATTGATACCATCGATTTTAATGATGCCTTCGCAAATTTCTACTAGCCGGAATAGAGCCACAGCCAAGGAGCTTTTGCCGGATCCGGTACGACCCACAATACCTGAAACAATTAATCATTCGTATAAGATAACGCCATTAGTGCGTTGGAGTAAACTATTCTCTATTCGTTACCTATTTTCTCTCCGGCTTTAATGCTAAAAGAGACACCGACCAACACGAGCGGCAATTCTTCTCTGTATCTCATCTGAACTGACTTGAATTCTATCTTTCCATGTGAAGGCCAATTGTCCGCTGGTTTAACATCAGCTGTCTTACTCGCACCTTCTCTTTGCAAAGTCTAAGTAAAAAGAATATACATATTAAAATAAAGATATCTATTACGATCAATTATTCTCATAAAATATAAATATCTATCCGAATCAGAAACATCGCGTGTTACGCGGAGATAAATTATTTACTTTAAGGTAGTAGCTAATCCTTTCCACGCTTATAAAGCGCATTTCCGTCTCAGACATCAATCTGACGGTATATTGAAAAACACCGGTCATCTGCGTCGAGTACGCCATGGCCAGTCCGGCGAAAGCTGGTGACAGTTCATTCTTAAGGCAGATCACGAGTAACGCGGTTATAAAAGACGAAGCAATTACCAAGCTGTCCAATCTTACTGCGGACCATCTCATCGCGGCTTGGCAGAGATACTGACATAAATTATTCGTGTTAAATAACTCTTCGAATCTGTCAATTAAGAAGTGATGACTCAATCGTTGTACTTTCTTATCTTATAATTATATCTTTATTGTATTTTGACCTTTTATTATTTTTATTCAATAGATTATGACTATTTAAGAAATAAATAATTACTAACTTAAGAAGAAATTATTAATTAAGAAATAAATAATTACTTGTGCACGAAATTCTTTTCCTTTTGAAACGCGTGAATTGTGTTCAAGCCTTGGATCGTCGTGGTAACGAAACTTAAAACGGGAGACCGCGAGACGTTTTCCATTCTTTTCAGGTCCCTCATGCCTACCCTGTGAAGATGCAAAATGGAACTAATGGTTATTACTGTCTTACAGATAAGTAATATGATATGTAAATTAATATTACTTACCTAAATAATTTACTAACGAAAAAGAACAGTCCACCGAAAATGAGTAACGGGAAAAAAAACCAGGGTAATACGCCGCAAATAAAAAATATAGCAAAACTACAAGTAAAAATGTTTTGCACCATGTTCTCTATCGATATAGGTAAATAATTATCAACTGTAAGTAAGATTAAATAGTTAGATAATATTTAAACTTTGTGCATTTCACTACATGCATTTAGGATCTCTCAGAGTACTCACTTTCGTCCATGTCTCGACTGAATACATTTTGGATCCTACCACTCGGGGTAGTCTCGAAGAACTTTAACGGAGCACCGATTAACTTGTAAAAAAACATATTATGCAACGTGGTCGAGGCTTTTATCGTTGCAAACATAATTACGAAGCCACGAATTAAACTCGTCAATAATATGCCACCAATGCACGCTGCATATATATTTTGATAATATAAGAAGTCTGGATTGGCGTTTATGTTCTCCGAATATATAATTTTATTGCTTTCAGGTATGGTCGTGTTCTAAAATTGTTATGCGGGTTTAAAAGACATTTATTGTCTAATCTTAGACATCTTGATCCTTAATATCCTATTTTAATATTTTGTTAATGTAAAGAAATAAATATGCGACGAAACAGTATTTATTATTAACAACAATAATAATAGTAGAAAATAAATATGTATTTTTTCAGGTATTAAGCATAATACCTTACTTATATATACTTACACCGCCACCAGCTTTGATCCACACAGCAAGCCACCAAGTGCTAAATGCTGAACTACCCACGTTTAAGAAGAACGTCAAGAATACAAGAATCGCGACGACATAACCACCTGTGGCTTGTATATATATGTGATAAGTATACGACTTGACGGCACCTTTTTCAGCTTTCTCTTCTACGGTTAAAGTCTTGCCTAAATTAGAGAATGAATAAAATTATTCGCATATACTCGTGAGATGTTTAAATTTGAAACTGCATATTATATAAGTATATTTTTAACATTCTCACCTTTGTATAACTTTTCTTTTGTGTGATTCTCTTTGCTTCCGAACTCTGTCACGGCCTTCTGAGAGTCTGAATTATCATCATCATTGAGAATACTTCCCTGCGTCGTTCCTGCAGATTTTCCTCTGTGAAGAAATAAATACTGTACTTAATGCATTGTTATAAAATCGGATATATGATATGTATTAAACGTACGTTAACAAATTATCTTCAGCTGCAACAATTCCGCTCTTCACCATTGATGCATATTCCCTGTCGAGCCGCATGAGTTCCTCATGAGTCCCGTGCTCCACGATCTTGCCCTTAGCCATCATGTAGATTTCGTCGCAACGTTTTAGGAACTACAACAAATATTGAATATACCAAACTTTAAGATATTTGCAAATATAAATAATTTTCAACTACTTTATAGTAAGTTACTTCGTATAATAATAACAACAACATGTTGAAACAATAACAACATGTAAAAATATAATTAAAATTATAAAATATAAACAATGTTTGAAACAAAAGAAATGTCTTGAAATTAATTAAACACGCACTTGAATGTGATGTGTGACAAAGAGAATAGATTTATTTCTAAGAGCTTCGATGATCAACTTTTCAAATATGTATGAACCAACGTATGCGTCGACTGCGCTTAAAGGATCATCGAGAAAATAAATATCCCTGGAACAAAAAATACGGTTGCAATATCCATCACGTTTTATCAATCGTCACATATTTTTGTTACATTACAATCGGCACATTTGCAATGTGAATATGGAACAACAATAAAGAGATGTTCGCACCGATTGGCGTAATACGCTCGCGCGAGCGCGACCCTCTGCCTCTGCCCTCCGGACAGATTGACTCCTCTTTCACCGATTTCAGTCTCATCACCTCCTGGCAGCATATTCAGATCGTCCTTCAAATTGCAAATTGTGATCGTGTGATAGTAGCGCTTGGCATCAAACTCTTCGCCGAACAGAATATTCTCTTTGAAGGTTCCATTCATGACCCATGCTTGCTGACTGACGTAGGCGCAGGAGCCCTCTCTCAAGATATGGCCTTTCGTCATTCTCAACTGTCCCAGGGCGGCCAGTAGGAGACTGGACTTGCCGCTGCCTACGTGACCGCAGATGCCGACCAGTTTTCCTTTAGGTGCTCCAAAATGAACATCGCTGAGAACCTCAACATATTTGGCTTCCTGCGCTGGTTGATTAAGGCTTTCCAGTTCTGTCGGATTGCTCGAGAGTGGTGTTTTTCTGCAAGCAAATTGAGAAGGCAACTTAATCAGCTTAGTTTACGGAAAAAATCGTTATAATTTATACTTATGAATCCAACAAACTTACTTCTTTTTACTACTGATCGGCTTGTCTGTTTGAAGCTTCACACTGTCGCAAACAAAGGTGCCGTTAGCGATAGCCACCGCTTGCGACCTCACGATTGGTTTCGACGCTTGGCAATTGCCCTCATCCAGCAATAATACGCTCTGTACAGATATCGTTTTGTTAGTCAAATTCTATTCAATAGATCCCTGAAAAAGGTGTAAAGCAATCAAGCAAAGTTAGAAGAGTAAATAAGCAATGATATGAAAATATAAATTTAATAGAGAAAAAAAAAAAATATATATATATATATATATATATATATATATATATATATATATATATATATATATATGTGTAATATTTACACTAATATGTGAAATGCATGTATTTATTTTTAGTATCTAAAAGTATAAAAGTTACAACGTCACACATCCTCATATCATTTCATAAGCATATGATCTATATTAACACGAGATTGTTACGTGATACAAATACAAGCAAAAAGCAAGACGTATAATTAAATGTTACTTTACAGTGTAAATACTAAACACATTTGTTAAGAATATCGCAACCAATTATTATTTGAATAATGAAAAATGTTAACAATTAACTAGGAGACGTTATGATACAACACGAATATGATGTAATCGCATTCCTACTAAATATACACAAAGAATAAACACCTTTATTCTGCCAAAAGTTATCTTTGCTGTGGTAATATTAACTAAGGCCACTTGCAAAAACATGAAAGAGGTACGAATTTGAGCATTGAGCACCGATACGAAGGGAAAGACCTGAAAAGTAACGCAGTGCAGCATTAAAACTACCATGTTAGTACAATTGTCTGTACTAATGGTACACACAAGCGTGGGAACGTTGTGCACCCCAATTCAACATTATTTACAAGTCACAATTTATATATCCAGTATACCAGAAGAAATATCAATTGTAATAAAGTGCTTTTTTATACAAAACATGCAATATTTGCCCATTATGTTCTCCTATGTTACTTTAAAAGCTTTCTTTTTTGCCTTAAAACATATATCTCGTGTACATAATATTATGAAAACAGTACTCGTGCTATTTCGTTCTTTATGCTACTTATATCTATCTCATTTTATAAAGTTTATGGTTTATTTTGTTGTAAAACATCTTTTATTAAAATATTTACGATATTAAATACGTAATTAAATACGTAATTAATCAGCTTTCGACAGGCAGAATTTTTAAGAAGAGTCCGAAAACACAAGTTGTTAATCGTATTTTCTCTTCATGCGGAAAAGAGAGATATTTCAAAAAAAATTCAAAAGATTGAGTTTATCAAACATTAGTACTGGTTTCCTAATAATAGATACGGATAACTGACGCATTAAGCTATACATTAACCGAAAAACATTGGGAGACCTTAAATCTTCTAAGAGATAGAAGAGCGGCGATAAAATATCGCATGGTATCCCTAAGTGACGTGAACGCCAGCCTAAGCAAATTTCCAAATAATGTGGTCATTGGAAAAGCCTGTAATATATAATCCATTAAATGCAATATTATTCGTGGAAATCAAGGATAGATCTAATTAACTCATAATTAAAGTCACGAATATCTATAAAAATTGAACAAATACTGATCTATTCTCGCTTTGGGATCCAATATCTTAAAAATTGCTTACCTACTGAACGTTATCCAATTTCTCCTGATATACATAAAATCAAGATATTTATAAAAATCAAGATATACATAAAATTAAAATATTCATAACAACGTTACGTCGAAAATTAACGATACAAGATAGATTAGATTTTATACCTGTGCAGCGGTTAATCCATTGCCTGAGGCAACATGTGTCAAAAACGTGATGATTGCGGATATCACAGGTATAGCGGGCGTTAGAGAAATGCTAAGACTTTGAAAATATGCAGTCTTGTGAAGCCAACGTTCTTCTTTCTTGCGTATAGCTGCAAAAAGGGATATTATTATAAAGGGATATTAAATATAAATAATTACTTTATACTTAAATGTACGTTAATTAAGAATATTTCAAAACTACTAAATAATGAAATAAACTACACAATATAAACAAAATTTTTAAATATAACTGATGCGTCTGTTATATTAAATTAAAATGTAAAAACTAAATTATTTTATCTTATTGTAAGTTATTCTCACCGAGAAGTTTTTGACTAAAGTATTTTTCCCAGGCATACATCTTAATTAATTTTATGCTCTCCAAAATCTCACTCATAAGACGTACCCGAGAATCCGTGATATCTATCGACTTCTTACGGAAGTAACCAGTCGCACGTGAGATTAAAAACTGTAAACGTAAATGTCGTGTTAGCCAAAATGTATGCATCGCGAGTATGCAACAGCGAAATCACTTACTTGACACGGGTAAAACGAAAGAAAAGCTACCATTCCTAGCAGAGAAATGGGATTGAACAACCAGAGTATATAAATCACGCCGCAGCTTATGACTATTGGTCCACTGATAATCATCGGCCCATAAATGATTACATCGAACAGCCTTTGACTGTCATTACAGAATAAGTTAATCACCTATAACAATAAAAGTTACGGAATTAGGCTTTCACGTACCGAGAAAGTGGCCTGAAGATGTTCAAAGTTTCAAAAAACAAGTTGGGCACATTACTCACTTCTCCTGTATTTTTATCGCCAAGACTATTTAGTCTGATAATCTTCTTGTACAACAGAGTCGTGCAAGCTGACTTCAATCGTAATCCAGTCTTGTAGTTCATATTCCACGTCCAAGTAAAAAAGAATGCGCGCAAAGAATCGCATAGTGCTAGCAGTACAACCCATTTAATACCATCCCAAAAATTCTCCTCTGGAGACTCCATGTGCTCCAGTATTTTTCTCATTAATATTGTCTAAACAAAAGAAAACATGAATAATGACGTTATACTACAATTTTATATATATAATATGAACAATATATTACTATATATTATTAATATATATTACTATATATTATTAATATATATGCTATATATAATAAATACATACAATAATTTACTGCGAATAAAAGGATAATCTTACAGGACTTATAAATCCAAAAATAAGAGAACTAGCTAGCAAAATGCATGATATATAAACTCTTGTGCGTACAAATCTCCATGCTACAGTGCTAAACGAAGCTGCATTGGGGCCATTTTTACTTAACTCCTGTTGCCACAGTACGTCTAGCCTGAAAGAATTATTCTTTTTTATGCATTGTATTATTAAGTCTAGAGAGACGCGATAACACGTTAGATTTTTACCTAAGTGCGTTGTATTCGCAGGAGTCATACACCGAAATACTCGGCAAATCTTTGATCGTGAGTCCTTTTTTGTAAGCTTTCCATAAGTAATGTGTCATCCATGTTATATATACGTAAGAAAATAATCCAGCTTTATCCGCCGGTGCATCTTCTTTCTGTCTATGAAAAAAGATTGAATTTTTCACTACTCAAGTGCTGTTATACACACACAATGTTTTATTATTTATAAAATTTACTTTAATGGTGAGTTTAACATTGATAGGCAATAATAAATATTTATATAAATATATGACCTTTTATATGGTTTAAAATCATAGTTATGTTTGTGACATAATTTATATCATATAAATAGAATATAAATAATTTTATTATTTTCTGATTGGTAAGTCAAACTAATAGTAAATTCTAATGTTTACATTCTTAATATTTCATATTATAGCCTTATTTGAGACTAAATGTTTTTTAAATTTTATAAATGTTACTTCATGTCGTAGATATATTCTACAAATTACCGCAATTTATTTTCTTAGTAGGATTACTATAAAATGATTCACAAAACATCCTATATTCAGTTGCTAAATATTCTAAATATTTATTTTAAACTTTCTAATATATATATATTTAATTAAAATATTTAGTCATAATACATACTGGGTTTGGAGTCGTATTGGTATTAAATTACCCAAAGCATTATTATATTTTTTTATTCCAGACCTTGGAATATACTCTCTAGCTTGTCTTGCTGTACTACAACTTGCGCTTGGTAGTAAAGATTGTCTTTGTTTCTCAGATTCTGAAGATCTAATAGAAACAAATGGAAACTAAATTATTATATCTTTTAGACTGGTTCAGATAATTAATCTAATTATTTTTATTTTCTCTTTAAAAAACATAAGAAATAACTAGTTTTCCATACTTTTCCTTTTGATTATGTTGCTTATTATTTTCAATCGATTTGTCACTACTATTCTCTTCTCCTGTTGTTTGCCCCATTTTCATGAGACAATGTTCTCTAATGTGTTCACTCTAGCAAAAATATCAATTATGCTCGAAGAATCTGAAAATGATATTTTGTATAATAATCGAAATTGAGAAGTATAGAGATAAATATTTAAGCACTAATGTTTCAGCTTATTAATAAAGCAATCACAGGAAACAAGTTGTATAAAGTTAAAATTAAGAGATTTTTGCCTATAAAGATACTAAAGCATAAATGTTTTTCTACTAGAATTGTGAGATTCGCGATACTATCAAAGATAACATATATATAAGTTTTTCACAAATCTTTCATTTTTCATTCATAAGCTCAATCACGTAAATAAAACACGTCTGTTATATTAATTCATCTATTCTCAATCAGGTCGTGCTTTTTTACTCACCTTGTCGATAGTCAACAAGCTATCTGTCGCCAAATGAGAATTAATCGTTGGTTACATCGGCGCGCTGATAAGAGAAGCAAAGTTTTATCCTCGAACATCACTAATGAGACACGAGACACGTATATCGTATATTTTTAATTTCCGCTCCTTCAACGAGCGATTGGAGGGAGAATATACGACATGACATAGACATAAACACTTTTACTGCCTAATCGGAGTCACAGATAAGCATTGACAAACGTGACTACGGGCAAACAATTTGGTACCTGTTGATAGTAGTAGCACATTTAACAATGGCGATATCGTAACCAGTAACGATAACAGAAGCGCAAATGATCCTTGTTTTTTTCATGAGAAAAACGCGATATATACACACACGTACATTTCCTCGTGTTTACACAGATCGGAAATTAAACTTACCGAAATTTGCAGGAGTGCCGATGTTCCTGCTCGATGTGATTGATAATGTGAGTCGGAATCAATGCGTAAATGTCAACGGGAGACTTTCACGAGAAAGTCTGTCGGCGCACTCTGTCTATCTCCTGAAAGCGTAGGCGAGCATGGATCACATATCTCTACTTTGAGAATTCTTTTATGACAATTAGGTTTTCCTCCGGGAAACGCGTTTCCGTTCGGCAGTACGATGAACTCCGCGTACATTGTTTATTCAAAGGAGCATGATCGAGCGTGATTTATCATCCGTTCGTGAGCACCGTAGCGCGGTGGCATGTCGCGGGATTCAACAGTGGCTCCATACATAGGGTGTCCGAAGAATCTCAAACCACAGGTTGTGACACTTGACACACGTCTTGTTTATTTTCACGAAGCCACTGACTTAAAAAATGATATTCTCAAGTAAATAAATTTTGAATGCAAATTTTCTAAAGTAGACATATTAGTTAACAAGTTTCTTGGTAGGTCTTTTCCTACCAAGTATTTAAAAATCCTGGAATGTAAATTGATCTTTTACAAGTATCTTTAAATGTATAAATATTCAAACACTTACAATATATTTATAATAACCTAAAATAAAATATGTAATTTCTATGGATAAATTTTTCTCTCTCTCATATAAGTTCTTAAGATATTTTTATATATCTCTCTTTTGGATTTCCTTACATAAATATATTTATATAAGATCTTTAGATATATATATATTTTAATATATCAATAAAGAACACATATTTTAACAACTACTTAGAGCAAACATCAGTATTTTGAACTCCTGTCAGTTTATTTTTGATTATATTCTTCTTAATTCAATTAACTTGAGTAAATAGATTATCAATTTTATTTACATCTACAGGATCTTACTCTAAGGAAACTGTTATATATTTTATTTTCACTTTGTTAGTTTACTTTTTTTTATTCAAATATCTCAGAGAATATAAACCGAAGTTACACTTACGCTTTATAATATACTAAACATTGACCAGCTGGTATTTTTTTTATTTATTAACACCAATATCTAAAAGAAACTATAACTTCTTACTTCCAAGACTTTGAAGATCGCAGTATGGTACATTATCGCGCCCTGACAAATATGAGTACCTTTGAATGAATGCTCTGAATTCTATGTATCCTGCACGTCACAAACAAATAAACACGATAAATTTGTTTAGATACAATCGCAAACTATCAATCAGTCGTATATATTACAATTGTATACTTTGCGCTTCAGCTTGCACGCTATATCTCGACGCACACCGACAAATATCACGTCTAAGCTCGCATCAAAGCTGTTACGATATGTAACGCATGACTACATATCATCAAAAAAACTATCATTTTAATCGTTTGACATTAGATTAGAACAAATTGTATGTCGCACTATCATGAACGTTGTCGTAAGAAAACAAATTTTCTAATATTGCCAAGATAAATTTCCCTATTCTTTCTTAATACTTTGCGATAATTTTTCTTTGTAATTCGCTACATATACTTGAAAAGAAAAAAAAAAAAAAACGAAAGAAAACGCACACAATATCAAAAGTGAAGTGGAAGTTGCCATTTTTATCTTTAGGCAAGCTATTCTTCATATTTAAATTGTGTGTATTCCACATTAAAGAATATTTCTAATATAGAAACGTCTATCCTTAAAGGAAGGAAAATAAGAGAAAAAAGAATAAGCAAGTACTTCTTACATACTATTGGTTTGGCTTACGATTAATATAGGAGGTATAATTAAAGAAAAAAAAAGTATATAAACTCGATATTGCATCAGTATGGTTTTAGATGTGGTTTGTGTGATCAGTAATCCACTTTGATTCTTCGACTGTTTATAATCGTCGTTCAGCGTTAAAAACGCATTGCCCGGTCTCAAAAACTATTGTAATTATTGCCTCCCAACTGCGAACTGAAGCCTCGATTCGGCGAGTATCCTGGCCTGAAGTTGTTGCCTATGCCTGTGCACACACGCACACACACACACGTGAATAAAATACATATGCATATACGAATCTGTCAGAGAAATGTATCGACAGACTTTATTCGATCCTCATATGCGCACGTATCAACTCTATGTATTTTAAACAATAAAAAGCCTCAATTATAATAATATTTTCGGCAATCGGCCCTACCTCCGCAAAAATTGCCAATGCCACTCAATGACATGCCGCTTGAGCCGCCGGTTGAATTCAGAAATAGTTCGATGTATCTGTGCGACATGTGGCTTTTGTCCTGCAATAAAATTGAAAAATTTAATATCAGAGTTATGTGTGTTAGTAGCGATATTCACGAGAGTTTCGTTTTCGTCAAGAGATATAAAATTTTGTCTAAATAGACTTTAATAATAAAAAAACACGTACTTTGCACATGGCTTTCACGGCTTCCTCATGGGTTGCAAATTCCACATCGGCTTCTCCCGATGGACGACCACCATTTTCCAGAATAATACGAACGTTTACCGGCTCAATCGGTCTAAAGAACTGGAAAAATATTCACGAATATCGTAGTTAAATATCTATCTATTAAGAATCTATTCTTAAATAAAGTTGAATAAATATAGAAATTACATCGGCTATGTCCTGTTCTGTCGCTTTAAACGGCAATCCTCGCATGTGAATACTGTGAACACCCGAATTACCGCCCCAAGAGTCGCCACTACCTCTATAATTGCCGCCTTTCATGTCCATGCCGCCACGCATGCCCATATTACCACCGCGAGACCCGTAGTTGTTTCCGTTTCCCCATGGTCCATTGTCAAAGTCTAAAATAGAACCAATCGGAAAATAATATACCGAATGTATAATAATACATAAAATTATCATAATATACATATTATTAATTATTTAATACATAAATTATCACATAACATATGTGATGAAAACAATATCCTCACAGGATAAACATATACAAATATCATGGATATAATAAATTGGAACAATAAAAAGTACTTGTACGTAATATAAACCGTTTAATTATTATTTCTTGTTATCTTTATTCGAAGTTACTATATCTGAATGCAAAACTTGGAGAAGAGAAATCACCTCTGTTTCTGGATCCTCTGCCGTTATTGCTGAAGCGATTCATCCCGCCGAAGCGATCGCCACGAGTGTATGGCGCGGGCCTCTGATTGAAGCCACCCATAGGACCACCGCGCATTTTTGGTCCAATACTGGCGCGTACCTCTGACAAACTGCTTCGGAAGATCTCGATATACCTGTTAACGATCGAAGTTCTCACATTGGTTTAGCAAGCCAATAGGTACACTGAGTAATTTTGTCTTCTTCATTATTATCATTATTCATCATACACTGCCATCGAATCAAAAAGTCAACTTTAACAATTTTAACGATACAACTCGAAAGAAGTGAGGGAGGAAGAAGAGGAAAGAGCAACCACAAGGGAGAGAGAAACCACAAATAAAGAACAAAATGTGATTATCATTTCTAAAAAAGTGAAGAAAAGAATAGGAATCATTATTGCGTAGCAGTGGCGAATATAAATATCATTTGACTTGACATTACGTTGAGAGAGAAAGAAAAGAAGAAACTCGTGAATAGTATTTTTAGCAACTGGAAAGTTTTACTGTGTGACAGAGCCAACTATGTTCATACTAAACCTCCTCATTTATCATTAAACCTGCGAAGAGAGACCCTCCCACGACGACATCACTTTCTGACGTACCTACGTCAAAGTAACCCAGTCTATGCGACGCCGACGATCTTCGGGTAAACCACACTAACAATTACACCTTCCGCGGACCAACATTCATCCATCGATGCAGAAGCCGCTATTGTTTTACTATCAGACTATATTGTATATCGCCCAACATTTGCTCGTGATAAACGCGAAGATTAATCGTCGCAAAAGTTACCTGCGATCATGCGACGATTATGATAGATCCTTAATAGATCTTCTTTGGACATTGGACCTGAAGTAACATTTTCAATGTTGACCCGCAGAAGATGCAATCGCGCACGTGGTATAGACATGCCGTATTGGATCGATGGTTACTATGTCCCTGTAACGCTCACCGAACTTTGGCTTGCCCTACCCACCTCCCATGGAATTTGGTGATGACGCAAGGGGGTACGTCCCGCCCCCCGGTACCCACCCAACGGGTATAAGTTGGGTCCACAGTACTTTCGCTTACGTATGGTTGTAATTGTGTTTGAGAGAGAAAGAGGGAGAGAGGCAGTTTCTTTATATCAGACAAAAAAGAGGTCTCACCTCTATAGAGGCGACCCTCTTTCTCCGAAAAACAAAACTTGACAATTTAAATTCGCGACTCTTCGAAGGGTTATTCTTGATATGTCTTTGTACATCAAAGACAAACAGATTTGCTCAACTTTGGTTCGCGACAAGAACTCTTGAAACATATGAATGTGACGTATTCTTTGCACTTGTCGTCTCCGTCATCTCGTCTCGACGATCACGACGACAACGCCGTTGTCGTTATTGTCGTTGTCGCGCAGCAACAAAATGACAAACACCCTGCGGCGAAACTCGGATAAAGAAGCTGCATCCGTATCGAGAATTTGTTCCCACTATTTATACTAACGAAATGTATATACCTACGTATACTACGGTCATTAATAAATGATATGGAAAAGTCGTAAGTATACCCAAACCCAGCTAGCGTCAGTGCCCCACCTGTGTCCTATCTTTTCCTTGTGTTTCTGCAGAGCGCGCTCCGCAACATCTTTGTTAACAAATTGAACGTAAGCCTCCCCAGTACTGCGGCCCGTGTAGTCTGTCGGTAGCGAAATCCCGTTCGGCAATATCTCCAACCCTGACCCACACATAATCAAACATCGACATTGTAACTTAGACACCCATTAGAAATAAAAAGTTATGATCAAGTGTTTTTGTCTTTCTTTCTTTCTTTTTTACTTTTTTTTTTATTGAAGCCCTTACAAAAGAAACAAGACTGTTATACTCTAAATTGCGCGTATATATACGCGCACTTAACTCATTTTTTCTTTTCTTTTCTTTTTCTTCATGCTTCTCCTTTGTAGACAGAAAACGGCAAATTATCGCGTGCGAAACCAAAGTTAAGAATTAAGTTTGATCATTTGACTCGCGTGACAAAGAAAAGCATTCCTTTCGTTCGTGTAAATTGTAAACATCGCAGTCGACGCCGCAATCATACAACGCGAATCTTAGCGGGATCTTAAATCTTAACTGAGGCTAATCATCAGTGCTGGAACACAAGGACGTTACTTGAAATGTTATTCAATTTCAATAATCACGCGATATGTAATATAAGTTATCTTATTACTGTTAAACAGGAAATTACTTTTAGTAATTAGTTCTACAATGTAAAGATGTAAATTATAACGTTTATAATGCAAAATAATCGTTTTTAACTGCATCAACAATATCACGTCGCTGTGTTCCGTACGATAATCGTCGAATTGTACATCGTGTCTACTTGGATTTACTTTCATCTTATGAAAAAAGAAATTAAAAACAAAAATAAAAAGAAAATAAAGAAAGCTATTTGAAAAAGATGAACAGATATCTGTCTTGTAGGATTAAATGAAATCTCAGCAATATTTCATATCAATTAATAAGCAGTGACACTGGGGCAGCTTTGATTGTTGTACGTTAAATACCTGAGAAGAATTGTGCAATTTCCTCTTTCGAGCAACCAAATGGTAGACCACGCAATCTCACGCAACCATCGTCCATCGCGTTCTCCAAGTTAAGGCCGCTCCTCTTCACAACCCATTCCATCTCACCACGTTTGGCTTTAAACACTAGAATCAAAATCGTGTGTATAAGTTGCACAATCCAGATAAAATAAAAAGAAACTAAGAACAGAATGAGTACAATACAACAAAAAAGACTAATAGAATTATTCTTATTGCAGTATACTCATTAATATATTAACATTTAAAAATTAAAATAAAAATTGTATAGAAATTACACAATCTGGATAAAACAAAAAAAAACAATATATTTACATGTAATATACAACAAAATAAGATTAGATAGAATTCTTATTGTATTGTATTTATTGATACTTTAACGTTTAAGAGTTATCATAAAAACAGGCAAAAAGAGAAATTTTAAATATGAATTATGACTTTATATAAAGAATATAAGTAGATCTCGAATGTATACTTTATACAGGAAGAATCAGTATTAAAAATTAAGTAATATTTGTACTAATCATTGATCTAAAAAATTAACCTTCAATGTATCGGTGGCCCATATGGTCTCTGTCTCGTTTGCAAGCTTTCTCAATATCCTCTGGGGTGTCCATCTCTACATAAGCTTCACCACTGGGACGTCCCTCACGTGACATTGTCATATGTACTCCGTTTTTACCATTAGAAATGGAACAGTCGCCAAAGAACTTCATGATCTCATCCACAGTAGTGGACCATGGGAGTCCACGCATTTTAACGACATATCCTTCATCGTCGTGATCTCCACTGCCGTTCGACATAATCTTAATCTAATGCAATTTTATTGCAAAATCTGTAAGTGGAAACGCAAAATTTAGTACCGATCGACCGAATAAAAATTTTATGAGTCAGCTTCAAAACAATCTCGAATCTCGCCTCAAAAAATATCGGAAGACATTTACGTCGACATCTAAAAAAACGATTTTCTTACTTTACAAAAATATACGCCAATTGCAGAAAGAAAAGAGCGGAGGACTCGCCGATGAGAGTAAATTACTTCCTCTTAATCGGAACGATTCCAACAACCAAGGTTAAAATACTAGCTGTAAACGTTATCAGACAGACCTGTGTGCACGAACAAAGAACGGAAAGGAAAAGTGTGAGGTTAAAGAGAAAAATTAAAAGCACCCATGTGCTCGAACGCGGAGCAATCGGCCTAATGAACCACGATGATCGCATATTCGCTTTTTTCGCTTAACTCCAAATCATAAGAATATTCTATAGAAAACGCCTGTTAAAATTATCTCATGTTCTACGATAGAACAGAAAAGCGGCGGATAGCTATTCGTTGCTCAGCAGGAAATGTCCGCTTTGCGGCATGCAGCAGACAATACATTACGTGAGAATCACGTCCCATTATTCATGCTCGCGAAAAAGAAAATGTTATTACCGTCCTCAAGCATCGGGATCAATTTATTAGACGACTGAAACTTACCGAAATAGTCACAAATCACAAGAACAGATCCGCACGACTAAGCTCCTGCAGGAACAGTAAAATGGCGCGTATAGTGAGTTCAGTGCGGAGAAAAGACCGAGAGAGGTCGCACAAGCTGCTTTTCCGTGACTCTTGTATGCGCAACGCCTCTATATTCAATAGACATAAACTACGTTGCCAATATCTTGATGGATAATTTCCTCACTGGATAGTATCTACGTTTGTTTGGTTCTGTTACACTTTAATTTTAAACGTATAAGAAACGTATTGCGAATTTCAAGAGAGTACATTATTTGTGATATTAATTTGGAGGTAACATACAGATAAAATTCGATATCCTAACAGAAGTAAGAAAATTTTGCATATGTAATACGCCCAATAAAAAAAAATCATTGATAGTACATGTTATTGCAACAATATTATCAATAGCGTGCAACATATTACAATATGTAGTTTTCAACGTCGTATCAACATTATTACGTATGTATTGTTGAATAATTTTTATTGAAATAATCACTGTACATAAATTTTACGCGGTTCACAGTAAAACAATTTAATCTCGCTTTTAAGCTTCAAGATATCTGAGAAATATGTAAAAGAGATCTAAATCAAATAGGATGTCTATAAAACATCGTTTAGAGTGTGTTTACTTTGCATATCACGTTAAATTATAAAATTTGCAATCATAATAGCACATCGATGGTACTTTTACGTGAAAAATAATATAATTACTATAAATATAAATATCCTCTATAAGAAATTCATAATTTAGTCACAAAAATAATTCACTTTTTATATCACTTATAATAATGTTACCAAAATATGTGTGATCAGATATACATATGTTAGTACAATGTTATAAATTTACAAACGTGCACTTACCCTAAAAATTTTCTATGCAAGTTCTTGTAGATTATTAAACGTTCATTAAGAACGTACACATACTCATAATTAGAGCCTTTATGTGGTGTGTAACCGCAGAATTTATTCAGAGTATGATAGAAAGGCTGTATAATATCACCCAAAGCTTTAATTATGACCCTCATATTTTCTAACGAATCGCATCGCGATGTAGTAGTCAGAAGTAATGGACAATCTTGTGCTTGTATTATTTATATACATTCCGAACAGCTTTCAGTGATTGTAAATACCACAAATAAATAAATAAAAATAATAAATAAAAAAAATAAAATAATAATAATAATAATAATAATAATAATAATAATAAAACAATAAATAAAAATAAAAAATACCACAATTAAATATGGCGGTTTGTAGAATAGATTCTTGTTTACATAATCGTCGTAAAATGCGCAATAAAATTTGAATTGAAGCCTACTGGACCTGTTTGAACACAAAGCACAAACGTTAACATGTATACTAGTCTCAATGTCTTCCAAATGCTGCCCTATCATCACTACTATTAACGAAATTTTAAGAAAATGCATGAGAAGTTCCCAAGCTGGCAAATTATTCGTATCCATGAACTTTACATCAATTATATGGATGATGAAAGGCTTAGTCTTCGACGAATGATCAATCAATTGCATTTCCGTTAACCCGTAAAATATTGTTAGCGGTCCCGACGTAAAATCGGTAAAGATGAAATCATATATGAACCAAGTATCTCACTTCGGCTGGAGCACATATTGTTTCATAAACTCGATCATATCGCAAATGTATTAGTTCGATTTAGGGAAATCAATAATAAAATCCATTCTTGGGTATTCGAAAGACCCGATAATTCCCAAATCCAGAGAGAGACTCAATTCCAATTGCGAGCACAAATACTTATGCATATGTAACGCACTTTCATGAGCATTGCAATAGTTGATGTAGTGGCATTTTCTGCAGAAATTTCTCTTCTGATCAGGTCGTTTGTAGCAAATGAAACATGATTTTACGAATCAGAATATCTGTTTCTCATACAATCTCAGTTCATGATGCAGTTCCGCTTGGACTAATAATCTCGTTTTTGTATCGGTCCATTCGACTATATTTGTGCTGCAAGTGTCCCACAGTATCTTATGGCCGTTTACTTTAATTATAGCGTAGCAAAGGTTTGGTGTTGCCTCTGATGTATTCTTTTGTGTCTATTGCAGCAATAGGAAATCATACTGCACTCGCATACTTTAATAAGTTCACATGTTCCGAGTCTCCTTTTACAAACGTGACAAATGTTTGGATGGAAATACATATTATAATATTCTCGTTCAACTGGTATGTCAAACAGCTGTATAAACGTTTTATAAGGTAACTCCATAATTTCTGTATAATTATCGTTTATTTCAAGAATTGCTTCTTTCCCTCTTATATATCTAATTTTAACTGTAACACATAAAAACACGTTTACAAACAATCAAATCGTAAAGAACATTGTGATATGAAGTGTCAGTAATGTTATAATATTGAATTGTTAAGTAAATTCCGAATTCTCAAACAAAATAAAATGACTGTATATTTCCTTATAATTTCATGGCTCCTTTTATGTGTTCTTATAATTTTATGGAACAATATATACGAAAGGTGAAAGAAAATCATTAATCAAAACAGCAGATTATTTCCTAAAATTGTTTCGTAAATTATTACAAGATAAGAACGTTCTATTTTACCTAAAAAGTTCAGTATTATTTATTACACAGCTCAACATATATTGCCAACTAATTTTGATAATATTAAGATTTACATACCTCCAAACGCGATCACTTCTGATTGCTTTCTCGAATAATTATTACATCAGAGATATATGTTTTTTCAATTCGCAGACTTATATTATCTTTGCCTGTCCCTTCTTCTCTGTCTCTTTACTTATATGCGAATTTACTTTTATATATATATATATATATATATATATATATATATATATATATATGTGAATTTACTTGTGTGTGTGTGTGTGTGTGTGTGTGTGTGTGTGTGTGTGTGTGTGTGTGTGTGTGTAAATATTTACGTAGCAGAGACTATAGTCATAATATTATATATAGATGTTAGGTAAGCGCTGACACGCGATAAACTATTTTGTTTTGCTTATATTCGGAGACTTTAGACAAATGAGAAGGTTACATTGTGTAAATATATTGTTTTGTTATCATTCTATTCAAAGTATGTTCTTCTGAGACATTCTAACGGATTCTGACAGAATAGAATAAAGCCAACAGGTCTGCATTATTTATTAATTTAATATTGAGATTGCAGATTAAAATGTAATTTAATATGGAGATGACATTCAATATCTTAACGGAAGTAATAAAATTCTGCATAAACAAAAAAATTATTGATAATACGCGTTATTGCAATACTTGCGTTATTGCATTATTTAATATTCAATAGCGTGCAACATATTACAATATGTAGTTTCTAACGTATCAATACAAAATTATTATTGCGTATCTATTATTGAATAATTTTTATTAAAATAATTATTGTACATAAACTTTTTACGTGGTTCACAGTAAAACACCTTAAAACTTAATTAACAACTTATAACTTAACTTAAACAACTTAATCTCACTTTTTAGCTTTAAGACATCTGAGAGATATATAAAAGAAATTTGAATAAAATAGGACGTCTTTAAAACATCGTTTAGAAACTTTCGTTGTCCTTGCATATTATGTTAAATTGTACAATTTGTAGTCATGACAGGTACAGCATATCGATGGCTTTTACGTGAAAAATAATATAATTATTATAGATATAAAATAATATAAAAAATTCATAATTCAATCATAAAAATAACTTACTTTCTATATCATTTACAACAATGTTATCAAAATATGTATGATCAAATATATTAGTATATAATCTTATAAATTTACATAAATCTTAAAAATTTACACGTACACTCATTCTATATATTTTCCATACAAGTTCTTGTAGATCATTAAATGTTTATTAAGGACATATGCATACTCAGTGTTAAAGTCTCTATGTGGTGCGTAACTACAAAATTTATTCGCAGCCTGATGAAAAGGTTGTATATTATCATGCAAAACTATATTTATGATTTTCATATTTTCTAGCGAGTCGGATCGCGAACGATTGGTCAGAAAAAATGGACAATCTTGTACCTGTATCATTTGTATACATTCCGACCAGCTTTCAGGCATTTTAAATATCACGTCAAATCCCACAATTAAATTTGGCTTGTAGGTCGGAGTCGTGTTCACATAATTGTCGTAAAATGTGAAATGAAATTGGAATAGAAGCTTATTGGACCTGTTTTGACATAACGCACAAACATTAATATATTTATTAGTCTCAAGTAAGTTATTCAACCTGTGCCCTGTCATAATTACTATCAACGAAGTATTAAAAAGATGCATGAGAAGTTCCCAAGCTGGCAAATTATACGTGTCCATTACTTTTGCATCAATTACATGGATGATGAAAGGCTTAGTCTTCTTCGACGAATGATCCATCAATTGCATTTCCGTTATCCCATAAAATACTGTTAGAGGGTTCGTCGTATAATCGGTGAGAATGAACTCATCAATAAACCAAGTGTCTTGTCCCGGCTGGAGCGCATATTGTTTTACAAACTCGATCATGTCGCAAAGATGTTTGTACGGGTTAGGAAAATCAATAATAAAATTCATTTTTGGGTATTCGAAATTCTGGGTAATACCCAAATCCAAAGAGAGACTCAATTCCAATCGCGAGCAGAAATACTTATGCGCATGTAACGCGTTTTCATGAGCATTGCAGTAGTTGATGCAGTAGCATATTGTGCAGAAATTTCCGTTCCGTTCGGGTCGCCCGTAGCAAATGAAACATGATTTTATGAAGTAGAATATCTGTCTCTCATATAATTTCAGTTTACGTTGCAGTTTTGCTTGGACCAATTCTAATAACCTATTCTTTCTATCGATCCATTCGACTATGTTTCTGCTGCAAGTGTCCCACAGTACCTTATGGACATTTACTTCAATTATAGCGTCGCAAAGATCTTGGTGTTGCTTCTGATGTATTTCTTTGTGTTCATCGCAGCAGTAGAAAATCATACTGCACTTGCATACTTTGATAAATTTAAAAGTTCCAAGTCTCTTTTTGCAAACGTGACAAATGTTCGGATTGAATAATATATTATAACATTCTCGTTCAATTGGTTGGTCGTACGGTTTTATAAACGAATAACATGGTATCTCCATAACTTCTATATAATTGTCGTTTACTTCAGAAATTGCTTCTTTTCCTCTTATTTATCTTATTTGAATTGTAACACACCAGAATGCGTCTACAAACAGTTAAATTGTAACGAACATTATGATATGAAATGTCAGTAATGTTACAATATTGAGTTGTTAAGTAATTTCGGAATTCTCAAACAAAATAAAACGATTGTATTTTTCCTTATAATTTTATGATGTCTCCTTTTATGTTCTTATAATTTTATGGAACAATATATATGAAAGATGAAAGAAGATTATCGATAAAAATAGCAGATTGTTTCGTAAAATTGTTTCGTAGATTATTACGACATAACAACGTTCTATTTTACCTAAAAAATTCGATATTATTTATTACACAACTCAACATGTATTGTCAACTAATGTTGATAATTAAGATGTACATACCTTCAGCCGTGATGACTTCTGACTGCTTTCTCGTTATCATATATCATAAAGATTATGTCTTTTCAATTCGCAGACTTATATTACCTTCACCTTCCTCTTTCTCTTTGTCTCTCTACTTATATGTATAATCATTTATGTAGCAAAGACTATTGACATAATGTTTTAAATAGATGTTAGGTAGGCACTGACACGCAATAAACCATTTTGCTTTGCTTATATTCGAAGACTTTAGGCAGATGGGAGCGCTACATTGTGCAAATATACTGTTTTGTTTGTTATTATTCTATTCAAAATATGCTCTTCTGAGACTTTCTAACGGATTCTGACGAGATAGAATAAAGCTAGCAGATGTGTATTATTTATTAATTTAATATTGATATTGAAGATTAAAATGTTATTTAATATGGAGGCAAAAATCGATATCTTAAAGGAAGTAATAAAATTCTATATATATGTAATACGCCTAATAAACAAAGAAATCATTAATAGTTATTACAATATTCAATAGCGTACAACATATTACAATATATAGTTTCCAACGTCGTATCAACATTATTATATATTATTAATTAATTTTTTTAACGTAATCATGTATATAAATTTTATGCAGTTTACAGTAAAACAACTTAATCTTGTTTTTAAGCTTCCAGACATTTGAGAGATATGTAATAGAGGTCTAAATACAATAGGACGTCTTTGAAACTTCGTTTAGAAACTTATGTATCACGTAACTTTGCATATCACGTTAAATTGTAAAATTATTGCAATCATCACAGGTACAGTCGATGATATTTTTACGTGAAAAATAATATAATTACTACAAGTATAAATATTCTATAAAAAAACTCATAGTCTAATCATAAAAATAACTCACTCTCTATATCATTTACAACAATGTTACCAAAATATATGTAATTAGACGTATATATTAGTACAATCTTATAAATTTATACCTGCACTCACTCTATTCATTTTCCATAAGTTCTTGTAGATTATTAATTGTTTATTAAGAACATAAGTAGACCCAGTGTCAAGGTCTCTATGTGCTGCGTAACTACAGAATTTATTTGCAGTATGATAGAAAGGTTGTATAATATCATCCAAAATTCTATTTATGCTTCTCATATTTTCTACCGAATCGTATCGTGATTTAGTAGTCAGAAATAATGGACAATCTTGTGACTGTATTGCTTGTATACATTTCAACCAGCCTTCAAGGACTTCAAATTTAATTTCAAACCCCACAATTAAATTTGGCGGTTTGTAGAACCGATTCTTGTTCACATAATCGTCGTAAAATGTACGATAAAATTCGATTAGAAGCGTGTTGGATCTGCTTTTACACAACTCACAAACGTCAACATATTCACGATCACTAACTGCGTCATATTCTCTTTCCAACTTGTGCCCTATCAATACTACTACTAAAGAAGTTTTGAAAAGATGCATGACAAGTTCCCAAGCTGGCAAATTATACGTGTCTATGATCTTTGCATTAATTACGTGGATGATAAAAGGCTTAGTCTTTTTCGACGAACGATCAATCAATTGCATTTCCGTTATCCCGTAAAATACTGTTAGCGGTCCCGTCGCATAATCAGTGAACATGAACTCATGTATCAACCAAGTATCTTGCTCCGGTAGGAGCACATATTGTTTTACAAACTCGATCATGTCGCAAAGGTGTTCGTCCGAGTTAGGGAAATCAATAATAAATTGCATTCTTGGGTATTCAAGACACTCGATAGAACCCAAATCCAGAGAGAGACTTAATTCCAATTGCGAGCAATAATACTTATGCATGTGTAATGCGTTTTCATGAGCATCACAATAGTTGATGCAGTGGCATTTTCTGCAGAAATTTCCCTCCCTATCGGGTGGTCCGTAGCAAATAAAACATGATTTTACGAATAAGAATATCTCTGTCTCATAATGTGCCAATTCACGTTGTAATTCCTTTTCAACCAATCCTAATAATCTCTTCTTTGTATCGATCCATTCGACTATATTTGTACTGCAAGTGTCCCACAGCACCTTATGGCCGTTCACTTTAAGTATAGCGTTACAAAGGTCTTGGTGTCGATTTTTATGTACTCTTTTGTGTTCATCGCAGCAATAGGAAATCAAATTGCACTTGCATACTTTAATAAGTTCACATGTTCCAAGTCTTCTTTTGCAAACGTGACAAATGTTCGGATTGAAAAACATATTATAACATTCTCGTTCAACTGGTTGGTCGTACGGTTTTATAAACCAATGATATGGTAACTCCATAACTTCTGTATAATTGTCGTTTACTTCAGGAATTGCTTCTTTTCCTCTTATTTATCTTATTTGAATTGTAACACACCAGAATGCGTCTACAAACAGTTAAATCGTAACGAACATTGTGATATGAAATGTCAGTAATGTTACAATATTGAGTTGTTAAGTAATTTCGAAATTCTCAGACAAAATAAAACGATTGTATTTTTCCTTATAATTTTATGATGTCTCCTTTTATGTGTTCTTATAATTTTATGGAACAATATATACGAAAGGTGAAAGAAGATTATCAAACAAAAGAGCAGATTATTTCCTAAAATTGTTTCGTAAATTATTAAGACGTAAGGACGTTATATTTTACCTAAAAAATTCGGTATTATTTATTACACAACTCAACATATATTATCAACTAGTGTTGATAATATTAAAATATACATACCTTCAGCCGTGATGACTTCTGACTGCTTTCTCGAATAATTATTATATCAGAAATTATGTCATTTTAATTCGCAGACTTATATTATCTTTGCCTGCCTCTTTCTCTCTGTCTCTCTACTTATATGTATATATAAGCATATGTATAAGTATTTATGTAGCAGAGACTATTGTCATAATATTATATATAGATGTTAGATAAGTGCTGACACGCGTTAAACTATTTTGTTTTGCTTGTATTCGGAGATTTTAGACAAATGGGTGCGCTACATTCTGCAAATACACTGTTTTGTTTGCTATTATTCTATTCAAAGTATACTTTTCTGAAATGTTTTAACGGATTCTGGTAGAATAGGATAAAGTTAGCAGACGTGCACTATTTATTAATTTAATATTGTTATTGAAGATTAAAGTGTAATTTAATATATATATATATATATATATATATATATATATATATATATATATATATTCATAAATATATAAACATAGAGTGTCGCTCTTATGAGGGGGAGAGGAGGTCTGAAGATTCCTTAGATAATTTGAAAATAAATATCCAAATACGAAAAAATGTCAAGTTTGCAAATAAGTTTTTAAGTAAGAAGGGATTAAAGTTGACCAAATTTAATAAAATATTTAATTAAAAAGAATAATAATATGTATGTCTAAAGTGTGTTCACGTGATTCCTTTTTTATGTTATTTTGTCGAAGTATATATCGTAATGTTTTTAAGAACATATCTCTTTAATTAGCCTCTTTAATTAGCTGCGAGAGACTGACGCCTAATTAAAATGTTAAATGGACGTCTGTATAATTGCGAGGTCTCCTGCTTCGTTCCCCAATGGGTCTAGGTAAGCGCGAAAAGCGAGCAAGGCCAAAGTGAAGGCAACGCGCAGTCCGGCATTGAGTTGCACGATACTCGGAGTAACGATGATGTAATCGCTCAACTTCACCGAAGCCCACTTCTATGTTAATAAGAATAACAAGAGTGTAGCAAACGCCTTAAACGATAATACAAGTTACTTTACGTTATTTTATTTTTACTATTCGAGTTTACTGCATCTTCAATTTTGACGAAACCTTTATAGGGACAGTGAGAGCTTTTTAATAGACCTTTATGATTGAATGAAGAGCATAATTGTTTGTTTTAAAAATAGAGAACCCGTGCCTCTCGTTGAGCGTTTCGTAAAGCGTTCTTCAGTCGAAAGTTTCGACTATCGAACGATCAATCTGTACAACGGTGACTGTGAATTGAATGTTCTCTTTCGGCCTTGTCATCCTCCTGCCGCCTTCTTATTGAGTTATTTATTCTTAAAGATTCTTTATGAACAAGTCCAAGCGTCCGCGTCAAGTCGAACAATAGATTTCTCTGCTAGGCTACGTTCTCGACGTGGAGCTCGTTTCGGATGACAGTTTTATTCGCGGTAAGATTGCACCGCGTCTGCGCTCAGTCGAGCGAGCTTTTTGTAGATACCGTAATGATCGTTTTATTGAATGAGTCTTTTTGTGTACGATTAAACCGATGTAACCGATAACCACCTCTCATCGCGTACTTACACCGATGTATCTCAGGTGATTAATAAATTGCTCGATACAAAAGATGAACTCTCCGAGAAAGAAGAATTGCGAATGTTGCAGAGCGACTCAATTAGACTTTTATACGAGCAATACATGAAGATTTCAATTGTGGCTGTCGTATATTGAGGAATGAAACCAATCAATACTCAGAGTTCCACGGTTTCAGATTGCGACTTGTCTGAGGCTTACAAGCGTGGGTGAAAATTCGCGTTGCAATTTGCAAGTCGTGTGCGCGACGCGGGTAATGAGGGAATATCCGTTCGAGTTGCGATCGTCAAGTATTTTTTCACAATTTCGAGATTCGCGGTCAGCGAACCTGAAGTGAATGTCCGGCGACGAGGACGTGCGGGCGTCTTCTCGACGACAACAGCGTCGTAGAATTCACGCGCCCACGTTGCTCTATCCACATTACAGTTCCGTGTACTTTGTGTAACGACGCGGATTCTTAAGGCCGACAATTACGTCATACTACCAGATCTAGTTTCGTTCGGACGAGTAGGCGATATTCCACTTCCAAGCGTAACGGTCGCAACGCGAACTTAGTTGCATAAATTACCGCTGAAATTGCTGGATTCCCACGGGTATTCCGGCAATTTAGTCACATACGTTTCTATACAATAAAAAAAGAGAAAAAACGCAAGGGAAGGAGATAGCAAAGAATCTTATTTGCGCGGAATTCCATTACCTCGAGGAGGAATGTTTTAATATTTTCTGTTTCGTCGACATTATTCTCTGGTAAAAAATTATTCGCAATTATCACTCCACGACGATTATTATTGGCTTTAAAAATTCTTAGTGAGTTCCTACGTTTCATCAGCTATCAATTAACCCGCGACAATTCCAGCCGAGAACGCTGAGGAATCCGATAGAAAATATATCCTTGATTTTTGAATATACATTCCAAGCACGATCATCGACCGATGCTTAAAGACACATGTTTAGTAATGCTCGCAGTGTGACGCATTCGCGTAGAATAATCACGGGAGCGATCGTTACACCGTTTCTTCCCGCACTACAATTTCGCTGTCACGCGTGTACGACGCGTACGGGAAATGCTTCCGGAATTTCGCAAATCGACGAGGCGTGGTGGTATTTCAGCGTCATTTAGCCTATGCGAAATTCACAGGATGCCCGCGAGTGTGTTTTAATATTTCATTTATTTTATATAGATCCCTCTTCAGAAATGCGGTAAGATATAGCTACTAGATATTATACTTAAATTCATTTTCAATGAAACGATCCAAATAGCAGCTGAAGATAAATTTAAGACGATCTTAAATATAAAATCCAACTATAAATATCGTTCATAGTGTCTCGCTGTAAACGAGCCATTCTTTATCAATAGAGACTATGAAAGGCAACGATTAACATATTTATGAAAGTATACCAAATCAAAAGTTGAAATCGAAGCTGTGTCAGATTTATTAGTCAGCTGTTATTTAATATTGCATCTTCGATTTTTACTTAGCTGTAAATGTAAATGTAAATGTAAAAGTTAGACTGCTCGGGAATTTATGAAGACTTAAGTAGGTTGCAATCACGATTCAATCGATGCATTTTACGTTTATGTCGTTTCCACGACGGCATGTAATCACGACACGCAGTTTCTTGCCACGGGTCGCAACAGGACGAAGATAAATCTCGTTGGCACGGGCACCTCGCCCGTTATCCTGGTCTGACTCAATCGGATAAAAGCGGATAGAGTTTAGTTAAGGAAGTTGACCTCACCCACGAGTGTATTGCTCGCTTCAGCGTCTGCCAGCATCTTCCTCATAAAGTGTGTATTGGTCTAATGAGAAAACGGAGCTGAAGTTTTACAGGTTTAGTCAGTTCGCGATACTTAACAGAAAGTACATGGAAAAAAAGACTTCTCTATGAAAAGAAACACGTCGCTCTACACGAGATAATTTCTGACAAATCGCAGTCACGTAGGAATTCCCAATTGCTCCCGTCATCACCTGCATTGACGTCACTTCGATAATAACTTATAATCTGAAACTTCGTAATTGCAACGTGCAACGTATACTACATACCACGCAAAATACCACGTCTGAATTCTAGGCCGCGCCGTCCAGAAAATAAGGAGAGACCGGGCGCGCCGAATTGCTTTTCGAATCGGTTTTGTCTGTTTGTTGATTTGTCCAAGTCGTCGGTGTCCGCCACGGTGTCCGCGTTGTCAGATGACCGTAAAGGAAAATTGCGTGGGTCCGGCCTACCCTGCCGATCACGGCAAGTCAAGGGGCCTTGGCTCGCTTCACGTAGGCCGCAAGTACGATCCGGCTTCGGCTCGTCGGCTGGCTCGGGCTCGATCAGTGATTGGGCGCGATTAACCGCGGCAGGATCGCATAATCTGCATCTCCCGAAAAATTCGGAACCGGCCGATCCGCGTCTATCTCTCTCTGCCGGCGTTGAAGTCTCCGAGCCGGCAGTCAGAATGCGGAGGAGACTCGCCTCCGTCCTGCCGCTTGTGGTGAGTCCCATATTCTTCGAACGTTGAGTACGTTCTTTTTATTCCAAGTTCTGTTTCTCGTGAACGAGTGCTCTGTATAAAGTTGTCTCAGTGTGAGAATCGGAAAGACGTACTTAGCGTCAAGAATACGGCTCTTGTCGTCTTCTCCTTCGTCATTGCCGTCGTCGACGCGACTTTTAATCCTTTCTCTGTGTTGAAACGAACTTGACTAATACTGTCTTTTTTTCAATCAAATATCGACGTATCTTACGTTTTTTTAGTCGTACAACAATATGCCACACTGACTTAACCGACATTTTTTTAATGTCACTTCGCTTATCTGTCAAACCCGTCGCTCCAGTTTTTATCGTCTCTTTTATGGGAAGAGCCTGTTTTGAAAAATCTGTTTGACTTTACTGTTTTATTTTCACTTAACACATTTGACGGTTTTAGTATTTTATATTGTTCTCCGAAAATTAAAAAAGAACCTATTCTTCGAACTGCTGGAATGCGAATGCGTCTCCTCGATTTAAAAACTCATTTTCGACCTATAAAAAATATGCAATTAAGAATAATCACTTTGGAATCATGATGTTTCCTTATTTTTAACTGCGATATGTTCGATATCACTTTATTAATTATATTCCGACATGTATGTTGGACACATTTTCTTGTACAGACAAATTATTTATCTAATTACTCGAATTTAAGTTATGTGAGGCACGAATGTTTTTCAGTCATAACCGCGACGATCATCGCGTCACTTCATAAACAAGACAATTATCTTCCAAGAGCCGCGAGTACCTCGTAAAAAAGAGAAAGACTACCTGATCATTACCGCCGATTTAGGAGTGTTACTCAAATTTTACATAACGACGATGCCCGGCCCGATAAAGCGAACGAAACAAAAGACAAAACGAGGAAACGACACGCGTAGAGACGCGAGGGTGTCGACTGGCGGATACGCGCAATGTCAGACAGTATCGCTCATGTATGTCGGGATTACGAGTATATATGATTTTATCAATTTCCTGGCGTGAGGCTGCATGTGCTAGTCGTGAGAATTCGGCTTCGCGCTCTTTCGCGATGTTGCGAATCGTTGCATCGCGTGCGGCCCGTTAAACCGCTTGTCTCTGTGTGCTCCGTTGCGCGTTTCGCGCTCCGCAAGTCGCGTTTGAGCAATCCTTTTAATTGTCCAAATGCAAGGATAATGTAGCGTATCGACCGTTTACCGCATCGGTCGACCCCTTGCTTCACTTGTGACAACGTTACGTCTCTGTAAAAATTCATCTTTCGCAAACAATATACTCAACCATGGCGATTCAAGGTATAAGATACCTTTAAAAGGATTGTCTATTAATTTTTAGAAAGCGTCGATTCTCTGTAGTAGGTTCTTTGTGGTGTCCTCGTCAGGACAATCTGAACACGACCTACAAACGAAAGCTTTTATCTACGAATGCTCCTCTCCAAGCCTTTCGACCATAGCCATTTATCGCGGACACGCGATTGCGAAAGTACATGTCCGCGTATGTGAATGTTACAGCGATAATTTTTAGCCGTCACACAACGCTCCCGAAACTTCATTATCAAAAATCGACATGTGTATGCACACACACGCGCGCGCAATCGCGCACGCACACGCACGCGTCTATTCACAGTGGACGCCGTTTCTGCTCTTGGCTCGTAAAAGTGAAAGCGCCGCGTTGTAAATGCGGCAAGCGAAGGAGAAAATACGCGGCTCGCTCGAGCGTCAGATCGAAGGCGTAACGCGGGGCCGGACCGGGCTCGTCCACCATCTACTTGCGAACATGACGAAGTGATCTCGATATCGATGACCCCCCAGTGGAGCGCCTCGGAATAACTCGAAGCGGACACGCGCTTTGCTTTCTACGTTCAGAAACTCACCCGCAGATTCCAATTACGCTCGGAAAGCTCATTAACACGCCACTTTCGATCTCGAATGGAATCGATTATCTATCGCGCGACTTTTTGATTTTTGTATTATCCAGCGACTGCACGTCGAATGCTACAATTCTATCGAAGCCAGGTGTACTTGGCTTATTTATGCACCTGACTAGATAAGAAAATTAATAACGAACTTCATATATAAACAAGGCTCTTAGGTGTACAATCGAATGGGAAAAGACAGCCAGTGAGAATCAGTCGCGATTGTTGGTGCAAATATTTAAACTGTAGAAGGATAATGGATGTCTGACAGTGTTAAACGTGCGCGCTGAATATTTCTTCCGGGTTTTGGAACGTACGCGGTAAATCAACTGTCCACGTCAGACTGATGTTTTGTTCCAAATAATAATTATTATTAACAAATCCTGTTATTCCATACCCAACTATATAACTATGCACTTTACCTTTGATTTTTATTTGGTAGTATTAATTTTGAGTGTTGCAAAAAAAACTGAAATTAATTAGAAAATAAATTATTCTATTTATAACCGGATTATAACCGGATGATGAAGCTGTGTGTTCTTTTAAATTGCCTCGTCGAATAAGTTTAAGAATAGCAGCCTGTTGGCTAAAAATAGATCCGTCCGTGACTCGTCGAATGACGTTACTCTAAAATATCTGTCGGGCTGTTTGAAGAATGCACAAAGAGACCAGAAAATGTTGCTGTCAAAAAACCAGTCTCTCTCTCTCTCTCTCTCTCTTTCTCTCTCTTTCTGTCCTTTTCCCTTTCTTCAGATTGCAGTTGCTGCAAGGGAGCACGAATGGAGCACACTCCCACGCGCCTCGGACAATCGCGTGAATGATCTCGTTGCCGCTCTTGGAGCGGCTACGTTTACAAAAGTAGGAAGCGGAGGTGATAGGGTGTCGCATGGATCTCGATCGGCCGGTGATGAAAGAGAGAAACACGCTGACGCGATGACGTCCCACCCTTGGCATCCCGTTAATCCGCAGATTAAAAGCGGAATTATGCTGTCGCGACGGCTCTTATCAATCCTGTCGTATCTCCATTATGCTATTCTTTCTTCCGTCACTTCATGCGGCGCAATCCGATCGACAGGTAAAATCGCGCGCGACGGCGGATTCGCGATAAAACCACGCGATCTTTCGCTGACGTAACGATTATTTCTCTCGGCGAGATTGCGGTGTCATTGTAGATCGCACCTTCGCGTTCCGGAAACTCTTGTCGCCGAGAGTCTTCGAACTTTCCCGATGCGACGCGCGACAGGACCGGTCGCACTTGTCGTTTATGAAGTTATAAGTATGACGACACCTCGGAGGCGTCACACATCTCACGTGCGTAGCATCAGACGCAATTTTCCTCCTTGATCTCTCATCGCCATCGGCACCTACATCTTGTGGAAACGCCGGTGCCATTCACTGCGACTTTAGGAAAGCAGAGCCTCCGCCGCCGTCGCGAAACCGGATTTTGCATCGACCTTTTTCAGCCACGATAGAAATTACTTATCTAGATCTCTTGCAGTAATGTGCGTCGATATATTAATTTCACATCATAGTAGTTTTTATTTACTTCATTTAACTTCTTTTTAACTATCTCGTGCACAACGACTTCCTCGTCTCTCTGTGGGTTCTTTAAACATCTCTCTCTCTCTCTGCTAGCAAAAAAGCTCTACAGTTGTTCTTACGAAGTCCACGCTTTCTCGGCCGTCTGATATTTATTAACCGAAAAGATATGCCGCCGTCAAAAAAACAGAGCTCTTGGGACAGGGAGACTCCTAAATTTAATCCATAAATAAATGCGGATATTGTGAAAATTAGATCAAAATGTTATCAAGATTATTGAGTGATTATTACGAATGAAGTTGCCGTGAGAAAACAAGGATCTAATCCTGATATATTTAATTTTTGTTAAGTATAGCTTGACTAAAGCGTGCGTGTGTTGTGCCAATTTGGTAAAATGTTCTTCGTCTTTTGTTGCAAAACAGAGAACGCGTCTGTCATTCCCTACGCACATTATGCACGCAGAGGCGCACATTGCAACATGTGTGATTAGTCACCATTTATCAACGCGTATGCGAGCTGATGATGCTGATACTCGGAGGATGCATCGCAGCTTTTAGCGCAAATAACGAATCCTTCCGGTGACTAAAAGCGACGTCAGGTCGGCGTTTATTTCGTCGGATGATTCCCAGTAACACGAACAGCAATTACAGAACGATGATTGCTTGACCCGAAGATGACGCAAATGCGCGAGATGACATAAAGCTGCAATGTTCCTTCCGGCCACTGTCGAGGTCCTGGGAACGCCGTATCGAGAATACGAATAGTGGGAATTTGGAACTACGTAACGCAACTGAAAGCGACGCGCGACGGGGCTTTCCCTGATTTTCTCAAAGAACCTTACATAAAAAAGAAAAATGTACTCGCGACTCGGGATTGCGTAAATTTTATATCACGCGAATATAATGCATTCTAATCCATAGCCGGGACGGATTCACCGAGTATTTTCCATCGTAATTGTCCTCAACTATACGCTTGAGTTATAATCGGCGTAATTATGATGCATTATTCACACATGAGTGGACATTATCATCCTCGACAAAAAGTACGGAAGAAGAAATCGCAGCAAAACGTCAATGTCGCCGCTTTGTGTTTTTATCCGCAGCTGCGATGCGGAGTAGTCTTGTCACGTTATCAAGAGTGACACAGCCGGCTGCCCAAGCGAGCCAAATCAGAAAAATAATTTTCCGGGAGATTCTCACGTGTTCAAAATGCACCGTGATCGTACATCACGCGCGCACATAACGTCAAGGTGCGACGGCTTTTCATAATGCATCCTGATAGAAGCTCCACCTCGGGAGACCTCGATCTTTCGAGACATCGCTCGAACACATTCATAAATCTCGCGCTGTAATTTTCTCGTCATTTATAACTTCCTCGATGCGTTATACCAAGATCGCGTGCGATTTGCACTAAGTGCGATCGTATCGCCGATTGTACCGTCAATATGGGTGTAAACAGTCATCGTTCATGCGAAGCAAAACGCCGGTCTCGCGGCCAAACCCATGTGGTTTCCTCAATGACACAATGTTGACAGTTACAAGGAACGTCTCGGTAAACGAGTGTTATTCCGTGCGAGCACTTACAGAGGAAATCAAGAAACCTCGCGACGTATCCTGCATGCATTCTTCGCGAATTATCGAGCCTCTACGTTGAAAATCTCGCGTGATTTATTTATTTATTTATTAACGAATAATATTCCGTCAAGAAAACTAAGTCCTCAAGTGATATACTCGCGGAAAAAATATTTTACTCTTAATAAAATATCATTTCTCTTGGTTTACTTAAATTATTGTACTTTTTTTAATTTGTAACAAATACAAGTTAGATATAATTTGTAGCCTATTTTTGAAAATTCTCCGAAGAAAATAGTAATAGAAAATAGTAATAGAAAAGAAATCTGGATATGTTTATCAAGAAAAAAGCTAGCTCAGAGAAGAATCGCAGTCATTTCCCAGACAGAACAAAAGTTCATGATGACGTCAAAATGACAAGCAAATGACAAACGACTCTCTTTTCAATCAATTTGATCATTTTTTCGTCACTTTGACATTATCCCCATTTTTTGTTCTACTTTGGTTTAAATCACCACTGAAGAGACTAATTATCCGGCTCGTATAAAACTTGAAAATATAACTCAAGGCAAGATCGAGGTAAATCACCATTATTGCAATTAGGAAGTTATCGTTTTCGTCGAGAACAGCGACACAGTACAAGCTGATCTCCCGGCGTTCAGCCGCTAATAGCCGTCAGGAGTCGGAGGCGCCGGTAGCTTCCTCGGAACCGGCGATTATTCAACGGAAATACTCGACGGAAGAGGCTGCGTGCTTATATGGACCGCGACTCTGCCCCTTGACGTCATCGCGATTCCGTTCGCGGCATCACGTGGGGCGACATGTGACTGTTATGCGTTTCGCGGTGAGTTTAAACGGATTTCAGCAGGGCGTATATCCTCCGCGCGCGAAACGCGCGCCGTTCGAATGTGGAGTATTCGCGTGCGATGTGGTGGGCGGGCGCGGTCTCGGTCGTCGGGAAAAACGGTCTCGAGCTCCTTACGGAGGGGGATGGTCGCCAGGGAAGGAGCGTAGATCCGTCGCGCGGATCTGAAAATGCGGAGAGACACCGCCGGTTCTCAGTCACGGTATCGCGTCCTCTCGGTCCGCTTCGACGACATCGACGTCAGCCGATGGACTCGTCGACGTTGCCCTCTTCTATCTCTTCCTCCTCCTCGTCCTCCTCCTTCTCTTCTTCCTCTTCTTCCTCTTCCTCCTCCTTTTATTCTTCATCCTCTTACTCGGTAGTTCTCTTCTCTTCTCGATAGACGTCCGGTCCACGAAAGTAGTTGCCGCTCTTCCTCCCCTGCGCGAAATTCGTAAATGCCGCGGCGTCGCGCGCTTCTCACCTCCCGCGAAAATTGACTCGGTTGATTCGTCTCAGGATATACCTGTGCGAGCTCGAGCCTTCAATCGTTCGACCTAGAGAGAGAGGTTTCTCTATGCGATCGCCGCCGGAGACTGTAATGTATGTAAACGAGCGACTCTCGCTTGGGAAATAAGGGAACGTTTCGGCACGGCGACTGCTGCGGCCACCGCAGGACGACGGCAAGAGGGAAACCTGAGGAACACTCACCGCAAGGTTGCAGCGTTGTACCTCGCGGGCACCGGCGTGACCATGATTTTGCGAACCTGTCTCTGCCTCAGCCTCCTCACGGTAGGGATTTCTAACGGGTTTAAACGGACCCGCGGTTAATCTGCGAGGTAACGAGTATCCAGCTATAATTAATTTCGCGTCGATCTAAGCGGCTCCGTTATTAGCATCGAAATTGCCGACGATAACGCTCCGAAGTCAATGTCGTCGACCTTTTCGTAGGTTTACATTTTTTTTACTATGGGCATTTAATTAACCGCCACCAGTGCTGAAGTTTTACGATGGCGCCGTTCCGAGATACTCGGCTAAGCAAAACACCGGTCACGAACTGACGATTGCGCATCTCTTAAGTCATCAAGCAGCAAGTGGCAAATGAATTGGCACAACGGCGACATTGTGTAATCTCGCTATTTTCAAGATTCACGGATAAACTCTGCAAAACGACATTGACATTGGCATTGAAAATCCGCGCGTCATTCGGTTGTTCGCGATGAAATTGAGATGCGATTATCATACGAATGTAAGCTTCCTTTTGATTCGATAGATGCTGATAAAACCGAATTATGCATGTTTGTTTAAAACCTGATAAAATTTTGCATACATAATGTCCAGTGTTCGTATTAATAGCCGTTACTTGAAACTTGTCTCGAGTAGGATACTTAAATCTGATTTTAAAGTCAGATGTGAATTTTGCTTTTGAAATACAATTATAAATATGATGTCACGAATGTCGTGTGACTCAAGTGAAAGACTTTGATGTAATTTGAAATTCAGATCTGAGTATCTGACACAAATTTCAAATAAGGAATATTATGGACTTAAGATCCGTATTATAATAGAGTTGACACCTGAAATTTGTCTCATGTGAGACACTCAGATTTTTCTTCAGAGATAGATTCAAGTTTCTTCAATCGACTAATGATATATGTGACGTTCAAATCAGGACCCCTATTCTTGAAATTTTTGCGTATACGTAATTTTCATTGCGCAGCTATTTTATGGTATGATCAAACCTGAATAGTAAAACTTACGTATATGCAACTATTTTAAGAATAAAGGCCCAATAATCATTATTCAACTGAAAGTTCTCATCTAACTCGGAATTCAAATCTGAGTATCTCGCTTGAGACGAATTTCAAGTAATAACTGTTAAGATAGGTCTAAAAGTACTAACGTGTGAAAGTTAACAGAGCCACTTTGCAGACAGAAAGGTGAATATCCATATCAACAGGACGCAGCTCTTCTATTTTTTAAGTACGACCTCTCGACTCAAGTTTGCAACTCGTCTGACGTGCGAGTAGCAATTTCACATATCACAGCTTCAGCTCAAAAATGCCGAAAACTGAAAGCGTCGAAGTCTGCATTCACGAGAGAGCGGCGCGCGATACTTTGCATATATTTAACGATGACGATACGAGATCGTTCGTTCGTCCGTCTGTTCATTCGCTCGCTCACTCGCTCGTTGGCTCGCGCAATTACTTGCGAATTGGCGTAGCCGTTGATCGTTCGTCGAACGCGATTTATCACGCCCGCGTTCACGTCATCACGCGCGTGCAAAATGCACCTCACGATCAAAACTCTGACATCGGTGATTTGTGGAAGGCATTCATGAAAGTTCCGACGTCGTCATCGGGGATACGCGCTCGTGAAAGAGGCACCGGCTATTTCTACCTACTCTAGGAGAGTTCGATGCACGGGTGCGCGTACCGTGAAGATCGCGTGGATAGAAGTGTAACACACATTCTCCTTCTCTCTTTCTCTCTGCCGGTCACCGATGGTCTACAAATAAAACCATGTATTTGTTAACGGATTCGTATCGAATCAACGGCATTGATCCCACACTTGAAATTGAAACATTATTACGATCGATAAATAAATAATATTCAAGTTAGATCGAGTAGTTTTCTTACACGTATGTAGTGCGCCAAATGTCGTTTTGAATGTATTCAGTGGCTCAACTGCGAGGATAACATTTGACAATAACACAATAACACAACGTGAGAGAAACGAGAAGATTAATTACTAAACATTAATATTAATCTACTTAGGATAAATTGTTTTCGTGGGAATAAAACCACCGGAGTGACAACTACTTTCCAAAGTGGAAAACAAGGATGACTTTTTCTTTTATTTTTCATCATGGATATTAATTGGAAGACTGTGAGAAAGAGACAAAGAGAGATCTTAGATATTGATTACACTATAATTAACTTGCTGAAGACCATTTTGTATTATAATGATATCCGTTTCGCGCGTGTACCGATCTTAGATGCATCTATTCTAACTGATTCTTTGTTAATTATTAGTCATTGCGTTAAAACGTCGTAAGTTGCAGTCGACCGTAACACGTTATTATTAGCGTAGATTGAATGATCGGAAGAACACAGAAGTTTCAAGTTGAAACGCATGTCAATCTTAAGAATTTGACTCATCGGTTATGCAATCGTTAGGAATAGATAGGCGACGAGCCATTAGCATCCGAATGGGATTAGAAGCAGATGCCGATCTACACGACTCGAAAGTGTGAACGCGTTCATGAGGAAATGACGTGAAAACAATTAACAAACGTAACATACTTTGAATATCAAAACCCCGCTTCAGTATGTGTCACACTTCTAACTTTGTGCGCGATGAGTCGAGTTACGGAGTCGCGATGATGAAACCGCTCGTTCACGTTCGAGGGGAATTAGGATAGCGCGTCTCCGGCGATCCTCGTGCCGTAAACAGCGTGTCGAAGCCGCTACGCGATGAAGGTAATTAATATCGCGCGCTCCGAATGTCAATTAAGCGCTCTCGTGCGAAGGTCGCGCGATGCGCGTTCATGAAACACCGACGCTCCTCGAATACCGAGCACGACCGCAAACAAGATCGCGCATTAGTCACACGCATACCAGGCGACGCAATTTACGATTACGGGCCGTAATATTGCGATTGTATGCCGCGTGGTCGAATAGACACGAGATGCCACCAATGGTGCCGCGCCTTCGCAAATCGCAAATGTGGCACATACTTTTCAAATGCTTGACACATTTTTCTACAGATAACAATGTGCTTTGTCGATAAACAATGTTGATAATGTCGATAAAGAATGTTGTCTCTCACAAGTAAACCTACCCAACAGATACATTCCAGTTTCTTTCTAATTTGGCACAAATGTAGAAGTACTTAGGTAAAAATATTTAAGTCATATTTTTTCATTTTTTTCACTCCTTGTATTAACAAGTACAACAAAGTGCATAAGAAATAAAATTGAATACAAGATATAGTTAAATAGTTTTAACAAAATCAGCATAGCTGAGACACGAACCATTCTAAATTTCTTTAGCCGAGATTCCAACCGAAATATTTTAAATCTGTGCTAAATTAGTAAAAAATGGCTCGAATCTCAGCCAAACCGAAAAATTATTTGTATTAATAATTTTTTTTAATTTTTACATGTTTTGTTTAAACATTTTATTATTTATACAGATAATTTTATACATTTGACTTCATATTCACAATCAGCAAATCAAAAATGCCTATATCTTGTATTCAATTTTATTTCTTATGTTTTTGTTGATGATAGGAGAGAGAACATTAAAAAGCTATAAACTGTCTGTGAAACTCAAAGTAAGCCAAAATAAAAAAAATATGACCTAAATATTTTTTGTACTTCTACATTTAAGCCAAATTAGAAAGAAATCGGAGTGTAACTTTTGAGTAGGTTTACTTGTCAGTATCAGTTAAATCAGAGACAAATAAACAGATAAGCAGGTTGCCGAAATAGTCGATTTGTTTATTTGGAGAAATTTCATTGGACGTGCGCTTTTTGAGCTCGTACCATGTGATTAATGCAAAAATTCATGTTACACGTGTCGAGCTTCTTCATGCAAATATATGCAATAAATTACTCCAGAAAATGTGTCAATGCCGACTTAATTAGCCGGATCGGGAAAGTGATCGAATTAGGAGATCACATTAACGTTTTCTCTTATCTAGAGTAATTACCTGCGCAATTAGCGCTTCCTTCTCATAACCAAATTCACTGTCGGCCGCCAATGTCGCCAATCTCTCGGGCGCAGCTTAATTATAATCCCCTGATTATATCACACGATTAGAGGCACGTGGGAACCGCGGAGCGTGGGTGTTTTTAATGAGAGTGCAGACCGCGCGCGCGAGAGAGGATGACGGAGGAGAACGGCGGAAGCGAAGCGAAAGGAGCCGCGGCGCGGCTCCTGTGCAAAAGGTGAAATCACCGTGACCGACGGGATCCCAACCGACGGACAATGGACGGCGCAATGATAATTTAACGGGTTAATCGCGCAGTCTAGCCGACCTCGTGCGGAATCGCCGGCCCAAAACGCCGACTTTCCTCCGAAGATGAAAATTGAAGATTGCGCACGCAGCAGAATCCTTCCCTCCCGCGCCGTTCCTGAGAGAATCGCGCGCTATTATGCGATATGAATGAGATGAATTCATGCTACTATACTGAGTCCTTGATACATAACGTAATTTGCGTAGTCTCTCCCTCTTTCTCTTTCTCGCCCGATTGTTTATGGTCCCAGCGCACCTGAGGTCGCAATTATCCGCCGGATAACTCTTTCACTTTATGCCGCGCGGTTCGGGCGAGAATCGTCGTTCTCGCGTTCGGATATTAAATTACTTTCTCATGCCGACTCTCTGTAATGCGTATATATGCGGCCGAGAGAAAGACGGAGGATCATTTAGTCTCCAATTAAATTAACCTTTATGGGAACGGCGGGTTTTAACCTTTGGTTAAAATTGCTCTGGGCGATAATGAATAACGCGTCACGTTGCGCGTTTGCGAATAATGCGTGAGTAACTTGCCTCGCTAAAGTTCTCTCCTAAGGTGATTCTGCGTTCGTAAAATCGAATAACCCATTGATACCTTTCGCCTCCGACGCTCTGAAGCGCGATCGACTTGTCTACCTGTCGTTCCAACGTCGTTGAAGACGAGAGAAAGAGAGGTACTCCCACTTGATGGGAAATTAATAGTTGTTCGCGTGCGCTGTAATTTCGACAGAGACAGACGGAGGAAAAGCATCTTCGCGTCTCTTTCTCCTTGTTTCTGCTTGTCTTTCGTGAACAAAAACGAGCGCCGGAAAAGGAAAGGTCTCGCCTACCCCGCGATGGTACAAGAGTCGCGTATAAATTACGTCATACGAGACTCGCGTTTATCCTTTACGATCTTTCCACGTGCTCAAAAAACCGTAAGCCGACTATATCGGGCGTATGATGACGCGGAGATCTCGATCTGCTGCTCGTACTTGCAAATTCCAGCGAGTAATATGCAGAAAAAGGCATTGTACGCAATGAAATCGAGCTGATAAAACCGCCGACGAAGTATCGCTCGAGAAAGTTTCGCGTTTAATACGGACGCGACTGGAGCGTGTGGAACGCGTTTAGGTACTTTATCGTAACGCATCTTGTACGCGCGAAAATAAAGTCGCTCGCGATCCTCGAGGATACAAGCTCCGTCCGTTCGTCCGTCCGTTTCAAGGATGTCGAGCCTGATTCCTGTAATAACGATACGACCATTTTTCATGTCGAACTGCCTCGCAGCAATAACATTGTGAACCAGTTTCAAGGATACCGAAGCAATCTGCGAGTGCGAACTCTTCCCCGGCGAAGAGGTGCAGCAACGCGAGGAATATTAAGGCACATGTGTGTGATATATGTGGGGAAGGTCCAGGGTCAAGTGTATGGCGTACCTTGACTTTACATCGTGTGTCTCATAAACCAAAGTCGCGTACTCGAAGGAATTTCGAGCAGCCTGCGTCTCTTGAGAGAGAAACTTAATCCCTTCGTTCCGACGCGCACAGTATCCACGGATGCTTGTTAATTTTGCTAATTTTATCAACCCAACATGTCATCTTTGTCCTGGCAATTTGCTCACTATACGATAAAGTTAAACCGAAAATAACAGTCTCTTAGGTTCATATTAATAGTTGTTACTTGAAACTTGTTTTAGATGTGAGTTTTTTAGTGGGATAACGACTGTAAGTGTAATGTCGCATACATCATACGATTTACCTAACAAATTTAAACCTAACTCTGAAATAAAATTTGAGTATCTCACGTGAGGCAAATTCCAAAACTATTAATATATGCTTTAGTCTTTTAAATTTTATGAGCAGGGCGTTCGACAAAATCTATAAATTCAACAACGAAATTCTCATTTCCCCTTTTAGATTTCTTATTACGTTGTCATTTGAATTGGTGCTAAAGATTTGTCGTGTTTATCCAATTAAGTAGAAAATGAAATTATCCAATTTCGAGGAATTAATAATTTTATACGAATGAAGTAAACACTGAGTCGATATTTTCTCAAACATCTAACGGAGCTTCCTATCTTCCTTTGGACACCCAAACTGCTTGCGAGAATTGAATGGAAAAATGAAAAATCTTCTGCACAGCAATCTAATATCTTCCGTTTTTCCATATATAGACATTACATCTCTACTTTCTGCCGGCGCAAAATAGCCCGGCGCGTAATATCGATACGTCTGCCCTACGCACGCTCGGTCCAGCATCTCTTAATATGGACCGACGCGAGGCGGACTCGGTTGGTCTTGGCCAATCCCACGCAAAATCCGCAATAGAAGGGATAAGTATCTCTTACGTGACCACCGTGTGTGTTTGCGCGCAATGTTCCCCGCAGAGAGAGATACTACGGTGGAGGGCACTATGTTACGTTACATGGCGAGGTCGGCGATTGTCGTGTAGCGCATTGTAACATGTATCCCGGCTAAACAACGGAGCAAGAGGTGGTCCACGATCTCGCTTCGTAAATCGAACTCGTCGGACTTTCTACTTGGATCCTTCGAGGATCGCGGGAAGACACGCCTAATTATGAAGCGGTCCACGATTATCAAGAGTTTACGATGACGAGGACGGGAAAGACCGAGGCGCGGTTTCACACCTGAAAGTTCTACTTTTGCGCGAGCTTCGCTGCGTGATGCGTACATGATACTCGTGTCGTTTCGATCAACCCACCGATGCGCATAATTAACCGGGGAAGGTCGTTCGATCGCGATTGTTACGTATCTGTCGGTCGTCATTGATCAGTCTTTTCCTCGTAATCAGGAATCATGGCCTTTTGCCGCGTATACGTAACGCGTGCGAACCTTTTGCCGTGAGAAATCATTCGCAGAAAGTGTCTTTTTTATCACTGTTAAACTTGCATCTGAAAGGATCATGAATGTGATAAAAATTGTGAGGAGAATAATAACAGCCTGCGCTCGCGCAGGAATGCTCCTTCGTGAACGCGACGATTTGAATTCGTTTGCGGGGAACCGGATTTCGCGATCGACTTCCTTCAACGATCGTGAACTCTTTCTCTCTGCGAATGACGCGGTGTGCTCGCGTGAACGAGCGCAGCTCGACGAGGATGTTGGAAATCTCTGCATCTGTTATCAAATACAACGAGAGATCCGGGCGAGATGAAGCGCGTCATTTCGAGCCTGACTGGACTGCCCGAGTTGCTTAAGCTGTTTCAAGCGGAACGATCATCGTCCTCGTCGCTCGTAACGTCGTAAATGGAGTGATTACGACCGACCGACGAAGCGAAGTATGCGTTGCCGCGCCTACGACTCGTCATATCTATCGCAAAGAAAAAATAAAATAAACAAAGAACAGAGAGCACGAACCTCGTAATCCATAGAACGACTAATCTTTCGCCAGAAGAGCATCCCGCCTAGTTGACTAAGTCGTTCGTTGACACGCGTGTGCCCGCGTCACCTCGTGTCAACTTGAAATTCGCTTACTCGCCCTATGCAGAACCTTAAATGGCCCGTCGATTGCATCTGGGACGAGTTGCGAGTGACTGGATCAGCACCTCTCACTTTCTTCATGCTTGGACGACGGAGACGGGTGTCAGCTCAAATTGATAACTACACGCGTCGATGATAGTAATGAACACGCGAGACACCGAGTTCCTTTCATACAACTTCTAAGTTCGGTGAAATTCTAAGAGAGTGTATCTGTCTTTCTACCTTGGTCGTATCGAGGTACTGATGTCTGGTCACTAATAGCAGTACCTAACTTTAGATATTCTTACTTTTGTTTCTTAGTACAAATATTTTAACTTTCAACATAGAATATATGTATATATATATATATATATATATATATATATATATATATATATATATATATGTTCAAATGTGTTTCAATTCAACTAATTGACGATTGATTCGAGCAAAATCAATCGAGGAATGTTTTATTGATAGCTTATTTCGACAAATTCAGTTAAAGATTTTAAAAAGAATTAAAATAAATTTGCAAAATTCAATTGTTAATTGAACGATCTTTGATCCTTTGCGCTCGTATCGTTAGTTAAACAATCTTTAATTTGACTTGTTGAAATCAATCGTCAATTAAACGGTTTCCAATTGAATTAGTTTATACCAATCGTCAATTAAAAGCACAAAGTAACACTCACAACCCTGATGCCAAGACATTGGCATTTTTACCTTATATATGTTCGAAACGTACACAATTATAGGCTACGTGTCTCGCTCGGAGAACACCCTGTATTATTATGCTTTCAAATTGAAAGTGGACGTAGAAAGTACAATGAATTATCTTCCGCATATTATTAATTTCTAATCGATCCTATCCCGTCTTTCCGGCTGTAACGCATGTTAATCGATTCCATATTTTATTCAAAATATACGGTGAGCGAATAAAGATTTAACGACAAGCCGGAAGCAGAGAGGAGCAGGTGGAATTTTGCAACTCGAGAGAGTGGATTCATGTTGCAGGTTTCGGCGCTGTGTCTGACCGCGGACGAAATCGAGGCGCAGAGGAGCGGCTGGAACCTGAATCCCAACACGCAGTACCACATCCAGACCGACGAGGGCCCGGAGAGATTTTTTCGCTTTCAAACGGCGAATGGCCAGTACAGAAAGGAGAAAAGGCTGGCCGACGGCACGGTGATCGGCACCGAGGGCTGGCTGGACCCTCTCGGCTATTTACGATTGAAGGATTATATCGCGGATCACGAGGGATTCCGAATACTGAGGTAGTTCAAGACAGGAGACCAGGGCCCTTATTCTGAACTCTCTTCTTTAAAAGTGCTTCCAAATGTGCTCATAAGTCAATTGGAAGGTTTACAAGTCACATTTAAAGGCACTTTTATCGATGAAAGAGAGTTCAGCATAAGGACCCAGTCTCATAACGATAATTCGACACGAATTCACTGTCGGAATCGTTTCAGGTCTAAGATGGTCTACGTGGGTAAAAATCGACCCATTCAGGATGCGGTCGCGGAGACGAAGAAGGTCCCGGCGCAGACCGGAGTCTTGGCCAGGCCTAGAAGACCGCCCAACCCTTTCAGGTACAAAGCGACAGAAATCGGAAAATTAACAGAAATCGGAGAAGTATCTCAATTGCAAAATGGTATATTGCACAAAAGATAACGCGTCCTGATAAAAAAAAAATAAAAACATTCGCCATACGATAAGACTACCTATGGTAAAAGCAACTTTCTCGTGATATTACTATCATTATATTATAGGAATACATGTAAACCGTCAATCATTCCTTTATAGGCGACCGGATTCCAACGACGTCGTGCCGTTGTCTGGCAACGACATCACTTCCGGCTATTACACCCCTACGACCATTCGACCGCGACCGATTTCCGCCAACGATTACTACTCGAACCGATCGGGTTACCCCTCGTCCGGCCTGCAGAGTTTAGAGACTTATCATCGGCCGCAGGCCACGTTCTACCGCGGATCCGCCGCGACTCGACCGACTCCGATCCTCGAGGCACCCTATGAGCCTGGAGCGGTCGCGCGTCCCTCTATCAGGACCAGCTACCGATCGCCCATCTCACGCAGCGACTCGGTCGACTTGCCGCCCTACGACGGCACTTACAGCACGGCGAACGGCTTCCAGTACTACCTGAAGAGGCAATACCACGAGGAGGAGCGGCAGCCGGACGGCAACAACGTTGGATCGTTTGGCTATATCGATCCCTTCGGCATCCGTCGGGTGATTTATTACAAGACGGACCCGCACACCGGCGGCTTCGTCCACAAGAAGAACAATCGATACGTCGGCTTCGCCGCGGCTCCCTACGACCCGTCGCCACCTGACCTGTCGCAAAGACGAACCGCGAGAACCTCCCCAGCAACGAGCTCATAACGAGTTACTCAATGTTCATCGCTTCGCCACGTTGTAGCGCCGTTTTACCGCGAAGAACTCATCGTCCGATATCGCGTCGACGCCAGTTTCGCCATGCTGAACGGCCTCGGTTCGACCCGACGATCTCTCGACCGGCGAGAGGCTGTTCGTCGAGCCGTCGCCCGTCGATGTTCAACTTAAGCAATCTCTCCTTGTTGGTCGTCGATTTTCCGGCCGTCGATAGAAGCTGCGGATGTTGAAGAGAAAGAGAGAGAGAGAGAGAAGAGAGTTGAAGAGAGACCGATATTTCAAGTTCCATTTACGAGGTCCTCCGACGGGAGGAAATCTCGGTGACCGACGTTGCTTAACGTTTCTCGAAGTGCCACGACTGATTTTTTCTCATCTACGACTCCGTTGTGTCATCCGCATCAACGGTCGCCAGTATTAGCCGAGTGTGTTGCGGGAGAGTGGGAATTAATGGAATCAGGAAGTCGCTGAAGCGCAGCAGACAGAGAAGTCCTGACGACGGGAAAATCAGGAGAAGGACAACAATCTCTCTTCATCGGAAAACCCGCGTCTCGGCGACTTCCTGATTCATCGCCTTTGTCCTGTTATTATCGCGAGGAGATAATCAAATATCGCGAGAACGACGTTAGATGCCATGTTGGACTGTGTGTATGTACATAGTTTTCAGGTGGGATTTCCCTGAACAGAAGAAAAAATGGGAAAACCGCGCAGAACGCATCGGACAGTGTTCGCCGACTTTTCCAGTTGCGTCACCGATCTTTGAAGCGTGCAAGACGAGACTCTCGGCCGCCATTGTCTCGCGTGTAAGCTTCCTCTAACAGCCTACATTCCTTCTCAGAGGCTCAAAGGAAATGAGAAAGTATCTGTTTTCTCGTTCAAAGCAAATTTGCAACGAGACTTTCGCGGCACGAGTCTCGAGCAGAATTTAATTCGGACCGGCTGTTCGAGATAACAGGCGCAAGTTTCCAAGTCTGTGAGAAGCGTTCCGTTCTTCCAAATGTTCACCCCATCTCAATTCCTTCTATGGTGATTGTTTCCTTTTCCGTTTTTACCATTGGCGCACGTTGGACTACGTTCAGAGAATCCCATCTACCGAATCAAAATAGAACGGTCGGCACTTTGGCGCGAGCGGATCGGGCGTCAACCCTGCGATGCAGGATTCTTTCTCTTTGCTGGCGATGCTCCGCCGGCAAAATCTCTCGTGAACACTTCACAGATTGTGAAAATCGCGAAGTGGATTATAAATTTCTGTTCATCGCACCTCGAGATCCCGACGTAGTCAATTTTTTCGCAAAATACAGCGGTCTACACTCCACACTCGCGTCGTTGTGCATCGCGGGGTTGATTCAGCGCAAGCCGTAATAGATCCGGAGAGAATTTAACAGCTTTCTATCGCCGAATCCCGCTGACGTTAATGTAGCTGCCTCCTAGTTTCGCGAGCGCGCGTTTGTACGCTTTTTCACGTACTAATTTTCTCGCGGTCTGCCGCGCCGTAAGGTATCCGCTCGTGCCGAACGACGACGGGGCCCGCGTATTAGTATTAGTTAATCGTTAAGTTAAAACCTCGTTACAAACCGCGACAATGGTGCTGGCTGTTAAGCAAAAACGGATACGCCGTACGCTTTCCGTTCTTTTATGGCGATGAGAACCGTGCCGTTCCACTCGGTGCGCGTAGTCAATTGCGATTTTCGGATAATGGCTCCGCCCGCGAGCGACATTACTTTCCTCCGTTTACATCCGTGTAAAAGCTGGGAAATACGGAGCCACGTAGCACCGTAGGATGTCGTTTTATGCTTAACTTATTGCGTGCGTGCCCGCATGCGTGCGGCAAACGCGAATGCGTGCGATCATTCGCATGTGCAGTGTCAATCATGTGATGTGTCTAAGATAGTTTTCACGTAAGCATCTCTCGCCCTCGAGTAATAAATATCTCTGTGAACTTTGGAGAACTTTTTCTTTGAAATTTGCAACTGCACCGTGGCTTCAGAAAAATTCTGAAATTTGCGCATGTGTCAAGATTGTGTCTTATATAAGATTATTCAACAACTCGTCGAAACCGGAAGCGCTTGCGCGCGTCTGAGCCGGATCAGTTCCGAGTGTTTTACGAATATTCAATGTTTCCAATGACGTCTGATTAATTCCCGTCGTATGTAATTTCTCATATCCCAATTAGAAATTGCGAGAAAAATATTACATAGATCGCGTATCTTTATGGCTCTTGCGCAGGAAGCAAAACGAACTCAACTGGTTCTATCTAGAAAAATGCCGATTAGCTTCCTGCTGGGATATGCGTCAAGTGAAAATCCTTGACACCAGGATACCGGACGAGGCCCGGATCCAATTTGGTATTGCATAAATGAATTCTTGGTATCTCCATCTCTGTCAATGCTGATTCGCAATACGACAACGCAATCATCCTTACAAATTGATCCAAAATTTATTTCAAATATTTATTCTTGCTTTACAGGTCTACGCGTCTCTCTCATAATTATTTTGAAACAATTGCCTTATTTTGCCTTAGGTTACTCGTTACTTGCGATACGTGTTCGATTGCAAGGAAGGTATTCGGCAAGGTCACGCAGCGCAACCGCAGATCATGAACGGTGGTGTTTTGTATCGCAATATAATTGTAACGGCGGCGCATCGCGCATTTAAGAGAGCACCGGCACCCGCTTGTCCGATTATCATATTCCTCATTCAAAGTTTCACCGACCTTGACGCGCTACCTCGTGAAAAGTTTCACCGGCCTCGGAGCGTGCACTCTTTCTCTCCTCTCCGAGCATGAAGACTGACGCTCTTATAAATTTGTGTGCGCGCGCGCGTGAGTGTATGTGTGCTTGATGTGTGTGTGTGTGTACACGTGTGCTTGGGCGTGTGTGTGCGCGTGCGTATACTAACAATAAAGATGCTTCGCTCCGTCAGCGTGCGTTATTCTACATTTTCTTTAGTCGCCCCCTACGCATATGTCAATCGCGGATGCTTTTAGATCGCGCGATGATATCGGTTTATTTCGCGAAAGGTTCGCTAAAGGTCTGCATGCTAGTGTATAGGTTCATACACGCATGAGAACACGCGTTTACAGGCCCGAAGATATGCGCGAAAATAATTCGGCAGGAAGTCGATCCGTTCGTTCAATAAATACGAATTATCTGGTGTTCTGCCTGCGATTCATTAATTCTAATTACCGTTTCTGTTCTTATTTCGGAATTACGTGCGATGCTTTCGCGGATATATCTTTTTATTGTAATCTAAGGCTAGAAATTGATTGGATACGGAATAAGTGCCGAAAGAAACGGCGAATGCGAGGGATCGACATAGCCGAGACGTTAAGTGAAAGTGTTCGGAAAAACGCTAATCTTTACGAGTCTACAAAAAGCAAATTCTTCCAAGTTCTCGCGTAAGAGACACGAATGTTCAACCGCGAGGTGTAAAAATAATTACCGCATGAATGAACGTAGGAACGATCGCGAGGGGATCAGTTCGCCAACACGAGGTCACCCCCGTGACATTTTTCCAGAGCGACACAACGAGAAATGTCAGTTCCCAGCGTTCGAAGAGTGCAATTACGCGGCAGAGGTACCGATGCCGTCGAAGAAAGAGAGAGAGAGATTAATCATTAATGGTGCATACGGGAATGCCAGGATCTCACGTTGAGAAAGGATCGACGTGATCGAGGCAGTGCGGAGTGGAGGAACGGAACGAGTCGACTTACCACAGTACTTCGATGTTTCTTACTACAAATGTACATACAATGGAGAGTGTATTTGGAGCGAGGGGCTAACGTAACTTAACAACTTAATCGCTACTTCTTAATAAGTACGATACAGTGCTGCGGATATGTAATTGATAGAGCATCGACAATGCGCTCACTGCCGGTACTTTCTGTCATAGTCATCCCGCCTATCGACCTGTTGATTCAATGGCTGCTGAGTTTTTTGGGCAGCGGCGCGGGCTTCTTCCTCCTGAAACGTGAACGCGTGCAATATTCATTCCAGACCACTCTTCAGACACTGCTCTATTTTGAGGAAATTAGTTTCGGAAGATCAAACGGAGAGAAATCTTATTGGAAAAAAGAAGTAATTCTGTCGAGGAGAGTTAGTTTGGAGAAAGAAGAGACAGACAACCAAATCAGAAATGGAAAGGAACGATCTGCTAAGATTTCGGAACAATTAATTCCGGAAGATTGGAGGGAAAGAAACCTTAGTAGAAAGAAGAAATAATTCTATCAAGAAGAGTTGGTTTGGAAAGAGAAGAGACAGACAATAAAATTAGAAACGGAATGGAACAATCTAAAGGAAAAGAGGATAATTTATTTCGGAAAATTATATGTAAAATGTTTATCGGTGAAAATGCTGGTTGATAAATCATTATGAGAAACAATCGACTATACTTTCAACAGACTTTTAGCATCTTCATCTTCAACGTTATTCTTATCCTTTCGTTCGACACGTTCGACATGACCACGACACTTCTTCATTTTAATGATAACGTAAAAGTTTTAGATGCGACCGATAACTTGATGCAATGATAACATGCTAATTATCACGATCCATGTAAAAATTTTAATTGCATGCTAATCTCTCACGGATTCGTTTATGTCATGTTTTCGTGCGGCATTTACGAGATCGTCGTTTTCTACCCCGTAGAGTAAGAGCTGAAGGGAAACTGGTAGCTTGTGCCGCGCGCTTGTAATGACATGATGATTAATGAGAGTCGAAAGGAGGCTGCGCACGATAGCAGGTAGCTTGTATCTCCTTCCTCTGTTTTGCGCAAGTCATTCATAGGCGAGAGCGGGCTTTAGCCTTTGCATCGATATCGATCGCTATCACGATTTCGCAAACACGTTTGTGCTCGACGCCAGATAACTGAATGGCTTTTCGCAAAGCCTGCTTGGAAACCGTTGACCTATGCCGGCAATGGCGAAACAGAAGCCTTCCCACAAGATCGCGGACGGAGAACGTCTTCCACAAAGGTGAACACGAGTACACGTGGACGGCGATGATAAGAGGCGACGAGAAGAGCGCGTGGGGATAAACGAGGATAGGAAACCGTGAATGGATTTTAATAGCATCGTAAATTTGTCGATGTTATTATCCCATCATGTGAAGCTTGAATGAGTCTGCGAAGTAATTCTATATCTTGCAGAGATCTGTACTCCGATATTCTCTACTTCGTATCTCTCCTTTATTTTGAACATGCTTTACTTTCATATCAATGGAGAATTTATAAAGATAAAAACGAAAGTAAAACAGTTAAAATTAACTGTTAGCAGGGAAATCTTGCAAAACTCTTAACCAGGTATCCACGTTTATGACTTGATACTTAAGATATAATAAGATCGTAAAGATGAAGAACAGATGTCTTTTAAGTTTGACCTGCAATAACCAGACGATTTACACATGTCCTTATTCACTATAGATCAAACTTGTTTCGAGATTCTCACTTCCCCCTCCCCTTCCGTTGCAATTTGCAACACGCTGCAATTTTCTCTAAAGAAACGCATTAATACCAAATCGCATGTCATGGACTTTCATCGGGAGCGCGATGTGCATGGAGACAAACATAGAAAGTGTATTCGAGGACAGGTTCTTCGGATCTTGGCGATAGGACCGAAGGGGTGAGAGTTAGACGAAAGAGGAAAGGTCGCAACGTACCTCTTGCTGACGAATGCCCGCGTAGATGAGGTCGAGGCCTTTTTGGATCTCCTCGCTGACGGGTGGCGGCGTGGGAATGTGATCGCCCTGCGCGTGAAAGCCGGTCTCGTCGGCGGTGTAGTGAATGGTAATCAGCTGTCCCTCGGGACTCGTGTACGAAAAGGTGCCCTGCTGCACGATCGCCTCCGCCCGGTCTTCACCTTCGCCGATGGTCTTGATGTAACCACTCTCCTCAGCGATGATATTGTTGCCCGTTTCGTAACTGCGGGACCGACGACGTCGCCGGGGTGTTAAATAATCGATTGCGCAAACGTGACACGCCGCGGAACACCCGATCGCGTTACGTAATGCTAAAATTGCTTGAGAGCTCCGGCGAAATCCGCACGAGTTCTTTGGGACTAACGCCGACGACCGACAGGTCGCGCAACTTTGACGCTTTCAGAACCCGATTATGTGGAGAGAAGCCGCGAACGAGCGACTACATGTAGCAAGAGTTCAATACTGACAAGATTTGTTTCGCACGATTGTGAAAGTATACGTTCAAAACGATTTTTTTTCACAACAACTGCTCGACGGTTGATAGTACTCGATGATAAACACGAAGTCGACTCGATAATTTTTTTCTCGTGGACGAAAGCTTTGAATGTTTACTCGCAATTTGTCAGACGGGCCTATATTTGAAGAATCTTTCAAATTTTTTCCGACTATATACTTTGAGCGGTTTTTTTAGAAGATTTTATTCGAAGGTACCGACTCTTGTGTCGCTTGTGTAACAATGTTTGAGTATTTTCAGAACAACTGTTTTGAATTGAATTAGCAATACCTAGTTTTGTAGGTTCCGTCGTGCTCCTGCTGCTTGTTCCAGTGGAGAATCGGGATGGGCGTAGTGGATACAGGCCGCCTGTTGTCAGCTGCGTGCTGTCCGTCGTCTTGCTGATAGTTGTTGCGTCCATGATAATTCGGCTCCTGCGCCACCGCCAGGCCCAGAATTATCGCCAACACCTGAGGAATAATGGAAATATCGTTATTAAGTGCCATTACTTCGTATACATGGAAGTAATCGAGACGTGCTCCGGGAAAATTTCTTCGAGCGCGGCGCGATTGTGTCATTAGGCGGGCATGTTATATCATAAGCTTGCAGATTGCGTCAGTGGGTTCAACCCTTTCTAATGACGACGTCTCGAGACTGCGGATCACAGCGGTCCATTCGAATGACCGACGAGAGTGGACGCGGAAGAGCGAGCGGCAAGTCCCAAAGTGGATTTATTGGCTTCTCTCCGCCACGGAATATCGGCCGATGCGCTCTCAGCAGATGAGTGAAAGTGAGAAGCAAATGCCAACGCGGGTCGTTTAACTCCTGACCCGCAAACTCGCAGTCGCGGCCCGTCCCGTTTCATCCCAACCCATCTCCACCGCGTTCAGTGATATCGCGTTGCTCGTCCCGTTACGATCTACCTTCGTCGTTGCGACCTATCTGGTCCAAACTGGCCGAGAAACGTTATTCTTACGGCGAGACGAGGATCCCCCCAAATCCTGTTGCGCGTCCTGACTCTGATTTCTCCGAGTCTGAGTACACGTGTAAATATGATGGAGACAGCTTCTCGTTAATCTTCAGAAGAAAGTTTCCCATATGCGCGAGACGCATTTGAATATTCGAAAAGGCTACCCGTTGGGACTTACATTGTTCTTTGGATTGCGCAAATCTCCGGGATGATCATCCCACGCAATTCTGATTTCGTCACTCTCGGACGATGCATCTTGTGCATACAAATGAACAAATGCCTGTTGCCGCAATCGTGTCAACGACAATGGTATTGGATCCCTTAGATCCTTCGATTATTTTGCTAGAAAATATTTAGCTATTGCACCCTCAGCTCTCAATCTTTCAACTGCCCGCTTTAATCAATTCTACCCCCTCTTCCAAGTTGAAAATTGAATCAATATCATTTTATGTTAATATATCCGTAATTTTTCCTTCCAGAATCGAAGTTTTAGAAGCGTGAAGAAAATTAGCTTTAGTCCAATGTGTCGGTTCGATCAGTTGATTATTACATTGTTTTCTTTTTTTTTTTTTTAAGGCATAAGAGCAAGAACAATCAGAGAACAAACGCGCGCTGTTTCCCCAACAACAAGCCCGTGGAAGCGAAGTCGCGTCGCGCTCCGGAGGGTCCGCGGACTTACTCACCACGTACTTCATCCTGGCTCGCGAAACGTGCACCTTCGACGGGATCGACGCAAAACGTGTAACGTACGGAGAGATAGTTGCAAACGAGCGAGATCGACTGCGATCCCGGGAGAGGAAAGAAATCCCCTTTTATACTGACTCTCACTTTACCCCTACTCGAGGAGGCGATGGGCCTCGAAAGAAGCTCCGTATGCTTTATGGCGAGGAGCCTACATATCTGCCGTGGTTGTGGTGCGTGTGTGGGATCGTCCGCTTCCTTCGCGAGCGATCGTGTTGAGACCTCCCTAAGATCGCGGTGCCGAGAAGTGTCTTGCTCCGATTATCTCATCGCCCGGCACGACCTTACTCTTGGTTGAAACCCATCGCGACGTTCCGTCGATAGCTTTCTAATGAGCTCTCTTATACGCGAGATGCAATATGTCGCGCTTCATTCGATCCGCGGCGAAATCGCGGTTCCGCCGAATTAACCCGGCAAATTAATACCATCGACATCGCGCTCGTCGCATACCGGTATCGTGATACCGCAGGGCTCAGCCAAAGGATTATTCGCACTAATGAAGAAACCGTCATTCGATTAATCGTATGCGCGGAATCGTTTATAAAACATTCATCAGACCGAGGGAGAAGAAATTGCGCGTACGTAAGCTGAGAGAAAATCATTTATATGGCCGATCTCTCGTCGCGTGAGTTGCTCCACGTGTCGTTTCCAAAATGATTGATATCGGAATAGAGAGTTCCTTAATATGTCTCTTGTTCGCGTCGTGCCAGGCAATGCCTTTCGTATGTCGCTTCCGTTGATGCCGTGAGTACCAGATATCGTGTTTTGGGCCCGCGTTGATTTCGTAGTTTCGCGAATTATGAGACCAGCAAGACAATGGGCGAAGAACACATTCTAATATGCATACTTACATATGCATCAGAATGCGCGTAATAATGCCATCGCAACAGCCCACGATCAACAGCCTGGGACTGCGCTTCCGATTAGCGCAATGCGCTTGTTCTCGCGCGGCCTTCGGATCGCTCCTCCCGCGACTTTCTTTCTGCTTTTATCAAGAAGACCAAGGGGAAACGCCGTGTCGCGCGCCTTGAACAATGCAATTGCAAGCGAATCGACGTTCTCACGAGAGTGCTAAAAATTCGAGAGCGATCGGCACTCGATTCAGTTCATTTGATGCCAAAAGTACCAATGCCCGTACATGTACATTGAGAAAAAATTACTTAAACATTTATTTGTGCAATGTAAAGTTTATTTCTGTGAAATAAAGTTCGTTTTTGTGAATAAAGTTCATTTCTGTGAATAAACTTCATAACCCTTACCAGTGCAAATTTTCAAGTATTTTTTTCTCAGTGCAACTAACCCTGGACATTCTTATTGTTTTGGTCTTTTTTTTTAAACACGAATATTTAGACTTTAAATATAAAAAAAATATATACGTATATTCTATGTTGAAGATTTCGTTAAGTATTCGTATTTAAAGACTAAAACAATAAGAATGTCCAAAATTAGGTGTCTGGAAATTAATATTTTTACTTTTCCTACGATCTTTTTAACGACTGATTCTATGTTATAATTACATGTAGAACGAGTCACAGTAAACAAATTCATACAACGTTGTTTTCGAAGGTATCGAGCACTTGGATCGAACGCTCTCGACTAATCGTCGTCGTCTCGACCGGCGAGATAAAAATCAGTGAAAGCAGAAGCGTTCGAATTCGTAACGCGCATAAATTAACAAATGGAAGGAAAAGTCTACCGCTATCCTGGAAGTCCCGAGAAACGTGTGCGACATAATGTTACATATTACCCAATTCCCCGAAGAGGCTGGTCGCGCGTTACGCAATTCGTTCATTCCCTAATGAAACTGTTATGAAGATGTCTGATCGTTTATCTTGCTCAGCTGCGTGTTTGCGCGCCGAATGAAAAGCTCATAAACGCGCTCCACTCCTCTCTCGATTCTTTGCTCCATCCTCGGTCGGTCGCATCTGCCGGCTGAAGGAAGGCGTGTGAGGAAGGCAACCCCCCCGAGATCATTGCGCAAACGAATAGATATGCTAACTACTTTCACGTAGCCCCGTCACGAGGAGCCGTTGACTTCCGACGCTACGTAAAATTCGCATTCTTACGCCCAGAGCCTGAGTCCCGGGTGTTACATACTGAAGTATCGAACTCGCCGGCGGCTTACGAGGCGGTTTTCGCACGAGAAGTGACTTCTTCTTGCCGCTCGCGGAAGAAACCGCCGCGATCGGATAACCCGATCATCGATTACTGCAGAATGTCAGCAGTGACGTAAACGTTATGCCGCACATGATACTTAAATTCGCGCGGAAGCGGGATGAGGAGCGCGAGAATCGCGCGTGATAATCGATCGGCCGATTGTGACTGCGAGCAGTACAATCGCATCGTGCGAGCGTCATATGGTCGTTACATTGTTACATCGTTACGTTAGTTGGGATCATCGTTACATTGTTACGAAGGATGCATTGACGCGCCGTCTCGCGCCGTGTGTTATTATTATTTCTTTATTACGCGACGCGCGCCGGTCATGTGAAAAATCAAGTTTCACATCGCGATTCGTCGCATGTGATCGCGATAATCGTAATAATGCGATTGCGAAATCGCGCCAGTCTTACGTGAGATATTAATGCATCATTGAAAAGTCGCGGCCGCGAAAGGGTATTTTATTATCAGGACAAGATACATTACGGACATCACAGACACTTCCACGTGTGCGCACTCGGACGATGGGACTCGCAAAACACGTACGTCATGAAAATAAATAATAATATATAGATGTGTGTGTGTCTCTTCTGTATTATCTTCTTCTTCTTCTTATCTCACTTATCCACTTGTACCTTCTTATTTCTACTTACGACACGGGACAAGCTTGTGATGAGGACACTAAAATGTATTCATCGATTATAATTCACCGTCAAAAGTAACGAAGAGAGTAGATGAATTTTGTGTGAAATTACTTTCACAAGTGTTCGCAGGAGGACACGCGACGGGACAAAAGGGGACGAGTGTTCCTGGTGGGATATAGCTGGCGAAAAGGAAAGTGTGTAATGTAAATCTTGGGATTGCCAACACTGAAGAGACAATTCGATTAAGAGCAGCAAACGAACCTCAAATTGTACGTGGTGTTATTTTCCATGGAATCCACAGGTGGGTAATAGGAAGATACAGCCCATGGTTTCTCGACTCGATCAGCCTCCACAGGCTGGTAACTCAATTGCATCGTGGTCTCAGATTCCATCGGGATGTCCGACTGCTGGTACTTACGTATGGGCGCATACGATTTATGAGACGTCAGAGACTTGTAGTCGTTGGGTATGTAAGACAATCGATGAGTCGTGCAACCTACAATGATCATACGTGTGAAACGAATAATCTTGTTCAGTGGCTAAACAAGTAGTTTGTTCGATGTTACAAGAGTAATTGTATTATTTATTCCCAACGTTTCGTGAACACTTCGATTCACTTTCTTAGGAGCAACTCTAAATTGCTCCTCTCTTCAAACAAGTGAATTGAAATGTTCACGAAACGACTGAAACCAATCTTCGAAGGACGCGACGCCAATTCAGAAGCCAATCCGAGCAGTTCTCCATATCGCGCGGAAGCTTGCAATATCAAATAATTTTATCATTTTATCTTCATTTCGTTGTATTTGCATAAATTACAGACAGGCATAAGCAGTTTCATTGTGTACAGATTGCTTTTGTCTTTGATGAAGAAACGACAACGATTGTAAGGTGTGATAAGTGTGAATGGACGTATCGTAGGTTTTGCCAATTTATTGTAATAATTACTTCACGACTATGCACTTACTTTCCAACGGCAAGGACGAGAAGACGAGGTTGTTCTCAGGTCGGAACTGCATCGACGGCACCGTACGCTTCCAGGTGTAATCATGCTTTTGCGTAGTCACATCCTGCATCGGACCACTACCCAGCATTTCTCTACTGCAGGGGATGATGGGCGACTCCGGCTTAACGCACCAGTTTCCTAAGAAACTTAGCTGCAACAGAAGCGAAGTTGATTGCTGCAATCGTAAAGCAACTTGAGATATTGGTCCTTCGACAAATTATATGCACAGCATATAGCGACTCGTAAAATGTTATAAAAAATTTCATGATTAAGCGGCGATTGTCTCAGGCATGATCCGCGATGTCGAAAGGAACGGAGCCGACCGACGATATCTCGTCAGTCTCTACGAGAATATTCATTGTTGTCGTTTCGCTACGACGGCATTAGCGTCGAATCAATCTGCGAGTTGCGACGCAACGGTCGCGTTAGGCAATTCGAGAAAATTATCTTGTAACCATTGCGGAATACGCCGATTGAGCCGAATTAGCGTGTCATCCTAAGATCGGGTTGCACTGAGGAGGTGATGCGATTCCGCGTCTACTTACTCGATTCACGGTGTCATGAGAGAACGGACACGGCGAGAAGACCATATTACTCGTCTGGCGAATGGGATCCGGCGGCTTGTCATCGCCACACCCGAAATAGCTGAGTCGGTACGTGGTATTATCGTCGAAGCAGCAGCTGGCATTCAGCACGTTCTCGTTGTCCTGCGTACGGATGGGCTCGCGACGCTTCTCGCAGTGCGGCCAGTAGCTCAGTTTGTAAGTCGTGCAGCCCTCCAACGGTGTCACCGGTCGACAGTACTCGGCCTTCTGATTCCATGGCTGTTCTTCCTGAAGGAAAATATTACATAAATATGTACTGATAACACAAATTTACAAGTTCCAACAAACAGAATTTATTAAATTGTATTAATAAAGCCGCTAATATATGATTCTGGACGAGGAGAATAGAAAATATTGATGTGAAAATGTTGTTGAAGAGAAAGAGAGAGAGAGAGAGAGAGAGAGAGAGAGAGAGAGAGAGAGAATGCGAAATTACTTAAAATACTCATAAATTATAATAAACTCTTAGAAATGGACTGATTTTTTTCAGTCAACGCTTGAGATTCACCTTAACGGGAGTCTCGTTTGGCCAATAGCTGAGTCTGTAAGTCGTACAACCTTCCATTGGCACATCCGACTTGACGTACTTTCTGATAGGTGCAAAGGACATCGTCGGAAGCATGCAGGAGGAATTGAAGTAGCTCAAGCGATACGTCGTGTCATCTGTTTTTCGATATTTTATTAATAGTTCAAGTCTATATAGTGTAGTAAGTCTTTTTTAGCCTTATGCTCTAAGATCTATATTTTCTGGCAAGAAGCGTTTCCCGCGCTGCTCTAACAGTTGGTATCTGGCCAATACGCTTAAAGCTTAGGGATTATGACTTCAGGTAGCAGTGGAAAATGTTTGTAGCCGAAAATTGTTACAGTTTTTTAGGTTTAGAGCATAAGACTTCTTATGCTTATTGTAGACTTATTGTAGACTTATTCGACTTATTGTAATATGTCAATTAAACGGTAAATTGAATTTTACCTATCACAAATTACCACGTAAAGTTTGATTTCTTCTACCTAGATGTGTATTATTAATAAATTATAATATACGTGAGATGAAAAAGAGAGAAAAAATTGGATATTGAATTGGATATTTGTCTGATCATGACAGATACCGCATAAAGCAGCACATGGCGGATATAAATTGTTTTGCGCCTTTAAGGGTTTCGCTCGGTCCACGCACTTCCAAGGGTAATCGTGCTTGTGCGTCGTAACATCCTGCATCGGGCCTCTACCAAGCCAATCTTTCTCGCAAGGTATCATCGGCGGCTCCATTTTCACACACCAATTGCCAAGATAGCTCATCTGCAAGGGTCATCGAATTGTCACAGGCGGAAAACTGATGGAAAACGTGGCTAACATACTTTGTGAGTCGTCTCGTCGCACATTGCCGCGTCGCCGCATGTCAGATTGTCTTCGGGACGGATAGGATCAACTATAGTGCTGGGTCCTTCCCAATAGGAGAGACGATACGTCGTGTCCTTGTCCATCGGTACGTCCGATTTCCAGTAATACTGAAACACGATAAATTAGTTAGGAAAAGTGTAATTTTCGAAGATTATTTTTTCCTATAGGTCGCATGTTAAGTATTAATTATTAGTAATCAGGAAAAGACTGTATTAAAAATATCATGATTCCCGTTGAATTTAGAATTACTCTTGAAGTTACTTACGCGAATGGGCGCGAAGGATTTCGGCATCTCTGGTTGGACATATTTCTGCAAAAATAGAATTCACTTTCTCACTTTTACGAGCAAGTAGAATTAATTAAAATAATCGTATGAATATTAGGACGCGCCACTCACGTAACACGTGGGCTGCGGCGTACAACAACAGCAACAGTTGCAACACTCATCGTGACCGAGCTAAAGAACAATTATATTTCAGGAGAAACATGAAATCGAGTATAGAAAAAGGAATACTTAAAATTTCAGATACTACATCGTCGTAATAATGTTTTCCTTTATCCTAACGTCGAAGCTCACCCGAATTTTATTTTTGACCTCGATAATCGACAACGGTGGCTTTTCCAGCAAAATTCTACGGTAATAATGTCAGTTAGTGTTTGTCAAAACGGCACATATAGATTTGAATAAAGTGTATGTTATCTTGAAAAAGTTCGAATCTTGAAAAAATCCGAGTTACTGCAATATCGGCTCACGGGTCAGGTGGACAGATCTCCATAATTTTTGGAAGGAACAGTAATTAATATCGATATCCAAAATTTGTAAATCACAAAGGTACCGCGAAACAATTTAGTCAGGCCGTCATAATGTTTGACTGTTTTAGCGATTAGTAAAAAAATATGTGAAGCTGTGTACCATGTGACGTTATTCGCTATCGCCTCGAGATGTCGATGAAGATTTTAATCTGCGAAAAACTGACAAATTCATTTTATTGAAAGACGCATTAATGTTATCGGTATGTACTCGGTGATCAAATTAACATGTGATATTCAGGTTTACTCGTAGTACAAGATTTAAAAGATGTCCCAAAGACATCCAGAGGATTGCTAAATGTCCACATAAGTCCTCAGAATATCCTAAAAATATTCCGAAGACTTTTAAATGTTCACACGTCCCTAAGTCCCTAAGATATCCCTTCAAAATCTTGTGCTTTGAGGGTAGGTATTAAACACTTAAATAATTCTTACGTTCCTTTTGGAGAAATGCAGCGAGGTAAAAAAGCTCATTCGGACTTTATTATTCACTCGGAGCGCACTTCGAGTGCGCATACAACGCAAGCTCACATGAGTCGTGTAAAAAATCGAAAATACACATAATTACGCATTACATTAATTAGGATTAGCAAGAGACGTGTAATTCGCTACAAAACGCACGGTGGCTGCGAGTGCGCGCGACTAAACCGTAGCGTTCTGTAGCGTGCTTCGATAATTTAATTTACGATTGAATATATCGCTATCTATCATATAGATTACGCTATGTACTGAGCGGAGAAAATCGTTAGTTCCCTTCGACTTAAATCAAAAGTCTCGGCGATGACTTCGAGCAAGTGTCCAAGCATCAGTTACACGCATCGATACACGCTACGGAGGAAGCATCTATTTTCTTTTTCTCGACGAAACAACGTAAGGAGAAGAGGAGCGTCTGTCGCGAGACGCAATCAAACGGATTTATGTTAGCGTAAGCCCAAATCGTTGCGCTATTTCCGGCGAATGAGTAGTCGCGACGGCAAGCAGCAACGGTATGTCGGCTGCATCGAGATCGAGAGCGTTGGTCAGGCTGTTCACGTTGGCGTCGCACTCTTGCACAGACATCATCATCTCCGCCAAAGCCTCGCTCCTCAACCACAGTTCCCTCAGTTTGGCTTCCAAGATTGCTATGCACTAAAACATCGGTCTGAAGGTTTGAAACGAGAACTCGCTCCGAAGATATTATCTTCGGAGAGAAAGGAAGAGAGGAATTAAAGAAATTAAAATTCAGATTTGAAATGCGAGATCTTCGCGCTACGGAGAAATAGGCTGCGCGCTTGTGTAAAACTAAGGTTGCCGAAGAAAAGACTCACGTAGGTAGGAGAGTGGTACTTTCGCCACATGTAGGCGAAGGATTCCAACATATTCGACACTAGACGCGACATGCCCACCGGCAAGGGCGGATTTTGCCAAGGCGCGTTGTTCGATAAGATGCCGACGTGCCATGTATCTAGGTCGGCTAGCACACATAGCGCTTCAGCAACTGGCTGATCGATCGTCGGGAATCGAGCGCTGGCCGCGACTTCCTCGCGCATACACGACCACCAGTCCTCCTTCAACTCGGTCTCGCCATTGTCTCTCTCGTCTTCCGAGATCTTCTTTTTTCTTCTCTTCTTCTTCTTAATCACACCTTGCAGCACCAAGCCCCATGTATAGCCCGTGTCTAAGACGTTCGTCTCATCATTTGTTATCCTATTCCGCAGAAGAGTTCTCGTGAAACCCATCTCTTCAGCCAAGCCAGTTTTGCTCGGCAAGACCTTCCTCGATCTGCAACGATTATCATCAGCGGACTACTCTTACTCCAAGTAGAACAAAACAGAACATTTTGATGGGATAATAAGAAACTGAAATAAAAGAACAGTCCGCAATATGAAAGTCTGAAAGATTTAGCCATTTCGACTTTTCCTCGTTTTATTTCAATCCTACAATTCCCTTAAACATCCATAAACAAATTTTAATAAATCTTGTATTGATAACACACGATTTTTTCTTTTTTTAACTGCAAGTTAAAAACAAAGTTTCCCGAGCTTCAAATCTTTAATGGAATTACAGATAATGACTCTAATGTAGAAATCTACTCGCTAACCTCGGCATTGGCAGTTCCACGACGCTGTTGGCTTCCATCAGAGCTTCCAGGCTGTTGGATCGCGACATTCTTACGGTTCTGTCACCTACGGAGTTGCCGCACGTGCGCAACACTTCCGTTGCGTTCGTCGGCGTCTCTAGAACTTGCTTGTTACCGTCATAATCCTGAGTGGCGGCATACCCTTGACCATTGCACCTCAAACAGAAACCTATAGACCTTGCACCCATACCGGACGCCGCACCAGGCGGCGGCTGTATGCTCTTGGACGACTCCGGGAAGTTTCGCTGGATGATCTTTCGCAACACGCCTTCCGGGAGCTGTGCCGACGTGCTCGGCACTCTCGTAAACGTGTACGAGCATTGACAACTGTTACCGAGCCATGGTCTCGACGGTAACGTCTTTGCGAACTTGTCTTCGCCGCCGAGTGTGAAGAAAACCTGCGGCGAGGATTCCTTACTTTCATCGGCAAATCCGCTTTCCGCGTTGAGCGGATATTCGGGTCGGTTGAAGTACATCTTCAGCGGGTCTACGTAGTTGCTGAACTGATACGGTTCGGTTTTGCCGGTCGCGAGACTTTCTTCAGTATCGGCGTGTGAGTCTAGCTTCTTCTCGAAGCTCTGCAACGGACATTGCGGATAATCTCGCTGATACTCCTTCGCCACAGAATCCTCTTGCGAGTCTCCGATCTCGCTGACGATTATCTTCACCTTGCTGGACGCGAGACTCGCGTCCTTGTCCTTGGTCAGTGGATTGTTCAACAATGATTCGTACTTGTTGTCGTCATGAGGCTCGCGCGACGCGGTCGTCTGCTTCGTTGGAAACTTGAAGTCTGAAACCTCGATCGTCTCGATCGATTTTGTCATCAGCGTGTCAAGGTCGGATTTCATGGTGCCGCTACGCTTCAGGGGACTAGCGGGCCCGGAGATCCTTGGCCGTTCCGCAGGATACCGCGCGGTGATACATCGAGGCGCGTTAACATCGCCGGTTCCCGTATCAGACGATCGTATCGTCGGTTTGCGCGATGGCAAAACGCGCGACTCGCCACCTCGTCGAAGACCCGACGTGTCTCGTTCGTTGAACGCGCAAGTTGACCTCCTGTTGCTAAACAGGTATGGACGTTTGCTACGAGCTTGCTCCAACAGGCTAGTTGCCTCTTGAAGATCTCGTTGTGACGAGCAACGGTATTCCCGACGTTTCCGTATCACACCGCTGCGAATAAAGTACGACAGAAACGATAAGACGGAGTTGATCAGTTCGCCCTTTCGGGGATCGCCTGCGATCACGGTGTGCGCCACTTTCACAGGGTTACCTAACGCGCCGTACAAGTCGCCCAGCTGTACCCATAGCGGATTGCAAGAGTACCAGCTGCCCAGTTTTTCTATCTGAAGAAGAAATGAAATCTCAAAGAAGTTTTGTTTAGTGAGATTTGAGAGAGACGGTACGCGGGAAGGAGACTGAATCGCGCAATTAGCAAAAATATTAATGAATTAATATTTTTATGCACAGAGAAAAAAGATTGTACTATATATAGATTATATAATAATCATAGCTGATTGATTTTTATAGAGTCTCAGTTTTGCTGTGGCTTTGTTATTTCGCGAGCTTACCATTTGACGATCGCGCGGAGACAGCACGGTGTAGACCCAACCGAGATGGTATGTTAACACGGCGGTCACCACGGTGCTCAGGAAGCTGAAATGCACTGAGATCAATACTGGAACGTTCGGGCGGTCCATGGCGTATTCGCGTACACTCACAAATTCGTCGACTTCGTGTCGAGCTCGTCGAATAACTCACACATCTGTTGCAAACTGCGATGCAAGGTGTCAGTGTTCACCTTCATTGTCACAGAGTGCAGCAGAACGTCGTGCCAGAGCAGAGGAGCGCACGAACCCATGTCGATCCGGACGTTGAGAAGCGCGTGCAGCAGTGAGACGACAAATCGCGACGTCGCCCTGTATATCCTGTCGGCCAGCTGTATCCCCTTACAACCGTGGACGTTGCCGGTCTCGATGCAAAAATAGCGCAAACGATCCAGCATCCCCTCTAAGAGGGCCATGTGTTCCAAAAGCCGCGTCTCTATCTTGCTGTTAATTACGTGGATTTCTCGCTCACAACATTATCTCTCTTTCTTATCAACTTTCTACAAGCTGAGACAAGAATACATTTCTCGTTTTGACGATTATTTCACACACATTCTACCGGGTTCTACATACATTTTTTTTCACAAGTAGCTAGAATACACGTGTAACAAGCGAGTAATCTTGATCTTTTAATTATTCTTGCTTATGTAGAATTATATATATCCTGCTTTTTTGTAAGCAGCAAAATACTGATTTTTCCTGAAGTGCATATACTTTGCGAAATCTTCTTTTCTGTTTCGATAAGATTCACGAACACTCACATACCTCTCGTGGCCTTGAGCCAAGCGCACCAAAATCGCCAAACCCAGTCTGGTCTTGTGACGTTTCGCGTGTCCATCACGCCCGTCGCTTCCATTTTCATTCCAGTGCTGCATCCCGAAAGCATCATCAGAGTCTGATCGTCCGAGGGAGGTTGAGATCGCCCTAAGCCATCGTCTTCGTAAACTGGACAGACTACCGACTCCAGACGATCCGTTGCTCTCCAACGACTGTGAACCTGGGATCAGCATCGCATTACGACATGAACCACGCGTTATACCCTACTTGACCCTTTATCAATGAATCGCTGTAACGCGATTGACTTAAACTTACTACCCGTCGGTAGAGCCACGTCTATGTCCCAACCGCTGCCAAGACTCGAACATGTTGAGCTCTTTCGCGTTGTGTGTAGGTCGTTGCCAGACAAATTGCCGGAGCTCGGTCGGGACACTGCAATGGGAACTTGATCAAAGTTTATTCGAATATTATCTGCCATAACTCTTTCAACTCTGAGTCCTTATTGCATTGATTTTCCTCTTCTGGCGTGTCTAGAGGCACGGTGAAAAGTAATTTGCGTAATCGATGGTAAACATCACCGAAGTATTGCCAGAGGGAAGAACGTTTCTCCATAAAAAGATCAGTTCCAGTCGCAAAATGCATTTAATCGAACAGCTGGAGGGCTTAGTCTTTATTTCTGTCTCAAGCCACTCGTAATTGAAGCGATCGCGGTCGCATATTGATTTACTTACAAAAAGATCGCGTGCTGGCGTTGCTGGAAGCGGAATCTACGCGCACAGAGCGACCCAATCCTTCGTCAGACACCCTCTCGCTACGGGATAATTGAATCAAAGACGATCGAGGGAAGATGTTGAAAGACGGTGGAATTTTCCGCGATAGAAACAACAGTCGGAAGCGGCTTACCTCGGCTTGCACGCGCCGTGCTCCGTTGCCGAAAAGATCTTCGCGCACATGATGCACGGTGGGGAATTCATTGAGTGAACCTTCGGAAGAGAAAAAGATAATTGATGTACGGTTGAGAGGTAATCGTCTCGAGAAAATCAAGCTACCTTGAAAGACGATCCTCTGTACGTCATCGCCACGGTGCCAAACACCATCTCGCTCAGCAAGCTCACATCATCTTCGGCCGTCTTCTCAGGCTGAAACATTTCGACAATGTATTTTGTAGATATTGAAGATTCACAGTTTGAAAATGCGAGTTCTTAAAATAAACGTTCTTGAAAACGTCGTCTTGCATAATCGGTTCACAGTCGGCAGATGACTAATTGGGAAGAGTCACGCATGTATCGCTGATTGTACTGAAGAGCTTCTCACTGTTATTAGCTTCGGAAACTGTACCAAATGTTAACCGGATTGTATTGTAGCTCCGCAATTAGGCCACTCGACTGCCGCTGACACGTGAAACCACAATGATTACCTCGAAGTCGCGGGTAGTAGTCCCTATGTTGAAGGGCGCCTCGCACTTTCCCTCCGCATTGTTGCTCGCCGCGGCGCGCACAATTTCGCTCTTACTTCGCTGTTTCTGCAATGTCATCGAATCGAACAGCAGCTTCCTGCCGCGCCATTCGCATTCTCGAAATAACAGAATTCGCACTTGATCTGCTCCGAGACGCAGCATATAATCTCTAAAAAAATACATACATATATACATAACATCGATTATGGAGTAATAACTTGGAGTACTTTTATTTATTCTTTTCATTTACATGTCGACGCAATACTTCTAATAAGTATGCAAATTTGACATATTATTGTGTCTGTATGAAATTTTAATGGCATATTTGCATTTCATATAAATTTTATATACAAATATAAACATGCAAGAGAATATATATATATATAGTATATATGAGTATATATTTGCAACTGAGTTGCAAAACGCTTTGGATGCAATGAAGTTCACCAAATTATTAAAATTAAAAATCATTACTGATGCACTTAGGCAATAATAATAATAATAATAATAAATACTAAATAATAATAAATAAAAATAACAACAGTAATAATAATTAATAATATAATTACTGTGGCCAAGTTCGTCACACAGTAATGATTCTCAATTTTGATAATTTGGTGAGTTTCCAACGACATTGCGTCTAAACTGTTTTGCAATCCTACTGTATATACATAAACATATATTTCTATATACAAGTACATATATAAATTTTTTTATTGCATAAAAATTAAAAAAATCCTATGAACTCTAAACATACTTTTTATCTATAATTTATTTTATTACCAAGTTGTTACTCTTATTATTCGCAGCAGCGATTGTCCCTTATCTCTATAGTATTAAACAGCAGCTTGCAAAATGAGATTAAGGGACGAGCGAGGAGTTTGGTAATTAGGAACACTTTAATAATTTAATTTAATTAGACTGTATAAGAAAATCCGATAAAGCCGCTGTTGTATCTCCCTCGACCGAGAGTGCGTAGAGGCGCGTGGATGGCGCGCTGCGCAACCTCAGCAATGCTGCGTTGGTAAAACAGCTGCGATCGATCGTGACGGCCACCGACGTGAGGACGGTGCCAAGAAATTACATCCGAGTAGGTTAGGAGTCAGCCGAGGCTCCGTTCTTTGCCGGATAATTTTGAGTTTTCGAGCCGCTCTCCGGTAATTTTTCACACTCCGCAATTGTCAATTTTATAGTGAGCGTTCAAACGGCGCGAAAGAGACGCGTCTTGTGCTCCGCGTTGTTTTTTTTCTCCTCCAAAACTTAGCCTATCCTCCTTCCTAGTGTTAAATAATGAGGTACACAAAATACAAAAGTCGCGAACACGAGGAAATAATGTCGTGGAGAAGACGAGAACCATTCTAGAGTGTCTGTGGACAGTGGCGATAAGAAGAAGCGAACGCGCTCCGGAACGAAGCAGCGTTGATCGCGTTCCTCTCTTTCTCACTCTGTCTCTCTCTCTCTCTCTCTCTCTCTCACCCGTCATTCTCAGCTGATGTTCGCGCACTGGACCGCACCAAGCTCTCGGCACCGTCGCGTGCACTTTTCCTCGTGGGTAGCAGTTTATCGAGCAACGGCATCATAAAGCCACGGCCGTCGACTATAGCTGCCGCATCGCCGCACGCCGGACTTGTATCTCTCGCGGTCTATCATGTCACGGGGAACTGCACCATACATGTTCTCGCGAGTGTAAGTCAACTGTAAATAAAGTCACGTGCGGAGGAGTCATATGATTGCCCGAGATAATAGCTCGGTCACAGTCGCTCTCCGGTTGACACACGGTCGAGGCCGCTTTTAGGCCCGCAGTGTTACTCGTCGATCAAGACGACGACGCGATACCGGGCGCCTCTCAGGTCGCGCCCGGTGTCAAACTCGTCGGGATTTTCCTCGACACTTGTCACGTGTGCGATTTTCCTGTGTGCGATCGCATGGAAAATTACGAATCTCTCGTGGGAAATCAGCGAGTACCGACTGAAGGTCTCTCCTCTGGATCATCGCGGGGGAATCATCGGCGGTAGATCTCCGTAAGATGGAGACACCCGTTACAGCGGTGCGCAAAGTTAGCGGTCTCTTTGACATTCCTCGTCGGTGTGTTCCATGCGTGCGTGTAAGGGTCAATGGTACCAGCAGTATTAGCTATTTTCGACTATGACGTCAGGGACGAGGAAATCCGCGGGAATCGCGTTCGTTGCGTCCACGATCGCGTGAATGATTTTTTTCAGCTTTTGATCCAACGACAAACGCGAATAATCGCCAGACGAATAAATAGTAAAAAAAAAAAAAAACAAACGAACAAATATCAGCACGAATTAACGCAAAATTAAACATGCACTCATGGAAATTATTTAGTCGCGTCGCAAAATGCGTATTGTTGTACCGGCGCCGCTTTTATATTTGCATTCGCATGCCGTCGGATTGATTGCGTTAATCGTCGTAAACATTTACATTTTACAATAGTTGAGCCGCGACTACTGATTATACATTGTGATGAAATGATCGATCGCGCGCACACAGACGGTAACACTGCCGTGTCGCTTTTATCCTAATAATTTCCCGCGGAGCTTATGACGTCGAGAAATGTCATGACGGGCGACATCAAATCAATATGCATATCAAATAACACGTGAAATATGTACGCTCGGGAGATACGCTCGAAATTACGTTTCGCATATGAATTTCAATTGATTCGCCTCGTCGTTCACGCCACGTCGGAGCGGCATGTCGTCGTCGATGTTTCTGCACATTTTATCGGCCAGCACGAGGCGATGAATGTACTCGACATCCTCGACGCTCGTGCGAGACTCCGCGAAGGCCTTCCTAATGTGGTTCTTGTTGGACAACGGCAGATAAACCGGGAACTCGATGTTGAATCGCAGAATCAGGTCGCCCCTCTGTTGCGGATTCACAAGAATCGGCATACCCTCGCCTCGAACGCGCTTTGTGTAATCTGGCCTGCGAAGTGCGGAAGATCTCTCAGTGGGAATTCAAATGACGCGCGCATAAAATTGTTAGTTTAAGTCAGGTTTGTGCTGTAGATTGTAGAATTATTTCCACGCGGATTGTTTACGTATTTTCTACGTAATGTATGCACGATCGCTTTCCATGCAATGGAAATTACGTGGAATATTGCAAATTATATTAAAATATATAAATTAAATATTGAAATATACAAAAGAGATAGTGATTAAATTATGAGATAATTAACGTATCTGTTTTGGGTTTTAATTAGAATCTGTTTTAATTAGAATGTGACGCTTAAAAGAGAATAAATTTCATGAATTTTTCATTTTATGAGTTTGGTAGATTTAACTCTATACAAATAAGAATGTAACACCAGAGAATTTTGTGTATTCTTATTTAGGAAACAACATTCGTAAATTTATATCGGGATTCTAAAGTTCAAATAAAAATAAAAGTGTTTTTTAACTGATTTTTAAGCAAGTGTCTTACGTTCTTTAAACACATCCATAGATTACTCATTGTCTACATTGATGACATCTCATGCTTAATTCACATTTTCTACACGAACACGTAGAATATCATAACGGACACGTAAATATTCAACTCTGTCCTGAACGACAGTGGCGACAGTTCAAAACAAAAATAAAGAATTGATTGAATTACTACCGAAATAAATCGACATTGATATAAAGTTGTTTATCAAACAATTACTAGATATCTCTATGTAAAAATATTTCGTGCAATTTAACTGTCGAATGATCGCGTGTGTCAAATCACGTCGTATTTTCGTCGAAACTGCCTACGAAGTTCTTCTTCGATCTGTTCTTGTCCTTTATTCTCGCGTCTCGCAAGATGTCAAAAAGGCAAGAAGACTAGTTGACATTCGTACTTTAAGATTGAATGAAAATTTTACTGGAGAAAGAGAAGTTATGTGATATTCTCTTTTTATCTCTTTCTTTCTCTTTCTCTCTCTCTCTCTCTATCTCTCTCTCTCTCTTTCTCTCTCTAAGAGACAACGAAACTATTTAGAATGTTGAAATACGTACGGAATATCCGTATGCTTTCGCAAAATTTCGAGTAGAACTTGAAGTTAACGCCGGAGCGTTACAAACTCCGCGTACGATCGATATAAATTAAGGGTTCTCATACGTAACAATCGACGTTATCAAGATCCGAAGAGTTCTGTCGTCGATGGTGTTAAGCGTGATCATTGTTCCGGTCAGCGCCTCCCTCAGAAAGATATCGACCGTTGTGTGCAAGTCCGAGCCCTTTCGCCAAAACGTTTCGTGAGGGCGATCCTCCGTGACGAAGATAACATCCGCTACGCTGACGTGTCTTAGACTTAGTGAAGATATCAGCTGTCTCGTTACAGTTAACCGTAAAGCCTTACTCGCATCGTCATCGTGCGACGACGATCACGAATTGATTATCGCGACAAACTTCAAATTATGATAAATTATTTTTCAGTCAATTATACGGAGAAGTAAAATCCAATCCCCGTAAAGTTTACTTTACACTCTGACAAAATTCCGATATTCTCGAAACAAGAAACTTCTGTCGTAAACTTTCAGAAGGTAACCACAAGTAAAACGTGATAAAGTGTTGATGTTATATTGGTTAATTTTCAAGTCGCTTTCGCGGATTACTGACGAAAGAGAGCGCAAAATTTAATAGTCGGCAAAGGAAAGACAAGAGAAAAAGCAAATTTCATTTTCCCCAAAACTCACATCGATCAACTTATAATTAGATTGGAATCTCGCCGAAAGCACGGCGCCACGAAGTTAAACCGGGTTAGCGAGCGAAGGGGGAGGAAATCCGTCTGTTTTATTATCGCAATTACAGTAACGCGCACTCGAACGGTCACGCGGTTGCAATCGTAAGCCAAGCTTAAGAGAGATCAAGGAGGCGCTGGCGGGACTTACCGGGTATCTTCGTGGCTCCTTGATCACCCTCTTCTGGAAATACTATTCTGGTACCCGCTGGGATTCCCGGCTTAATGGGTATCGTCAAGATCTTCTCCGTCGGCACCGTCATCGACATATCGTCGCCAGCTAAGACCAACTTCTGGACCTTCATCTTTTTTATCCCACCGAAAAAGACCTATGGCGAAAAACGCTCTCTGTTGTCTGTTACGCATTACATTTCTCTTTGTTGCTCAACAAAGCTGTCGTGCGCATTTACACACGTGTCGCACATTTAACTCATTCAATTAAGTTCTTGAATTTCGAAATTTGACGATGTCGATGACAAAATAATTCGAGAATAATTCGCTCGATCGCGCGGAAGTAATTACGAAATAATTTCGTAAATAAAGGATATATAATAGAACAGAAAGGTGTATAAAGTTTTGTACTAAAGTATAAAGAACTAGTAATAACAGTAAATTAAGGGTTTAAAGGTGTACCTCCGAAAGAGTTAGGGACAAGGTTTTGATCCAGGGTTTTTCCTTCCGTCTTATTCCCCGACCTTCCGGACATTCCAACAGGGGTTGAGACTCCTTCAGGATATTCGCGAGATCTTCGTACGGATTTTCATTTACGAAGAACTCCCTGATGAAATTTGCGACGGACGTTTTAACTTTGCAGAGAAACACCGGGAGAGTGTCTTTTATAGAGAATCGCGGTATTAAGAACGCGCGCGCGATTCGGGACTGATTTATAAAACGTTCCACACGGCTTTATCATCACGGAAAGCTCAATGACTGTATAATTTTCCCTTCCACCTGAAGGTCCGCATCGGCTCGCCGTGATAGACGTAAGGTTGCGCAAATACTTCTGGTCCCGGCACACCATTTTTAAGACCCTCCTCACCGTATTGATCATACACGGCCCTTCTAAGAGGATCCGAGAGCACGTCGTACGCTTCAGCTGCTAAGGCGAAAATCGCCTCGGCACCTTCGTTCTTTTGCTGCGCGGGATTGTATCGTGTGGCGCATTGTCGGTACCTGAAAGAGAGAGAGAGAGAGAGAGAGAGAGAGAGAGAGAGAGAGAGAGAGAGAGAGAGAGAGA